CTTCTTCAAGGATTTCTTATGGGTTTAGCACTTATATTTAGGGCTAAAATCCATTTTGTGTTCATTTTTTATATGTTGTAAGGTAGAAGTTGACATTTATTTTTTTCTATATAAATAGATAGACATCTTTGTTGAAGACTTTCCTTTCTCCATTAAATTGCTCTGACACATTCACTGAAAATCAATTGCCCATAAATGTGTAGGTCTATTTTTGGACTCTTGATTCCATTCCATTGACCTGTATGGTAAATTGGTGCATTGTTCAAGGATCAACTGTAGTACAGGTTGAACATCTCAAATCTGAAAATGTTCCAAAAGCCGAAGATTTATGAGCACCAACATGATAAACAAGTGGAAAATTCCACATCTGACCTCATGTGATGGGTCACATTCAAAATACCATCAAACTCTGTTTCACATACAAAATTATTAAAAATATTATATAAAATTACCATCAGGCTAGGTGTATAAGATATACACGAAACACAACTGAATTTCTTATTTAAACTCGAGTCCCATCCCCAAGATATCTCATTAAATATGCAAATGTTCCAAAATCTGAAAAAATTCAAAATCTAGAACACTTTTGATCCCAAGCATTTCAGATAACGGATATTCAAGTTGTAAAACATAAAGTAGTTCTTATCTTCAAGGAGCTTATAATGTACAGTCTAGCGAGGAAGGCAACCTGATAGTGATCCACAACGGATAGGAAAAAGTGAGGAAAGAAGTAGTTTCAGTTGAGAAGAATTTTAGTAGGTTTTACAGATAACATTATATAGAAGACATAAGATAATCTTTTATATGCTACTAAACCAAACTGGGATTCACTTTCCCTGTCAGGAACAAAAAGGTATGTATTATATCTGAGAATCATTATTGTAATTAAAAGAAGAAATGCACGTAAAGAATTTGGATACTCAAAATGACAACATTATGACCAATGTTAACAATATTAGTACTAATAATAAAAATATATATTCTATTACCAACAATATAGCCCATTCTTATCTCTAACTCAAACCTACACATCAAACTTTAATTTTACCTCCATAAGCATTCAATGTCAACATTCTAGTCTTAGCAAATACCACATATGCTTATACCTAAAAGAGCAACAATGATTCTAAGTTTTTTTTTTAACAATAGCAGAACTCTAAAAAGAATTTCCAGGGGTAATTTGGCAGAGACTTTTTTTTTCATTTTGTACCCCCAAAGGGACAAAGAATAAATATGCTAAAAAAATTCAAACAGAAAGTGGGGAGGACATGTAGAATGAAATAAAATGTTATGAGGATCTTTGTATATATACATATATATTTTGTTTATCAGTTGAGTTTATGATTCACATCTTTGTATATTATGTGTTTTTAATATCTCAAAATTCTCCAGCCTGTTTCCAGTACATCCCGTCCTACTGTAAAGTGGGGAACACAAGGGAAGAAACTATCTGCTTAGAAGTCACCTTAGCTCCCGAGTTCAAACAAAACAAAACAAAACAAAACACAAAACACGTCAAGTCCCAGCAGTTTGGAATTGTAGGGGGAAGGGGTGGTGAGAAGTCCCAGCAGTTTGAAGTCAAAGGGGAAAGGGGTGGTGAGAAGTTGTCCCAGCAGTTTGGAGTTGAAGGGGGATGGGGTGGTAAGAAGTCCCAGCAGTTTGGAGTTGAAGACGGAAAGGGTGGTGAGAAGAAGTCCCAGCAGTTTGGAGTTGAAGGGGAAGTGGTGGTGAGAAGTCCCAGGAGTTTGGAGTTGAAAGGGGAAGGGGTGGTGAGAAGACGTCCCAACAGTTTGGAGCTGAAGGGGGAAGGGGTGGTGAGGAAAAGTCCCAGCAGTTTGGAGTCGAAGGGGGTAAGGTGGGGCAAGAAGAAGCCACAGGTGTGGGGTGGGGATTCTGTGCTGCATATTCATTAACTGAGCCGACAGTGACTGAAAGAGTGTTCCACTAGAGGACTGCCAACTAATAAATGGGCGGGAAGGCCAATGTGAACTTGGCATCAGATGCCAATGAGAGGACACACAATGCAGCTCCAACATACAGCCCTTGCTGGTAGCACTGAGTGACTTGGAGACCTTGACATTTCCAGATGTCCACCTGACTTCTTGCTCTGAACCATGTCACAACACACATAGCCTTATCTATGGAAGAGAGGTGTTTCTCAGAAGCACAGTAAGATGCTGTGAGGAAACTTGAACTTTATTAATAACTTAAAGCACTTAAGATTTAAGAAACACCCTCTGCTGGTGTTTTACGTTGGATTAGCTTTCTCTTACATACAAGGCAAGGCTTTCAGTCTTTGTGGTTTGAGCTACTCTTAATTTTTCTTTTCACACTGATAGAAAATGACTTTCTCTCATGTCTTCACTCTGTTGGGTGAGGGGGAGAGGGGCTGGTAGGGTATGATAGATGGCAAATTTTCCAGGTTGGCTAGACCATTTAGTGAATTAATTCTGGGCTACTGTCTTCCATGTCTGTTCTGCAGCACAGATGAATAGCAACTGAAATATTATTTCAGCAAATCTGCATAAAATCTGTGAATGTACATAGTCTTCAGTGATGGCTCATATTTAAAATGAGACAGAGTGTGACTTTTAATGATTAGCTGTCAAGACTGCATGGAAGTAAAATGATCCAGAGAGGTCCTACTCAAAGTGCTAAGTCTGCATTATAGACCTGGGGATCTGCTGCGGGTTTTCTCTCTCTGCAGGCCTTTTTCCTTTTGTGATTTAGATAGACTTCGCTCAATACTTCTGCAGCTATTTCAGTGTCCAAAGAGAAATGTTGCCATGTTAATGTGCCACCTTTAAATGTATTTTTATCTCGCTGCTTTTCTTTCCAGTCAGGTGTTTTATAATAACAAACAGTAACAAAGGCTTTTTTTAATAACTTAAGATATTCAGTGGCTTTTGTCTTCCTAGCGTCAGCAGTAACGTCAGAGGATTGTATCCAAGGAGCTAAATGTGCAGGACCCAGGGTCAGAGCAGCTGAATACACCAACCTCAGAAAACACAGACAATGAATTGCAAATGACACTCAAAACAAAACGAGAAAAAAAACCTTCACACAGAAAACTACAAAAGAACTCTACAGACACTGAATTGGCTTTCTGTACACACTGATCCTGCTTAACTGTGTGTGGTAACTAACCAAACGTTTCAGATACTCATAGCCACATATAAAGGCTTTTTTTGTGTGTGGGGAGGGGAGTTATAAAAATAAAAATAGTATTTCTTTCCTTCGAGTCTATTTTTCTTTATTTTTTTAAAAAAAGCTTCACTAAGTGCAGTTAGATGAAGCTCTTTCTGTTTCAATCTTCAAACACACTAAAGAGTGGCATTAGCAATGAAGTGATTAGTCTTCCGTTAATTCTGCCGAAGGTTCTACACAAAAGGTGTATTGTTTCAGCTGGGATTCACATCATGAAACAAAATGGTTTGGTAAACCCAATAGAAGTGATAGCCCTTTCATGACACACAGGGTTCTGTACTGTATATTTCAACTTGTTAGCAAGTCAGAGGCACAAGCGGGAAATCAGCCTACACTGCTGCTGAGGCTGAATGGGAAACACTAAACTGATGAGCTGCTGTTTAGATTTTCCCACTGGGAATTATTCGGAACTGTCCAGGCATTACATCAACCAGGTAAACGGTAGCAGGACAAAATGCTTTTTATATCTTTGTAGCTACCCAAAGGGTAATATAAAAACTTGAAAAGAAATATACATACTCTCTACCCATAATAAAGAAATAGGATTCCTCAATTGTCAAGCTATATAGTCAGTCGCAGCTGGTTCTTAGTAACTGAGAAGCTGACTGCATTCTGGTTGTTGCCCAAAGGCAACGCAAATACCTTCTCCTCTACATTTTTAGTTTCCTTGTGAAGCTCCTTGTATCACACTTTAAATCAGAGATGGCAAGTCATATTGTTGTCATTCATGGATATTCATGAAAAGTAAATTTATTAGATTTATTAAGATTTAAATGATTTTTTAAAACATTTCAAAAACGTTTATAAGCAAAACTTTTTTTTAGCCTGGTATCCTTTCTATATTACCTTCAAGATAAAAGCCAAACTCCTCAATATATGGCACTGCCCTAGCACACCTCTATACCCACACTGCACTAGACAGCCACACTAGATAGCCACACCACAGCACCAAGATGTTCCCAGCCACGCTTGCTCACACTTCCATATTTTTAAAAAATACTGTATTTCAAGACTCAGTTCAGTTCTATCCTTCAGAAACAATCGACTCTCTAACTTTAAGTGATCTTCCTCTTCTAATTTCCTTAGATCTTGGCTGCCAGTCTATTTCAGCATTTATCACACCAGATTGAATTACTGTTTTATTTGTTGGTCCCTCCTACTAGACTCTGAACTCCTTCAACACAGGGAGTCTGTTTTATCATTGTATTTTCAGGCTCCAGCCATGTCTCATCTATAATTATACTCAACAAATGTTATAAATGGATGGATAACTAAATTAACAGATAGATAAAGGAAAAATAGAAAGGAGGAAGGAAAGTAACTCAGAGATTGGTGTGACATGAACTGAGTAAGTTTTAGAAGTTATAGTAGCAATTGTAAGGATATAATGGGTTCAAGGATTGTTATCTCGGCACTTACTAGGTACATCTTAATACACATTGTATACCTTTATCTCTGGTTTTTCTTCTTCTCTCCCCTTAACCTTGAGTTTTTTGCACTTTGTCTCATGGTTAACAACTTACATTTTATAAGGCTTTTCTCTTTATATTTACTCCCTCATAATTCTGTGACACTTATTATAAGTCACTTTGTTTGGTCAAGGAAACAAGTTCAGAAAGGTTTTCTCCATTGTTGTTTAAACTTAGACATGATGGCACCTGCAAGAATTCCAGAGTTCCTCAGGTGTTCCCAATATCTGATGTGTCCAAATATGTAATATTAGTGAAGTAAGAATAAGGATGCAAGACTTTTTTTCCAAATCTTTACAACCAGGTTCAAGAAGGAACTCTTACCCATTGCTTGTTTCCCCATGGCACACTGGTATGTGTTTCTTGGGGACTGGTTATGATGAGGGTATGGGATCAGGCCAGCACAAACACCGAGAAGAGTGAAGGGTTCAATCTCCAAGTGGGTGGTATCTCTATGAAGTTAATCAGAATTAGACATTTTAGGCATCAAATATTAAAATAAATGTCTCTTACAGGGTATAAAATATTACTCTCTAGGTCCCCAGGGATTTATAGGACAATAAAATTTGATGTTAGTAAAACTGGTAAAACAACTTGCTTAAATAAAATAAAACATAAGAACACACAAATGAATTACTATATTGAACATACAGAAATATAACATCAATGATGGATGTGTAGCCTGCTTTTCCTCATTCTTCCAACATTATCAATGAGTAAGATGTACTACCATTTGAGAGAGAGTAATAAATCCCCTTTAAGAATGATTACGATAGGCCTATAGGGACCAATACCACAGCCACTAGGCTAATTGTGGCTATTGAGCACTTGAAATGTTAGATTAATGTGACTGAGGAATTGAATTTTTTATTTTACTTAATTCTAATTACTTTACATTTTAAAACTCAAATTTAAATTTAAGTAACTCAGTTCATTAAAAGTAAAATATCTCAATATTTTTATATTGATTATATGCTATTAAAATTAATTTTGCCTATTTCTTTTGACTTTTTTAATGTGGCTACTAGAAAATTTGAAGTTATATAGGTGGTCTGCATTATATTTTATTGGACAGCTCTGCTACAGACAGTATTGGGCAAAAAGTAAGATTTTATCTAATAGGTGTCAGAATCTTGGTTACTTTCACAATATATTTCTGCAGAAAACTTAGTTTTTGGCTAAACGATAGAACAACTCAAATGTGTTAATAGGAAAGAGCAGCCACATTATTTTTAGGACAGGGCTGAAAGTAACAGATATCACATCCAGGATCTGTGGGCTCCGTGAACCCACTATTCCTTCCTCAAGTGTTTGTGAAATGTAACCTTAAAAATTTTCAGTGGTTTCCCCAAGAAGAGAAGTGATTTCCAGGAAACTCGGTCCCAATTCATCATGGAAATTTAGTTGCAATGTACCTGGTAAAAGATCTCCCACTTATCCAGTTACCCGTCTATTTTTTTTTTTTTTCAGTACACATGTATTGAATTATGTCCCTGGTTTGGTGAGAAGGTGCTTTCCACGTAGCTCTTGGTTAGAAAAATATTGTCTTGACCTTATGATCCAGCAGAACCCCAATCCTCTCAGACACTTTGGGCCTTAGTCTTTAAGGAGAGAAAGGGGACTAGGTTTTGTTAGTTTTGTCTTTAAAGAACATCAGCTACATTTTATAGGCTAGAATAAAACAGATTTTTATTTTAAATGTACTGTTTTGTTTAAATATTGGCTAAGTTGACATTCCCTGTAAAAACCACCTTTTCTGATGCGAAGATTGGGTTAAGTCAAAAAATGAAGAAGGGAAACATTGGAGGTTTCTTTTTTCCTATTATTGTGACGACAACATATATAAGATCATATAGCATCTAATAATTACTCAAAGTCCAAACACTCTGGATTCTGATTTTAACAAAAAGAAATGAAAACTATTTCCTTTAAAATCATAACCACCATAAGTTTCTATCCTGAAAAGGAAATAGATTTCCTATTCGCTGTACATAAAACACTTATATTTACTTCAAATTAAAACTATGTAACCTATTGCTTATAATAGCAGAAAAATTGGAAACAATCTAAATATTCAACTGCAGGGAAAAGTTAAACTAAAAATACATGTAGGACAATAATGTAATAACAAACGGCAATTAAAAAATAATATAGTTATGTGTATACAGTCATGTCACATTATGTTTCAGTCAACAATGGACCACCATGTACAACAGTGGTCCCATAAGATTATATTACGATATTTTTACTGTACCTTTTCTCTGTTTAGATATGTTTAGATACACAAATATTTACCATTGTGTTACAACTGCCTAGAGCACTGAGTACAGAACATGCTGTACAAGTTTATAGCCTCGGAGCAACAGGCAGCCCTGTACTGCTGCCCACTGTGACTGTATACACATAAGTACATGTATATAAACATATACACATAGATTAATATGGAAAATATCCAGAATATACTGTTATGTTTAAAAATCAAGACACTGAAAATTTACCATTGTTTTATATATACACTATGTGAGGTCATGTATGTTTGTACTCAGAAAAAAATCTAGAAGCAGCACATAATAAATTATTAGTATCAGCTACTTTTGGCGAGTGGAGTCTGGTGGGATGGCGAAGGAAGGGGATTCATTCTTTTTACTTTATGTATTACTATATTTTTAAAAACTTCATAAGAATAAATTGAATAATATAATAATTTTTATATTTTTAAAATACAGTGAATTTGATGTATGGAATAGCTTTGTCATTTGGTAATGCTGAGAGTCATATTCATTTATAGCAATGAAAAAACATGAAAATCCCCTGCCTTCACGAAGCTTCTGGTAGAGGGAGATTGATAATACACAGATAAATCAGTAAAATTCAAATTTTATTGTATGGTGATAAGCACTAGAAAAATACAGCACTGAATGGGGGTGGAAAGAGATAGGGGTTTCTATTTGAAATAGGATAGTTAGGAAATGACTCATGAGGTGACACCTGAGTGAGGGTCTGGAGGAGGTGAAGCAGTGAGCCATGCAGGTATATGTGTGAGACAGTGTTCCAGGAAGAAGAAACGGCCAGTGCAAAAGTGCTGAGGCAAAAGCATACCTGGGATGTTTGAAGAAGAGGTCAGTGTGGTTGAAACAGTGAATGAGGAGTGGCAGAAGATGATGTTGCAGGTGGGAAGCAGGGGTGGGCAGATCATGTAGGAACTTGAAGGCCTCTGTAAGGACTTGTGAGGGAAACAGAAAGCTGGTAGGAGATTTCACACGAGTACTTTACTCTATTAGAAATAGACTGTATGGGGACAAGTGTAAATATAGTCATGAGCAAGCCTTTTGCAAGAATCCTGGCAAGCAACAGGAGTGGCCTGGAGTAGGTAGTAAATCAAGATGGTGAAGAGTTCAGACTCTGGGTGTATTTTGAAGGCTCACTTGACAAGTTATGGATTGATGTGGATGTGGAGAGAGGAGCTGAGGTTGAAACTGAGGTTTTTGGCTTGAGTAATACGAAAGATAGAACCATCATTTATGGGTATACTATAAGACAGTTCTCTTTTATACTCAATCTTGAAAATGAGGGGCTCAAAATAGCACTTTGATAGATTCATACCTTTAAACACTAAAAATTCTGATAAAAACCATATCCTAGATTATGATAAAAATAAAGTGGTATATTTCATCTGGTAGGAGAAAACAGAAATGTACTTGTTTTTAATTGTAGACATAAATAAGTATTAGGTGGTGGTAATAAACTCTAACTATTTAAAAATATAACAGCAAAAATTCCAATTTCAGGTAAGTGAAATCAGTTGCGTGCATCAGACAGCACATTATATAGATGCCCTCTAGTAAGTATTCCAAATGGAACATAGATGCTTCTAAAACTATTATTATTTTAGAAGAAACATTGTGAACACATTACCATTTCAAGTTTACACTGCACACATAAGCTCAGAGGTATCTTTACAACATACTATTAATATGTAGGGAATTCTTGTGCTGACAATAAGAATTCAGATGCCCACTGACAAAATGGTCTCTAGAAGAGATAAATACATCTTTACATAGCCTGATTTATTAGTTTAATTTTGGCAGTAATCAAGTGTTACACATCAGAGAAGCAATTCTTTTTAAATATACACTAAGTGTTACACAAATAGGAAGAATAATCTAAAGATGAGTTGTTAGCAGCTTTGTAACACTCTTAATTGGGATAAATGATGGGTTACACTTTACGATAAAATAGTAAACTTCCAACAGTCTCTACTAAAAGAGTACATGATAGAAGAAATGAAGATTACAATGACAAGAGAAGGTAGTTTCTATAGTTAAAATGCATTTTAATTGTGGTTGTTATGGATTCTACTTACTTATTAATTGTATGTTCATAGAGTGCAATGTTACAATCATTTTCTTCATTCACATCTAAATATTCAACCAGACTCTCATGTAAGAAATCTTCAAAATTCCTGGGGAAATATTGGTGCAAGAGACATTATTAAAAAACATTTTCTGCAGTACTTTATATAATAACAGAAGATACTGGCTTTCATTTAGGCCCAAAGCATCTTTCTCTTCCAAAGAGTATCACTACATTAGGATACCTGAAACATGTTATTCTTGGATAACAGAATAAATCACTCAAAAACAGTAAAATATAACTCTATCAATCTGGTCCCTATTTCTAAAAAAACAAAAAAAACCCCTGACTTTTAAAAATTCCATATGATGAAAAGACCCACAGCATCTATAGCAACATATTGCTATAAGTCCTTTTCTTACTCGAAACATTTCACTGTGCACACTAATTTACACCAAGATTCTATAACCCTCATGATCTAAATTGATATATATTTTACAATGTTCAAGCAAATTCACATGGAGAATATGTTTTCAACAGGCTGGTATATTTGGTGGGGAGGAATTAAGAAACTAAAATTAAAATATATTTTTCTTAAATATGTATGCATGTATTAAGGAGATTGACAAATTTTACTTTTGGCCATTTACCTGTATCCCTGGGCCAGCTCTTCCATATGCTTATTTGTGACTGCTGGCTTCTGTTTCTTGACAATTATGTAGGGTCTAGAATGAAAAAACAAACAAACAAATAAACAAACAAAAAACCCCCAGCAAATTAATAGTAGTTCCAGGGAAGAATTAGATCAAGTTAGTTTACCATGGTGAAATGAGGGGAGATGGAGATATAATCAAACTTATTCCTCAACTGCTTGAGGACACTAGGTATTTTTTGCATGTGTGAGCAGAGTGTAGGGGCCTCTCTCTCACATATATAATACACCCCCACACACATATGCATGTGAGTATGTGTGCACACACACATGCACACACACACACACAGTACTTTCCCTAAGCATCTTACAAAACACTTAGTTTTGAATGAAAAGGCAACACAAAAATGATATTCAATAAAGTCTGGAAAGGAAACAAAATCTTTAATGTCATATTTTTAAAAACTGTAATGCATCATTCCAAAAGCATTTCCTGATTTCACATTGAGAATATTTGATATACTACCCATGGAATGAGCAGGCAAAGAAGCACTGTTACCTAGGATAATCATGGCATTTTGTTCTGAGGGTCTGAGGAATATCCAGATGTTTAGAGTGGTTGGATTCAGGCTAAAATTCACTGAGCTAGACTAGCAGGTTACTTAAAGCTACATATGACCCAAACGTGTGGCTATAAGTATGCAGCAAATAAATCTTTCATACTTTGTGATTGTTAGTGATATAATGGGTGTAAGGTAGAGAGAGCGTTCTGGTAGATTAACCTGTAACTGTCAGTGGTGACTTGCTTCTGAGGGCTTCGCCACTGCGAGGAAACACGGACACAAAGGATGGCATGCAACACTGAAACGTCAAGGGCTGTTGCTATTTGGATAAGCAGCTCTTATAGGGAGAAGCAAGTAACCACCAGACACTTGTGAGCTCTACCCTAAAGTCCAAATAACTATTTGAGGACTAATGAGCACTTTTAAGCAGTTAAGAAGAGGAGCTGCACAATTACAAAAGGAGAACACAAGTTGTTGAAAAATGAACTGGGTGAGCTTTTCATGGAAATCAACAGTACCTCGAAATTCTGACTCCCTCTTGGTAGGGAAGCAGAGCAACCCTGCTGCCTCATTCAAGGGCTGCAGTGCAGTTCAGGTTAAGACTCAGAAGTGAGGACAAAAACAGGAGGAGGAGAGGGAAAGGATCACATTTGGCTACCTCAGTTACCCTTACTTAATAAACTATTAATTCTTCCTGCCAGATCTGTTATGCCATTATAAAACTGCTTCTAAAAACGAATTAGTTTTCTTTTAGAATATGCTATACTACACTGGATGTAACAAAAGAGAAAAATCCTAAAAAAGAATAACATAGAAATTGTCATTGTTTTTCCTGCCCCTACCTAGGCCATGCTGTTATCAGCTATAATTAAGCACCTAATGTGTGCCTGGCACCTTACAAGGCACTTACAATACCTTATATCAATCAGTTCTCAGGACAATTCCAGATAGGCATTAATATTTACATTTTAGAGCCAAGGAAACCAAGGCTCAGAGACTTAAGTAATATACTCAGAGTCATATAAGTCAATAAGTGGGAAGTTAGGATTTGAACACAGGCATATCATCAGCTAACCATTCTTTGGTTGCAAAGAAGAGAAATCAGTTCTGGCTAACTTAAGGAAAAATGAAATTTACTGGAGGCATTAAGAATTTAGTGAAAGAATAAGAATCAAAGAAAAAGGTGAAATGCTCAGCCTCAGAAAGATAAGGAACTACAGCAGTCCCAAGGATCCAGAAAACACAGTGTAATGGGCAGTCTCTCTGTGCGTCACCATCAGAATGAATCAATTCCAACCACTTTCCTCCCTTGATTTATTCTGCTTGGGATTCAAATTCTTTGATGAGAGTGTCTGACTGGCCTCTGTTGGGTCATATGCCCAGCCCCTGGCTGGGGAGGAGAGGGCATTAGACTGACCATCCCCAAGAAGACTGCCAGTGGGGAGGGGCAGTCCCCAAAGGAAAATGGGATAATGAAATTAGAGGGAGAAAAAGATGCTGGGCAGGCACAGCAATAATAGCCCACTCTCCCAGCTATGACAGACTTTTAGCTACTGCTAGCTCATTGCCTTGTGCTTTAACACTACCCGAGGTCTACAGAGAATGACTATATGTTCAAATCACTATAGGTATCAAACAGCTGAATACAGCAAAACAAGGGACAGCTTATGAAACAAGGTAACATCCTCAGTGATGTCCCTGCATATCCCCCTCAACCAGATACTATGTCACATTCACCTTTGAACCTCCAGCTTCTAGATAGTATGTGTACAGAATAAGCCCTTAATAAATATTTTCTTAATGGATAAAAGGGACCTACTTTTCTACTGGGTCTAATGTTATTTCATTTCTTCATGCCTCCATGTTTTTATTCTTGCCTTTTTCCTCTCACCCTACATCCAAATAACACAATCCTACCCATCCTTTTAAAGCTCAGTTTGTAGCAAGAGAATACCATATGTAAAATCAGGATTGTTGGAGTTAAACAAATTCTAAGGAACTTCAAGTAAAAAACAGACTCCATCACTTTACTTTCTAGCTATGGGTTAAGTTACTTATCCTCACTGAACCTCAGTGTCTTCATTTGTTAAATGAAAAGAATAACCCGACCTGACAGGGTTGAATGAAGTTAAAGCCTTACACAAATATTTCATCCATTAAAATAATAACTAGCAGCTAGCATTAATTACGAGCATAGTTGGTTGGTATTAGTAATTATTTCTGTCTCTCTGAACAGACTGAGCTCTCTGAGGGCAGAGACTGTCTCCCACTAATCTTTGAATCCTCTGTATCTAGGAGTCATGAATATTCATGAAGTGTTTGCTAATGGAATTAAATTTATTGTAACAATGAAAGAGGTTAAAGCAGCTCAAAAATAAAAACAAGTTTATTTCTCTCAAAAGTAAATATAAAGAGCTCCTTAAAAACCCTTTTTAGTAACATATACCTGCACAGCCTTCCTCCATCAGAAGAAATATAGACACATCGATCTGTAAGATTTGTTGAGATGGAAACAAATTCATTGATATATCCTGCTCTTCGCATCAGCCGAAATGTATTCACTAGCTTTTTATGGTCTCGAATGACACCCAGGATGTTACCTAAGCAAAAAGAAGAAAGAATAGATAAGACAGAAATAAAAAATCGAATCTGGTTTAAAACATCCACCCAATAAAAATAATAAGCAGCACTGAGTAGTCATTTGAAAATACTCTCATTAACTGCATCCATTCCAAAAGGCTGCAAGGAAGTAACACACTAGAGTAATTAAGGGCAGAACCTGGAGTCTAGGGCCTGTCCTACCATTTGCTGTCTGAGTAATACTGGAAAAGTTGGCTTAATTTTCCTCACCTGTTGGCACAGTGCTGGGAGCAGGAACTTGTGATCCGGACCACGTGGGTCTGGACAGTGGCTCTATCACTTCCACAGGGTGGTTGTGAAGATTAAATGAGCCGATTTATGCAAATCACTTAGAACTCTGCCTAGCACCTAGTAACTGCTGTTATTAAACTGCTTTTGTTGTAATCATCATCTGTGAAATAAGGAAAATAAACTTTGCCTCCCAAGGTTACTGTGAGGATTGAGAGAGGTACTGGGTGAAAGTGCACAGCAAGAGCTCACTCAATGTTAGCCTCTCAGATTCACTGAATGAGGAAGTCAGTTAACAGCCCTGCTGAGGTTCTGACATCTTCCTCATCAGCCCACACGGTAAAGGATTAATGTCTCCCAGATTGGAAGGGAGAGGAGAGAAGAGACATATGAACTAAATGGTCAGGGATAAGCACGTGCACACTGCTGAGAGGGCAGGCACATAGACCACCAAATCAGAGGTAGAAAGGACAAGGGCAAATTTGTTGTCAAGTCTCTGGAGGATTTGAAGGAGGTGCGAACATGTGTGTGAAAGAAGCAACTGGAATTTGAGCCAAAGAAAAGGAATTTTCTTTCCACTGGCTATAGACACATCAGTTATCAAATGACTAAATATAGTCAACTCACTATAAGGATTGATTTGATTATTTTTGCAGAGGAACTAAGATATTCAACCTCTACTTAAAGATACCATGTTGAACCTTATTCCACTATGGATATGCTAGCAGCTGGAAGAGGGCAGAAAGCAGCCAGTCTCTACAGTGTTACCCTTAAGCTCTGACAGCTGTATACTCTCAGAACCTTGGATAACCCAGCCACGAGAATCGCTGTTTCTGCTATCATTTTTTCTACCTTTTAAAAAAAAGCCAAACTGAGCCCAGAATTACATTTATTTGTGCTTTAAATAAAAGGATAATAATGGATTCTTTGTCTCTTCCCCCAGATTGTTTAAGATCAACACGTCTCTGTAATATACTTACCATTAAGAAAAACAAGAAACACATTTGGGTAAGAAAGCTCTTCCCCACATAATAAATTCACATCTTCTACTCCTAGGTTACTGGCTAGTTTTACAATAGGTCCATCTTCCATATCAGTTGTGATGTGTGTCATAAGGGCTAAGTTTTTAACCAAACCACATGCCTAAAAAACAAAAGACAGTCATTTCTAAGAATGAACATTAGTATCACAAAGGACAGTTTTGTATCTGCAAATAGCTCACCACTTTGCTGGCAGCAATGCAAAGCAGTACACTTTGGCAATTCACATAAAAGCCTTTAAAATGTATATACCCTTTGTCCCAGGGGAATTTATTCTAAGGTAACAAGCAAGGATATAAAATAGATTTAGGCACAGAAATGCTTGGCACAGTACTATTTGTAATTATAAATGTCCAAAACAAAACAGAGAAACTGATTACATAAACAATTATTCCTAGATAATGGAACACTGTCATTAATATGACATTGCATAAAATCAGTAAAGGAAAACATTAATAGATACAGCAACATAAAAGTATAAAATTTCTGGCCTGAAATGAGAGACTATAAAATAACTAGCCAGAACTCTAGAGTTTCTTGGTCATGAAAAGCAAAAGAAGACTGAAAAGCTGTTTCACATTAAAAGAGACAAGGAGATCTGACAACAAAAAACCATGTGTGATCCTGAATCAGAAAAAAGACATTAGTGGGACAACTGGCAAAATTTGAATAAGGTCTACAGATTATAGTATTGTTATCAACGCTAATTTCATGAGGTTGATAACTGTGCTATGATTATATAAGATATTCACACTAGAAAAATCCAGGTGAAGGACTATAGAAGACCTTTGAACTATTTTTACAACTTTTCTGTATGTCTAAAATTATTTCAAAATGAAAAGGAAATACATCTTTTTAAATTTCTATACAACCAAAAAATCCTAAAACAAAAATATCAACAAAGACAGAATATAGCAAATAGGAAAAAAAAATTTGAGATACATGTGACATGTGTAAAAGGTTGTATCTTCAATTGTTAAAAACCATCTACCATAATAATGCACAAAATAGCTACTTTATGGAAGTTAGCTGAAGCAACCTCTAGGGAATTTAGTGTTTCAAAGTTCAAGACATATATATTATGCAAATTTAACAAACTGCATAATTTAAGTGTGAATTTCCATATGGTTCAAGATAAATTAGAAGAAGAGTAATTTTTAAAAATCACAACTCTACATAGACTCCTATTTTTCACCTCTTCCAAGTCATAACAAATTCCTACACTTTGGAACCTACATCTTTTACTTGTCATAACTTATTTATTCATTCAGCATACATTCATGGAGCCTCTACTTTGACTAAGGCCTATGCTAGAAGCTTGAGAAAAAACGGTGAACCTTCCTTAACTTGGAAGTTTACAATTTAGAAGGAATAGAATCAAGTGAAATCAACAATGGTAGCCAAAGGAGAAAGGGCCATGACAGTAGCGAGTAGTGAGTGCTATAGAAGTAAACCTATTTAAATTCCCTGGTTTAGTATTTAGGTATTGCTTGTTTTTCCTATATAAGTGAGTCAGAATCCATATTAGGTCTTGGACTATACACTACTAGTTGGCTGCAACTGAGTCTATGATGTCCTCTAAGCACAGCTAAACAAAATAAGGAGCTGAGCTCTATGAACACTACTTGGGTTACAGGTACACCTATAGCTGGGACTCAAGCATTATAAAAATAATCTATGTAACCTAAAACATTTGTACCCCCTTAATAATTTGAAATAAAAATAAAAAAAGAAAATAACGAGCTGCTCTAAAGGAGCTCCTTCTGAGTTTGAAAAGTGATGGGCCTTTCAATTTTCCTTCACATTCTTATCCCCTCTTTGTATGGTTTAATTCTCAGGATAAACTAAAATAACCAAGAGAAATGTGGACTGTGTTTCTATTTAGGTAACACACTGAATCAAATGCTTCTGTAGGTCATGGTTTGGAATGATACTGATGTAGTCTTGACAAGCATGTCAATATTTATCTGCTACATAAATGGCAGACCAAAAAGAGAACATGGCCTGGGGGACAGAAACAGAAGCAGAACTCCCCACCCCCATCCCAGTAGGTATTACTTCCAACACAACCCAGAGACTCCTTAGGTACCTTACCTCTCCTTCAGGAGTGTCTGAAGGACAAAGCATTCCCCACTGAGATGGCTGGAGAGAGCGAGGACCACTCACTTTTCTTGTTTTTTCAAATTGGGAAGATATTCTTGTCATCATGCCCAGGGCAGATATGTATGACAAGCGAGACAGCACTTGGGTCACACCTTGGCGGTCCATTTTAAATCTCTTTAGAGACCAGTTTCCCTGTAGATAGAAGAAAGACATAATAAGACTATCCCTAATCCATTCACATGTTGCCCGATAGTGTGCAGTCACTCCAAGAAGTTCATCACAGGAACTGATTGCTTATAAAATTAGAGCCATGATATACATTCAGAACTCAAAATGTCACAATTAAAATTAAAATTTATCCAGGTCACTCACTGGGGTTTTCTAAAAATATAATGAATATTATCTATGTCTACCAACCATCTCACAATGCTTTGCTGCATCAACCATATTACATCTGAGCAGTTGTCATCTGAGGAACTAAGTATGTACTGAACAAGCCACTTCAACCAGAGATTTCCACTAGAAGTAATAAGCTAACATATTAAAACACTAGCAATTTCACACATTTAAGGTAACACTAGTTTGAAGCTCAAAGAGATAATTTCATGTCGGAATGTGCTATTATTTGGATGTCTTCCAAAGTAAATCTTAAGTAGAGGAAAATACAGCAATAGAAAAACAAGTCTGATAGCAGTTATTAGGGATAATGAATAAACTGTAGGCTTCCTAATGGAACCTCAAGGAATCTAAAAATTGTATATATATTCTCATGTCATTATTAAAATATACTCATATGAAATAAATCTTGAACATTAAATTTATCTCCTATGCATTAAATATATTGTATTATTTTAATATGTTACTTTATAGTTGTATTAATTATATATACTAAATAGTATTCTCAAGGATAATTTAAAGATTAAGGTTAGAAATTCTTAAAATTTAAATTCATGGTAATATGAATGAACAGCAGAAAACAGTATGCTTTGAAAAAGCAAAGTAGAAAATAAAATGTCAAAAAAATGGTTATCTTTCTAATTCCAAAGAGAAAAACTGCATATGCAGTGGTTCTTCATTTCTCCTTTGAGAACCTGATGAAAGCTATGAATGTTCTCTTAAGAAAAATGCACACAGGACCATGAACACAAAAGTTTACATTCAATTTTAGGAGAGGACTCATGGATCCTGGGTTAAAAACTCTTGTAGTAGAAAAACTGCTAGGGTTTCAGAAGAAGATTAGATGATCTGTTTGCATTAAAATATGTGACTCTGGCTGGGTGCAGTGGTTCATGCCTATTGCACTATGGGAGGCCGAGGTGGGAGGATCGCTCAAGGTCAGGAGTTCGAAACCAGCCTGAGAAAGAGTGAGACCCTGTCTCTACTAAAAAAAAGAAAGAAATTAATTGGCCAACTAAAAATACATAGAAAAAATTAGCCGGGCATGGTGGCACATGCCTGTAGTCCCAGCTACTTGAAAGGCTGAGGCAGAAGGATTGCTTGAGCCTAGGAGGTTGAGGTTGCTGTGAGCTAGGCTGATGCCACAGCATTCTAGCTCAGGCAACAGAGTGAGACTCTGTCTTAAAAAAAAAAAAAAAAATGTGACTTTGGGGGAACTCCTTCACAAAATAAAGTTTGATCATTATTAAAGTGAAGATCTATCACTTCAGAACCCTGAGTTTTTGATAACATGGGAAAGAGCTAAATTCTAGGAAGAAACTCTATTACAGGCAAAGACACGGAGCAAACACACATATCCCACAAATTTACTTTTTATATTGCTTATTCAGTTAACTCCTTTTATCCTTGGAATGAGAATGCATCTAGTAAACTGACTTATGCCCAGTGAGTGAGAGTAAATAAGGTAAATAAATATTCAGTACAGAGCTAAAGTAAGACAGCAGCTCTTGGCAAATAGGAAGTAGATGGAGAGTGAAGCCAAGATGTTCCGCAAGAGAATTTGTTCTAGTATTCTGCAAGACCATTCCAAAAAGAAGAGAAACAGACAAGAGGTCTGAAACTGCTCCGAGAAAAATTTATTTGGTGAAAACATTCTACTAATGGCAACACTTGCAGAATTTTAAAGGCTGATCTTTTTCTGGTTGTCTACAGATAGAGGCACACCTGCAACAAAGCCTACAAATGATTTTTCTAATAAACAGTCCTGTCAGGGAGGTATGTCATTTAGGGGCAAAAGAGTCAGAAAGCAAGCAGAAGCAATTATAACAGAAGTGTGCTCAAGTACTCTTTGGAGGTTTCTCTTCAAATATTCAGGGATCAACCTTCAGACAAGTTTGGGCAACCGAAGTTTAATGTGTCTAAATAGGAACAGTGGTCTGGTTCATCTCAAATGTAGATGTAGCTGTCACTGCAAGGGCTGCTCATAGAGACCCACCATAAATTTCTAAAGTCAAGTATTGAAGCAAATCTGCGCCAGTTCTTTCATTGTTAAGGGATATCAACGTGTTAGACTATACTATGCTTTTGTTGGGGCAAAATCCTATCCATAAAACGAATTTTATATCTGACATACAAAACATGAACCAGACTTCATCAGATAGACCTATAGTTGTTATGCTTTAAGAAAGAGAGCAAAAACCTATCTGATAACCTTTTATGAATAGCCTGAGGCCCTGAATACACAGCAGCTGCTGTGGACTGAATTCACTCCTAATGTGAGGAACAGCTAACTGATAGGCCTTTAAAGAATATAAACCTACTATGAAAGGAAACATTTTGTCTTGTTTTAAACAAAAGTTGAGAATTAATAAGCCAGCTTGAAATATGTCAATTTTACTACAGAAAAAAATGGGGGGAAAGTATCCATTAAAAGAATGACTATCAACAGTTAAACTAAAAGATTTTTCCTCTATGTAAGAGTATATATTTTCTTATTGCTTCATATAACAAGTATAGTCTGGCAGGAAAGTTATAGTAACAAAATTCCTACTGGTGACATTTAAACTTTAGGCTATTTTTCAAAGTAGAAAATTTGTAAACACTCTTTTCACTATATATATATCTCAGTGGATTCTCAAAGTATTTTAAGTTTCCACTCCACTGAATAGATTTACAAATAAATTACAAAACCCTAAAAGAATCACCGAAGACTTACAGTAGAAATGGCATTCACCATGCCATTGGTAATCTGGTCTTGGCGCATGTGTTTCACAACATCAAACTGGGCTGCTCTTTGTTTAGGAATCACTTGGTCTGCAATCTTCTTCATTTCAGAATTAAATTTTTTGAACAAATCTTCAAAAAGAAGAGATAAAAGCTAAAAAAAAAAGAAAGAAAAGAAAAATATGTGGTAATCTTTCAAAAAGCATTACTAGGCTATTTTAATAAACTTTAGGTCTTGATTAAGGCTTTGGTAAAAAAAAAAACAACAATATGGAGCAACTGCTTAAAACTGAAAAAAATATATTTTTAAAATTCAATTCAATAGATATATACATAATTTTCTACATACTTAACACTATACTAGGTATTGGAAATGAGAGTAAAGATGATGACATAATCCCTGCATTCAAAGACATTAAATTTAGACCAGTCAGTTCCAGACTTTGAAATTTCAATGACCAGTGATGTAATTTTTAATTTTACAAATAAAGTTATATACTAAAACCAAAAAAGGTGTGGGGGAGGGGGGAGAGAAGAATTACCATTAAAAAGTCTGATGACACCAAAGATGTGATGCCATTTGAACTTTTCCTATATCATTGGTAAAAATTGGTACAATTCACTTACACAATCACTTACAATCACAGTTTGTAATTATCTACTCATCCCTTATGCCCCAACAGTTCCTCTCCTAGGTATATCCAATACTGCAGTGGTTCTCAAGCTTTAGCATGGACAGTAATCACTCTGAGGGACTGTTAAAACACAAATTGCTGGCCCACTCCTCCAGTTTCCAATTTGGTAGATCTAGGATAGAGTCCAAGAATTTGCATGTCTAACAAGTTCCCAGGAGATACCTGTGCTCCTGGTGGGAGGAGGGCACTTTGAGACTCAGTGCCCTACAGAAATTTGTGTTTAATTGCAGCAGAATACATATACAAGATATGTGTAGTGAAAGGACAGCCTTGCTAGCAAAACAACAGAAAAATTATCTAGTTTCTCAGTAAGGGCTAAGATCAATCATATGACCTCTCTTGCTAACCAGACACCCCACAGAGTTCTGTTTTCACAACATCTGAAAAGAGCTGAGCAGACAGAAAGGAAATGTAAATCCTTCTTTTTATGTATATTCACTAGACCTATTTGCTTTACAGCCCTGAAGAGTTACTGAACTCCAGCAGGGGTAAGAGCTTCGGGCCTCAATTCCTGCCCAAAACCAAATCTAAACAGCAAGATCCTTGACATCCCACAGTTGCTTCTGTTATGTGTCCCACACTAAGAAAAAAGAGAAGAAGCGGATGCAGCAGTATCCAGCTAACTGGGATACAGCCATAAATCATCTTCACCCCCTTCATAACCCCTAAATAAAAAGCCTGAGTAACTGGTCTTCTACACCTAACACACTCTTCCTCTTTCACTTCTGTGTTGGCCCTTTTTCCATCTGGAAAAAGTAAAACAAACTTTTCCTTCTTTCTATCCTAATCTGTGTGAGAAATTTTTCTCCACTCACGCTGTGAGCTACTCGTAAGTTCACCACTCTTACATGTAGTAGCATTATTTTTAATGGCTATAAACTGTTAGGAACTGGGCCATACAGCAGGAAATGAGTGGCAGAAAAGCCAGCAAAGCTTTATCTGTTACTTACAGTTGCTCCCCATCACTCACATCACTGCCCCAGCTCCACTTCCTGTCAGATCATTAAATTTCGCATTATGGCGAGTTGTATAATCATTTCATTATATATTACAATGTAATAATAGAAATAAAGTGTACAATAAATGTAATGTGCTTAAATCATCCCAAAACTATGCACCACCACCCACCTGCCCCAGTCCATGGAAAAACTGTCTTCCATGAAACTGGTCCCTGGTGCCAAAAAGGTTGGGGACCACTGCTATAAAGCAATGAACATGAACAAAAAATAACTAACCACAAAATCATGGCTGGATCTTGAAGGAAATACTCAGCAAAAGAAAACAGGCATAAAGAATACATATAGGATGACTCCATCTATATAAGGTTGAAAAACCAGCACAACTATGCTATATTGTTTAGAAAGGCACAGTTAGGTGGTAAAATTTTTTAAAAAGCCAGGATATAAATTCCACAAAAAAAGAAATGAGTGAAAATTTTAAGGACTTCGTAAAGTCCAAATGTGCTATCATGCAAGTATAGAATTCTTCAGAGCCCCAGTGACAAGAGGAGTCTACAGTCACTCGCGAGTTCTCTTCTGTGGAGTGCTCTCAAAAGGATGGAGTGAGGCAGAAGACCTGAGAAAATCCTTTGTTGGAACAAAGGCAACAAAACCATATCTACTTTGTTGGATGTTCTTGCTTATGAAGCAAAATCGTTAAGTCACTGAGGAAGTGTCAGGAAACCCTCCTGCCTAGCAAAGTCTCAGGAGGCAAAAGGAACCTGCACTCAGACAGGTAGAGACAAAAGCTGTCTGTCCCTGAGGGTAGAAGAGGAAATCCTCCCAGTTCTCCCAACAAACCTCGTACCTAGTAACAAGCAATAATAGTCTACCACTGGAAGAGGGCCACCAAGGAAAAGGTAGAATGCCAGAGGGAAGAGGACGGACAAGCAAAAACCATCTTGAAAATATTAGAATATCACTATCTTGCATGCTCTAATGAAATAATGAACAAAGGAAATGATCATCATCAGATGCTAAATAAAACCATCAGGAGAAAAGCTGATGGGGAACTTCATAATGGATGAGTCAGGGCCCCAAACACCTAAACCCATTATGGTCATGCAGTTTCTGTCTATCCCACAGCAAACACTCTGGAGTCCTGAGCCACCCTGATGCAATAACACTGGAAAGGTCAGGTCCTGCTTGAGCCTAACCGTCCAGCCCTGCCTACCATCCTCTAGCAGAACTCCACCAACAGACCTTCATCAATAACACATCAAACAGAAGAATCAAATAGCCAAGTTCTGCCAGCATTCCTGACCCACAAAATTGTGAGGTATGTGTAATAAAATGTTGGCTATGTTAAGCCACTGTTTTGGTACACAGCAACAGATAACCAGAATACCAATATCAAGTTCACAAAAAGGCAAAACTCAATAGATGGCTTACTACAGATAAAGAGCTGGTAGACTTCTTCAATAATAAAATATGATATTACAAATACTAAATTTCCCTACAAAATTAATTGTATTACTTTTTCCCCCCTTGTAAGCAACTTTTTCCTTTACAGAGGAAGGAAAAAAAGCTCTATATATTTGTGATCTAAGTTAACAAACACAACATTAAAGTAATATGAAGGGAGGTATTATATTTATACTAATTATTTCCTTAAAGAGGAATTCTGAGATTCGGGAAAAATTGTGTAAGTTAAAGATTTTTCCGGGCCAGGCACAGTAGCTCACGCCTGTAATCCTAGCACTCTGGGAGGCCCAGGCAGGCGGACTGCTCCAGGTCAGGAGTTCGAAACCAGTCTGAGCAAGAGCGAGACCCATCTCTACTATAAATAGAAATAAATTAATTGGCCAACTAATAAATAAATATAAAAAAAATTAGTCGGGCATAGTGGCACATGCCTGTAGTCCCAGCTACTTGGGAGGCTGAGGCAGCAGAATTGCTTGAGCCCAGGAGTTTGAGGTTGCTGTGAGCTAGGCTGACGCCACGGCACTCATTCTAGCCTGGGCAATAAAGTGAGACTCTGTTTCAAAAAAAAAAAGATTTTTCTGAATTCCATATTGACTATATTCCTGAACGTTTATAACTGACAGGTAGTTTTTTGACTCACAATGAAGAAGATAAATCAAATGAGTCTTCTCCTCCAGCTAGTACTGAACAAAGAATTTCCTAAGTGGGATTTGATTTTATGCTTTTCTCTGTTAGGTTAAACATGGCTTTCTACTTTTCTACTAAAATCAACTTCTTTGCAGATATGAAAACCTGGACTGTAGATTTGAATTTACCATGTCAGAAGTGTTCTAAAAAGAAAACTTCCTCCTCTGAGAGCTTAATCCTTTCTTACAATCAGACCCAGTAATTTTACTTATGGAAAGAAAGAATATGGGAATAGAAGAAGGTGCAGAGGGGTGAGAGGGGATGAAGAAATCCATTTCAGCAACTTCCTGCAGCAACTGGCAAAAAGAACTTGAATAAGCACCCTGAACAGAATCAAATGCCCTTAACCTAACCCATAAAAGCTCAGCTCTATTTTAATTAGTCCCTTATACTTAGACACTTTTGTCTCAAATAATGACAAAATTTTTTTGGATCTCAGTTGAATTTATTATAGCCCCCTGATTCAAACACAGGGAGATGTTCTTGGCACTAAACAGGTAAAAAGTAAGAGCACAGTCAACAGAAATACTGCTTCATGAATACATTTCTCCACCCCTAAATTTTCATTTTAAGAGAAATAAAGTCCAGTTCATAGCGTAGTGAGAAGCCACAAGGCCAAGCCACACAATAAACCACATTATTTAGGTCAAGAGTAAAATGACTAAAAGGGATGGAATGCTGGTGATAATAATATTCAGTACGTTCACTGGTAGCATGAGGCCTTTCAGCCTATTTAAGACAGGAGCACTAAAGAGGAGATCATATTTAAGGAAAAAAATGCTGACAGCTCATCAACTGATTTTCAATGAAAATGCTAAAAAAAATTAATAAAGTAGTTAAGCTGCTGAAATACAGTTTTACCAATTAGCTTAATGTCAGAGAATTCTAATTAGGCGTCTTGAGATTACTATTTAGTGTTTAAGCCTTCAGAGTGCCAAATTCTCCTTTTCACACAAACTGGTTGCAAAATTAAAGACATTAGGCTGCCTTAATTACATTATCAGAACAGCTGGGATTAGGCAATCTCTGAAGTCAAGACGGCATTCTTTTGTCACAGGGTGGAAATCCCTGGCTTTCCAGGGTGCCGGATTTTGGTGCCATTCCATATCTCACCCATACAAAGCAAGCTGCATTAGAAACAAAAAATTTGCAGACAAAGAATAGAGAAATGCTCAGCAAATAATGAACACATTACCGAAAAAGAAAAGGTAGGTGAAAAGATTAAGCCTGAAATCGGTAGGTTTTGCTAACACCTCTACTGGCGGCTGGCCTGCCAACCCTCTGGTGGCAATAGGACTGAGGGAAAGCTCTGTGAACTTGCTTGGCCAGTGGAGACAACTCTGTTATCTAAAGCTGAAGCACATTTATACTCTCTCATCCCATGGGGTGTGAAATTAGCAGCTATTGTTTTTACACATTTTTGCCAACACAATGCCTTTTATGTCTTTACATTGTTTATAAAGCTATGTTTTCTTGCACATGGGAACCCTCTTTGTAATTCTAATTTTTTAAGCAACAGGATTGGCCCTCCTTCCCCCCCAACTCCATTTCTTATTCCTCTAAACAACCAATGTTTTTATAATGGACTCATTTGACAGCATGATTTTTCCCAATTAAAAAACAGTAAAGATTGGGATCGAGGATAGTAGGGATGCCCATAATTCCTCGCACAGTGGTCAATCTGAAGGTGGCCAAAAACCTATCTGCTAGGCATCAGCCATTAACCAAAGGAGCTTCCCCCAGTAGTTCAGATACCTTTTCACCAAAACCTACAACTGCTATAATTTCTTAATTCCAGTTTTAAAATTTTAGGTGTGGCAATATCTGCTGTTATCACCTCAGTGCCATCATCTCTCATCTGGAATACTGATACAGCCTCTTAGCCAGGCCTCTGTTGGCATGTTGTCTCCAAATCAGATCTTTCTAAACTAAAAATCAAATCATGTCACTTCCCTGATTAAAACTCTTCCATGGTTTTCCACTGCATGTAGAATTAAATCCAAATTCCTTTACATGGCCTTTCCACAGACAATGTAGCCTCTGCCTAGGTCTCCAATGTCCTCTTTCATCACCCACTCATCTCACTCACAGTCAGCCACACTAACTTTCTGTCAGTTCCTCCATTCTCCTAACTTATTCCTGTCTTGATAGATGTAGACCTGCTTGTGTTTCTTGCTGGAATGCAGTTCTCCAGGTTGCATGAGATTGGCTTTTTTTAAACAATTGTAACCAAACTTTAACTCCAAAGATTCTCACAAAACATATTACAAATGCAGCTCTGCACATGCCTGTGAATGATCAAGAAAGTGCCATGAGCATTGACTTGGGGGTTACAAATAAATGTTAGTGAATAGGCAAATTTATAAGTATGGAATCTGCAAATAAAGGGGGTTTACCTGTATAAACTAGACAAAAGAGGAAACCACTTGAAATGTACTGGAGAGTATCCAGAAGTAAGGAGAAAGTGAGGAAAAGGAACACTTATCAAAAGGAAATGGTACTGAGAGAGTTTCCCATTTTAAGGCTTTTCATCTAAGGGCAGGCCATGGTCCCTGTCACATCAGAGGCTAAAACTTGAAAAAGAATGTGGCAGTCTTACTGGATTGAAGAACCAGAGAAAAAAGACCTGAGCTATCTCAGCAGCTGGAAAATAAACGAGGAAATTCCAAATTCTGTATTTAATCCTGTCCAAACCTCCAACTGACTCTTGAAAGTCCAAGCAGCTCAGCTATGATTGAAAGAACAAAAGAATTCAACATATTTCAGTTGCTGTTTCCTGAAAAAAGACAAGATTCAGAGGTTTTTCAGCCAAATTTACTGTGGTAAAATAAAAAAAAAGAACACTCTTCAGAGGAATACAATAGAATCCAGAGTCCCTACAACTCATCATCCACAATGTCCATCAGGACACAATCCAAGATTATTAGACAAAAGAAACAGAAAAACATGACCCACACTCAAGAGACTGACCCCAAAAAGACTAAGACATTAAAATCAGACAAAAATTTTAAAGCATCTATTAAAATTCAAGGATGTAAATAAAAATATGGTTGTGATGGATGAACAAACAAGAAATCTGAGACGAGAAATAGAAGCTGTGAAAACATATCCAAATCAACTTTCTAGAACTGAAAAATATATAAAATAAGAAATTAACTAGATATCTATAAAATCATATTAGAGATGATATAAGAAAAGGGAAGTAAACTTGAAAATAGATCAAAAGAAATTATCCAATTTAAAGAAGAGAAAAAATTTTTCAAAAATTAACAGAGCCTCAATATCAAAGGGTCTAACAGTATAATTAGGATCAGAAGAAGAGAGAGAAAATAGTGCAAATAAGATAAGTGAACAAAGTTTGAACATTTCTCAATTTTGACAAAAGACATAAATTTACATATTAAAGAATTTAGTACACCCTAAGCCGGATAACAATAAAACCACATCAAAGCTTTTCTTTAAACTCAAAGACAAAAGAAAATATCAATAGCACCCAGATCTCTGTTCTAGCTCTTTCATTTAAAGGCAGTATCTGATTGAAATGCTAAAACATGAAGTTTCAAAGACTTTTAGACACTTGCTGCCCAGTTGAAAGGAATACATACTGTCAAAATAAGATATCATTTATCAGCTAAGATTTAAAAAGAGATTAGAGACACCCCACTAACTTACTTTTACCATGTCACCAAAATAGTCAGGGAACTGTTTACTTACTCACTCACTAGAATTTAAGGACCAAGAGAAAAGGGACCTTTGTCTGTCTTATTCCCTCTTGCATACCTTGTACCGAGAAGTATGTCTAAAATATAAGGGCTTAATAAATATTTGTTAATTGAATAAATTAAAGTCATATTTTACTTCCATTACACAAAATGAAGGCATACATCTCAACAAAAGATATAATGTAGGTAACACACTATTAACATTTAAAGAATTAATGTTTTCACAGTTAATTTCTTAAGTCTAAGAGATAGTAAGTTGTGTGAAATGTTTATACTTCGAACATGCAACCTGAACACCATTCAAATGTCTCTTCTTCCTATCTAAAATGGAAACCAAGTTAATTTTTATTAATAAGATTTTTGACATAAAGTATTTAAATCACCTGTCCTGCCAATTCCAATCGCTTGTTACCATAATAGTCTCTGTCGTCGACTTTATTATCTCCCTGTGCCAAAATTACTCTTCGCACCATCACTGCAGTATAGATACATTTGGCTCGGAAATTGAATTCCTTAACCTGTAATTCAGAAATTAGAGAACATTTTTGAGAATATGCACACTAAAATTTAAGGCACCTCAAGAAAAGAACCAATGTTATAACATTTAAATAATATTGAATTATGATTCTCCGTATTCAAAGAAATTCAACTAGTCTGTAAACCTCCTGAAGGCTGAGATGATGACTTTTCATCTTTATACTCAGTACCTGTGAGTACCTTTTGTTTAGAGATGATTACTATCTACTTCTTTCCTTCCTACATACAATATTTCATGCCACTCCTTCCTCAGAGAGATAGTCCATCATCTCCCTTGGATGGCCTGTGATTAGTCTGACCAAGAGAATACAGCAGAAATGATGCCAAGCCAATTCCATGCCTATCCTTTAATTAAACTGGCAGTTTCTACCTTCTTTCTCTTAGAGTCTTAAGACACCATGTTAGAAGCCCAGGACACACTGTTGTGCAGAGAGAGAGAGGCTACATGGAAAAGCACTGAGGGAACAGAGATATGAGTGAAGAAGCCATCTTGGATGTCCAGCCCACTTGAGGCTTCAGATGACTCCAGCTTTAGCTGCTGGCTGTCTGAAAGCTCATGAGAGACCTAAAATGAGAACTCCTTCCCTAACTTAGGTTAAGCCCAGTTAAACCACAGAATCATAAGGGATATAGTAAACAGTTATGTTAAGCCATTAAGTTTTAGAATTTTTTGTTATGCCGTGATAACAAGAACAGTACTAAAACATTGTCTATCTAGCATACAGCAAATATCTGTTGAATGAATAAATGGATGTGGAACGATGCATGAATTTGCTGCCAATCTTTGCTAGTACAAATGCTGAAATCTATATGAATGAATCTGGCTCAATCATTAAATTGAATCAGAACTGCTAAAATAACTGCACTGATTTGTTTGGGGAGATAAAAACCTTTTCCTACAGCTAAAAATGTGAATTCTGAGAGGACAGTCTGAACTTTTGCCAATTTTGAGAAATATTTTATAGGCCTTTCTATAGAGGATACATACTACTAGAAAATTTCCTTTTTACTTACCTTAATCATTTACTATAATCCCAATGAGATTCTTTTTATTAACATTATCATTATGACAATAACTCAGCACATCTTGATCTAAAATAACAGTAGCAAGCATTCTCCTTTGTAAGTTTTGTTGTTGTTGAAGAATTGCACTAAATAATGTTAGCATTCTGTATGTGTTTGAAAAGTTTATTTTCCTTCAAAGGAAGTTTTATTTCTTCTGTAGGTCAATTTATTCTCTATTACTGAGAACTTTGGAATGTGTTAAAAGAAATGCATTTGGGAATGTGGTAAAAGAAAAAGCTCTAAAAGCTACTTTGTCATCTTGTACCCACAAAACAATTACATCAATAAAAGGTCTTTAAAAAGAAAAGTCTCTTGTCCATTCTTTAAAAATCCCCTGCAATCATAATACCAATTACCAAAACACTAAGCAAAAAACCACCAGTGTCTAGGCAGGTATAAGTAATGTACATTTCAATTGCTATTTCCAAGGCTATATGGTCCTCCATTCAGGTACATCTAATTTACATTTCATTTTTTCTGATCTTAATATGGCAAGTTACATGGAACACCTAACTCTTCTAGTTGTAGTTATTCTTCTTACTAATGAGAAAAATGAAGCAAACTTTCATTAACCAAATTTTCAATTTTTCAACAAAGCCCGTTTCACATTTTCCGTTTGCATAAATACTGGTAGAGATCCTAAGACATTTATAACTAGAACTAAATATGGACATTTATAGCAAATACCCCTATTGTACTTTATAAGGCCATTCCTTCATTAGAGGTGGAATCCATCACCTCGTTGGGACTGAACCCTAATTCATTTTCACTCCCCCTTTTAACGACTATATGCTGAAAAGCAAACCCTAGGTCTAAATTGAAATAATGAGTTAATACTTGGCACATTTTTCCAGGACCATTCCCAGAGCTATATGGAGGTGGGACCCTTTAATCTAGTGGCTCACATCGTTTTTTGGGAGAATGCCAAGAGTAGTTCAGATATGCCTTTCTGGGATGTCCACCTGTGAAATTATCTGAAAGAGGGTAAAAAACAAGAACTAACAAGTGAGCTTGGAATGCTGCAGCAGAATTGTCACCAGAACTCTGGAACCTTTTAATGTTGCCTTGGAGGAAAGAGAGGTCTGGGACTTGGGAATTATTTTTCTGGAGCCTACCCACCCTTAGAGCAGTGGTTTTAAACTGAGTATGCATGAGAATCACATGGAAGGCTTTTTAAGACACAGATTGCTAGGACCCACCCCCAGAGTTTCTGAGTCAGTAAGTCTGGGGCAGAATTCAAGTATTACTAACAAGTTCCTTGATGATGCTGACGTTACTAGTCCAGGGAATGCTCTTTGAGAACCACGGCCCCCAAGGAACCTGAGAGACCAGGGACCGAGACAAAGGCCTTTGCAGGCCACCCTCAAGTACAAGTGCTGGTAATTGCTGAATATCCTGCCCATTTTCTCCCTCTATGTAGTCACACCTAAATTAGTGCTTTCCAAAGTTTAGTCATTAAAGTTCCACCATCATGAGTATTATCGTATCTCTATAATACTTACTTTTATTTTTGTTCATCTTTTAACAACTTGTTTTAAAGTAAGCTTCATCTTATGCAATAATACTATGAAGTCACACATACCACATAAATGGATTTGATGTGCTAGTTGTATTTCTTCTAATAAATAAATAATTATTTAAATCAAATTGTTCCTGTACCACCTAAAAATCCCCTTTTACAGCACACTTAGGTAAATACTGTCCCAAACTATTCTGGAAAAAAAAGATCTTTTCCTGGTTCATCTATTCTTATTTTATTTCTCACTGGATTATGTATAACCAAACTTTTAAAATGGCAATTTAGGCTCAGTACAAACACAGAAAAATGCAAATGATTATCTTTATCAACCTAATTAAACAAATGTCAATAGAGCCAGCATTCTACCAGCTAAGACTCTTCTTTCTCTCTCTCTCTCTCTCCCTCCCTCCCTCCCCCCCCCTCTTTCTTTCTTTTTTGAGACAGCGTCTCACTTTGTTGCCCAGGCTAGACTGAGTGCTGTGGCATCAGCCTAGCTCACAGCAACCTCAAACTCCTAGGCTCAAGCAATCCTTCTGCCTCAGCCTCCCAAGTAGCTGGGATTACAGGCATGCGCTACCATGCCCGGCTAATTTTTTCTATATATATTAGTTGGCTAATTAATTTCTTTCTATTTATAGTAGAGACAGGGTCTTGCTCTTGCTTAGGCTGGGTTCGAACTCCTAATCTCAAGCAATCCGCCCGCCTTGGCCTCCCAGAGTGCTAGGATTACAGGCGTAAGCCACCATGCCCAGCCCAAGACTCTTTAACCGAAAGTTCTCTTTAGTTACACTATAGAAGTGAGGCCTCTAGCTAGAGACTCTAGCTAAGTGAGGAGCCATACAAAATACAGAGCTTTATGTACATCATATCACTGAATCATCATAAGAAGCCTGTAAGAAAGTGATATTACTTTCATTATACAGATGAGAATACTGAAGCTTAGAAAAATTAAGATTTGTCCAGAGTAAATCAGTCAGGATGCAGAAAACCAGGATTTGAACAATTATGTCTCAGGCACCAAAGCCCTGTTTCCACTATCCATTTTAGCTATTTTGTGTTTCAAACCGTCTTTCCAATCATCCAAATGACCTTAAAATTCACTTCCAACCCAGTTTTAACATCAAGAATTTTCCAATTCTTTGGATTAATCAAGGACACATACAAATGGTAGATAAAGTGTAGAATCAAAGTCCTGCAATCTGAGTCAAAACGGTGTTTTTACATAAGAAAATTGAATTTGAATGCGTTCAGTGGTCTCCACTTTCACAGATCTCTTGACCTCCCATTATTTTACAATCAGTCCCTGAAGATTGACTTTATAACCCCTGAATTAGATCATTCATGAATGGTACACATACTAACTCATTATAAACCAGACTATGTGGTTACCAAGAGAGTCTAACAAATAATAATTATATAACTTAGAAAGAGTAGTATATACATTAAAGTGGGGAGGCAGGGGATGACTCTTGCCAACACCCACATGCTAATGTGGCTCGTCTATTTAATGATAAATTAATAAGAAATAAATATTATGCACTAATTCAAGGGTCAGAAGATAAATTCTAGCCCTCTAGCTAACTAGCTGGGTGACAAGGTGCATCATCTAGCATGTCTGGATCAGAGAATCTTCACTATAAGTGACGAAGGTTTGACAATGAGAATTCTAAAATTCAAGGTCTCAGAGATGAATTCATCAATAAGCACTTTAAAAATTATCTATATACATATATACTTTTATATCTACAATAGATACTTGCACAATAATGTGAAAGTTCTTAAGGTCAGAAAACTGTACACTTAAAATGGTGAACTTTATGTTATGTATATTTCACCACCACTACCACCACCACCACCACCACAAAATATGTATGTATGTATGGGCAAGGCACTGTAAGCTTGTCTTAATTTATTTAAAAAACATGTAAGACACCTCATCTCTGTTCTTCAAAACTATGGAATCTAGATGATGATGATGATAATGATGATGATGATACAACTAACACTCTCTGAGTACAAATAAACTGCTGAGAGCAAAGATTATTTCCAGTGGGGCAGTACAGTCCTCTTCAAGATTCTCTCTTAAAGAACTAGACTTTAAATGGTGTAAACCCTTATTCAGAATTCTTTAACAGAAATTCACAGACCCCCACAATCATCACTATTCACAGTTAGAAATGCATTACTCACTGGTACATGGGTTAGAATGGTAGAAGCCAGGAGCTCTCTTGCTTCTTCTATCTTGGTTTTCTTTGGTCCACCTCCCCACATCCTTTGCCTTCTTACTTTGTTCCCTATATATTTTAATGCCTGTAAGAAACAGATAATAATAATGTTTGAATGAATTGATACATGATCATTGCAGGAAATTTAGAAAATACAGATAAGTAAAATATATATGTGCGTGTATGTATGTGTGTGTCTATGTATATGTGTGTATGTATGTATCTATGTATATGTAAAGTAGCCATCAATCCTTCACCCAGAGAGAACCACAGGTAACATTTTGGGACAGTATTTTTTTCCCCTCAAAAAGGAATCACACTATTTGAGACCTCTACGCTGAAAGTTACAAAACACTGCTGAGAGAATACAAAACCTAAATAAATTAGTGGTTATGACATTTTTGTGGACTGAAAAATTTAGTAGTGTTAAAAGTAGCTTATTATTAAAATTCTCTCCAATATGACCAGTAAATTCATGATGGCTAATTATAATCTCAGCAGGTTTTTTAAAAACAAAAATCAACTGATTCTAAAATTCTAAAATTTAAATGGAAATGCAAAAGACCTGAAATAGCTAAAACAATACTTAAAGAGGAAAGCTGGAATATTTACATTACCTGATTTCAACTATAAAGCTGCAATAATCAAAACAGTAAGAGTCTGGCATAAGGATAGATAAATAGATCAACAGAAGAGATTAAAAAGATCAGAAATAAACTCACACTATATGGTCAATTGATTTTTGACAAAAGTGCCATGGCAATACAATGAGGAAGGGAAACTCTTCTCAATAAATGGTGATGAAACAACTAAATATCCATAAAGTAAAAAATTAATCTTGATCCCTACCTCACACCAAATAGAAAAATTAGTTTAAGATGGATTTTAAACCAAACATAAAAACAAAAACTATAAAGCTCCTACAAGAAAACATCAGAGAATAGATTCTTGATCTTGGGGCAGGCAAAAATTTCTTTAAACAGGGCACAGAAAGTAATACCCATAAAAGGAAAACAAAGAAAAAACCTGATAATTAGATTTTTTTTCAAAATAAAAGACAGTTAAGAAAATGAATATGGAAGCAATGAACTGGGAGAAAATATTTATGATACATAAATCTGACAAGAAGTTTACATCCAGTATTTTTTTTTAAAAAGGACTCTGAAACTTAATAACAAAAAGACAACTCACTAAAGAAAATGAGCTAATGATTTGAACACTTCACAAAGAAGAAAACATAAATAGTCAATAAACACATGAAAAAGAGTTCAAGATCATCAGGGAAATGAAAATTAAAACTACAAGAAGATACCATTATATACCCACTATAGTTAAGTTAAAAAGACTGACAATATCAAATATTAGCGAGGCATGAAGCAAACAACTCTCATACACTGCTTATGTATGGGACTGCAAAATGGTATAATCATTTTGGAACAAGGTATAAAAAGTTATATACACAACTGCTCTCTGACTTAGAAATTCTATTCCTAGGTATTTATCCAAGAGAAATGAAAAGATACCCACACAAAGATTTGTCTATAGTAGCTTTATTCATAACAGCTAAAGATTGAAAAACAAATGTCCATCTATAGGAAAACAGATAAAACTGTAGTTTATTCATATAATAGAATACTACTTGGCAATAAAAAGAAATGAAGTACATGAAATGTACTTCGTTCAAGGAATGAAGTACATTAAAAGGAATAAAAAAAAGAACAATTTGGATGAATCTCAGACAACATGCTCAGCAAAAGAGGCCAGATACAAAAGAGTATATATTGCTTAATTCCATATACGAAGTTCTAAAACAGGCAAAACTAATCCATGGTGCAAAAATCAGAATACTGGGGAAAAAAATCAGAGGGTAGAGGTGAAAACTGACTAGGGGACTAAAAGTGAGAAAACTTCCTGGAATAACAGAAATATTCCATATCTTATAAAAGTCATATAATTAAGATTTGTACATGTTAGTGTACATAAACTTACTAAAAAAATAGAATGCATAACTAAAAACTAACCCATTAGGGTGTAAGAAGTGAATGGACAGTTAGATGAAACATGAATATCACAGTGTTGATAATTGCTGAAGGTTGGTGCTGGGTGCATGAGGGTTTATAATACTATTTTATATACTTTGTATATGTTGAAATTTTTCCATAATAAAATGTCTAAAGAAGAGGACCATGTGGTTCTTATTTTTCTGTAATAACAATGTACATTTTTAAAAACTGGCTTTCACTTTACCAAAAGAAAGGGCTAGGATCCGATTCTCTTCCCTGGAATTCTTGCCCCAAGTATCTGCCCGGAAAAATTCCTTTTTCATGCTTCAAAACCAGGTATCAGGTATCATTTCCTCTCTGAAGCTTTTCTTAACCTACTTCTCTCTCTGAATTTTAATTCCTTATGCATAAAGAATTGAATTCATTCATGTTCACACCATATTATGTTTTAATTATCTATTTACATGTATGTTTGTCCTACTAGATTTTAATGGTGGTAACTTTGTCATAATTTTCTTTGACTCCCAATAACTTGGAACAGAATGAAACTCCTCCCTTGTGATAAGATTTGGACATCAAATCTAGGATCTTCCCTGTTAAAAGGCCATTAACGCTTAAGATAAACTAAGACCTTGAAAACACTTGTTGCAGTGAACTAATAGTAAGTAGTATTAAGGAACTGATTAAAGCAAGTCAACAGTTGGCGGGAACCATAAATAGACAGACGGTTCCACTTTCCCTAAACTTCATTAAATTTTGGTCTTCTAATTCCCTTGGGAAAAAAGCTAAAGATTCTTCACTTCTTTGAGGAAGAAATAGAGGAACACAGGAGAGCAAGGTATCCGTTCTGATATAACAGAAATTCACCTTTTCCCTGGAATACCTAATGTTGCCGGGGTTTCATGGTATGAGATTTCATGCATTAAGAGCCTGAACTATTCACAAATAGGCCAAGATGACACCCCTAGTGCATCCTACGCCCCCCCAAAAGGTAATAAATAATTTCTTCTCTATACACCAGAGCCCTTGACAATGATTATGTAAAATGTATATGGATCAAAATAGACTGAAGGCTTCAGAAACAGAATGGTAGAGAGACTACAGAGAGAGGCATAAAAACCAAAAGAAACAAAAACTCCATAGGTTGTAAGCAAATGAGGCCACATCTCCAAAAGTTCTATTATATAAGATAAAATGTACTTGCTACACTTTCATTTAGAATAGCACATAACATTCATGTCTTCATAAGTGATAATATACATTGAATGTATCAATCATTTGGGTTACTTATGCCTCTGTACCCTTATATTAGTTGCAATAACTAATATATGTCTTAATCCAGCATAGAGAGTACAAGCACTTTCAAAGTTACGTTTCCTTTTCAGGGGAAAAGGAACATTTGTCTTTCTTATGTTAACTAATTATATATTTCCCCCATCTTTTCACTGATCTGATCTAATTCAGTTAGCTGAAATTTTTCTGTCAGGACCTATTTAACAGAAATGAATGATTTTCCAACCTATTATTTAGCCTCTGTTCAAACAGCTTTACAATGTTAGGGTTATCTGATTAACAATGATGAAGTTTATAAGATGCATAATGGAACTCATTAAAGCCATTGGGGCCCCATTAAGGTAAACTGCTCTTCCAGGGCCCTATACAGCTTTAAAGAATAGCGTATTTCCAAAACCGAACTAATTATTCCTGTTCACAGGGTAGATTATATATTTTCTACTTTCTGGATATTTCTTAATGCTTTCTCTTCATGTTCTTGGAACCCTTGGACAACATTACTTTAGTTTGTAATAAAGATTTATGCCTTTATATATGCCAAATATTTCACTTTTTAAAAAGGCCAAAAATAGAATCTCCTAGATCCAAACAACTTTTCCTGTGTTGCCTGCCCAATAGCTGCAGTCAACTATTAATTAACTGTAGAAAAAGAGGAAGACAGTGATGAGAATAATCCCTACTGATTTGTGCTTTGGAGTTATATACACTTACACAACAACCCTCCTAAATGTTGCAGAAATATCTTTTTTATATTTGTAATTTAAATATAAATATTTAACCTAGATCCCTCAACATGCAGTTTACAATAGGGTGCGCACTCCTATGAGAATCTAATGCCGCAGGTGATCTGACAGGAGGTGGAGCTCAAGCAGTGATGCGAGTGATGGGGAATGGCTGTAGACACAGATGAAGCTTCACTGGCTTGCCTGCTGCTAACCTCCTGCTGTGCAGCCTGGTTCCTAATAGGCCATGGACCAATACCAGTCTGGGGTCCTGGAGGTTGGGGACCACAGCTCTATACTAAAGTTACTATGGTTTTAAAAATTATATATCATCACTCAAGCAAATAAGGAAGAAAAATGCTACTTGCTATTACATCAAAACAAAAGCCTCTTGGCCCCTTATTTCCCTCTTCTAAATTAGACACCACAGGCTGATAATTTGTCTAGGCAAACTCCTTCTTCCAATACCTAAAGAAATGAGTCAAAGAAATGTTTCTACCATACCTCCCATCTCTCTAGCATCCTTCTCAAATGTACAAGCCCCAAGCCATTGCATCCAAAGCTTTATCAATCAGCAGCATTAAATCTCCAATTCCATTTCATAGGAAAGGACAACATGAAAAGACACACCTGCATCTGCGTGAAAATCTGAGCTTTCTGGCACTCTTCCAAACTGGGCCCAAATGCAGCCATCACGTGCTCCTCTGTTCCAATCATCTGCACAATTTCCTGGTCACTCTCAACACCCATGGCCTAGGAAGGAAAGAAAAGACAGAAAGAGTGTTGGCTTTGTGTTAACTCACTGACATTTGCTTATGCTAATTTGGCATTGTTTGTGGGTATTACTTCTAAGCAAAAGCTAGCTCTTCTCTCAGAAACAGTGCCATCTGGCATTGGCAGCCATAGCCCAAGCTGCAGAAGAACCTGAAACAGAAATTTTGATTAGAAAGAGGAAAACAAACATTCTAAAACATTTTTTGTATGTGTACCATCTTCTAAAATTTGTAAATATTCTAAGAGTTTCATCATGAAAAAGGAGGCCAAGAGATATAGTGGAGACAACTGGTCACAATTACAAAGGCAAACCGAAGAGAAAAACAGTTAAAAGGCTGTGAATCAGAAAATACACATTGCTGAAAATAAGCAGAACCCCAATTAGCATTGTCACAAGATTAATTTTTCTGAGAATTGTCAAATCATTCATATTCAGGCTAAAAGAATTTTTCTAGAGATATCAAACTATACTTTATGCAAGTTTTAAAAGAGATTTTTAAAAACTAGGAACATACTTAACAGGTTTAAGAAACTCACTTAAGTGCTTCAAGGTGGGAGTGCCAATGCAGGTCTTTGTAGATTCCATATGTTATGAAGGCTCACTCCTTCACACATTTGCCTGGAATTCTCCCATAACAAGAAATAGAGCATAATCTCACTAAACCTCTCTTGTAAGAGTAATAGCCTGCTTCTTAGAAGTTAGAGGAAGAGTTATGTTTGCATTAAAATTCTTCCTTTAGCTATGCAGAAAAGATAGAACCAGAAGATAAATGTCTAGTTAAGCTTTGATGATCTAGTTCTCAGTTCTCCTCCCCACAAAAGAGAGAGGAAGGGAAAAGCAAATCCTAAGTTCCAATGCAGACTATCAATGACACCACCCTGAATACAACAAAAGGGCATCTATCTACAAGTCAAGAGACCTGAGGTGTTCGTCCTAATATAACGCCACACACAGACACAGACAGCACAACTACTACTGTCATAAAACTTCTTCTATCTGTTTTAAAAATTTTTATAATGAAACAGCACAACCAGGTCCTTTCCAGCTCAAAATTCTATGATTCTAACATTCTACAGTTGATGTTCAGGGGTCTATATCCTGTAAATTTGATTTACATAACTTTAGGATCAGATGTAAACTTACTGAAAGTTTTAAGGATTTAAGGGAAAGCTAAATCAATGCTATGTCCCTTTTAGGCCAACTGTGATGGTTTAAAAAATTTTCATAAATTCTTTGACATTCCCTTCAGAAGGTGGAAACTAATCCTCCCCCACTAGCTTCCTGCTTGCTGTGCTTCTTAGAGTGCTCTCTCTGGGGGAAGCTGGCTGCCATGTCATGAAGACACCCAAGGAGTCTGTGGGAAGGTCCAGTGGTGAGCAACTACGGCCTCTTACCAACAGCCAACAAGGACCTGTGATTTTCTGCCAACTGCCACGTGGATGAGCCACTGTGGAAGCAGACACTCCAGCTCCAATTCGGCCTTCAGAAGACTGCAGCCACCTTTCTTTTTTGGAAAGGTGCCTTGCTATTATGCCCAGGCTGGAGTACAGTGGCTATTCACTGAAATGATCATAGCGCACTATAGCCTTGAACGCCTGGCCTCAATAGATCTTCCCACCTCAGCCTCCCGAAACTGGGACCATAGGTGTGTGACAGCATCTGACATCTTGAATCATGAAAGACCTTGAGTCAGAACCACCTAGCCAAGCAACTCCTAAATTCCTGACCACCTGAAACTGTGCTATAATTTGTCACACAGCACAGATAACTAATATACCAACTTTTGGAATTAAATTTACTATTTGAATTTTAAAATATTTGTTCAAATGTACAATTTGTTTCTCTAAAATTTTTTTGTTTAACAAACAAGAAGTTCTCAGGATACAAATCCCTATTTTGTACTTTAATTTCTGCAGGCTTTTTACCTCCAATTGGATATGACACATTTCTTCAAAAGGATACTAGAAATAAACTCCACTATTTAAAAATCCCACAAATTCATTAAAACAGCCATTCATGGATTAAAGGAAGGCAATCCTAAAAAATGATCAGTTCCAATTTTTAAAAAACAAAAAACAGATTATTCTTAGCTTAAGCACATTAAGTGGCACTTACTCTGATGGTAACAGCACATGCATTACAATATCTATACTTTCTCCTTGATCTGCAAATAGCCAGTCACAAATATTAGAACAGAATTTTTCTCTGTAAAAAACTAAAGTTAATTTTTACTTGTCAATCTCTCAAAACAATGTTGTATGGGTTTCAATGGAATCAAAATATAAGAAAAACAATACTAAGGTAACTAAACTGCAGTGGAATCCAGTCATGTTTGTCTAAAATCTTTGATATTAAACTTTTAACCAACACACTTCACTTCTCAGTGGAAAGGCCAAACACTAAAAGAGATCTATATGGGACAGACAGCAAACCAAACATGCAAAATGATATGGTAGGAAAAGATCTGAGACAGAAATAAAATCTTAGAGTTAAAATGGCAGTAGCTTTCTGAATCAGCCTCCCCTTTTCAGGCATGTTAGCATCTGAACTGAAGGCCATCTAGATCATTTCAATAATTTGTATTTCAGTACAAGTGACAAAGACTGTAAACTTGATGGCCTGCTTTAGTATTTAATAATAGAGGTTGAGTATCCCAAATCCAAAAATCTGAAATGCTCCAAAATCCAAAGCTTTTTTTTTCTTTTTTTTTTTAAGAGATGGAGTATCACTATGTTGCCCAGGCTGGAATGCAGTGGCTATTCACAGGTGCAATCATAGTGCACTACAGCCTCAAACTCTTGGGCTCAAGTAATCCTCCTGCCTTAGCCTGCCAAGTAGCTGGGACTACAGACACACACCACTGCATCCAGCTTCCAAAATTCAAAATTTCTTGAGTGTAGACTAACACTCAAAGGAAATGCTCACTGAAGCGTTTTCAATTTCAGGCTTCTGGATTTAAGATGTTCAACTGTAAGTAACATGCCAATATTCCAAAATCTGAAAAAATCCAAACACTGGAACACTTCTGGTCCCAAGCATTTTCAGATAAGGGATATATAACCTATAATGAAAAAGTCCTTCCTCATTTGAAATATGGATTGCCACTTCAAGTTGTCCTGATGCTAAATCTAAGTAGTAATTTTATAATTGCATAAAATTCTCAAATGTCCTAACATGGATCTAAACAGACTGCTTAGGCCCTCCAAATATTTCTAAGCTATGAAGTAAAGATATGCCAAGCACATAGTAAATGACACCATATGTGCAGAAAGCATGATTACTACTGAAGTTTCGCTCCAAAAGGACTAAACTCTTTCTATATTGCGTCTCTGAAATACAGGGGTGATAACTCAGTCAAGTTATCATCAAAGCGCTCCAGCTGCAAAGACTGAACTGACTTTATGACTATTTAGCCTTCAGTAGTCACAGCTACAAATAAATGACATATTGCTATGGAAACGACAGCTAAATGGCCAACCATTTTACTTTACAGACATAATTTAGACATCTGAAAACTGGCTTTATATAGAACTCTTTGTACTGCAGATATCTGAAATCATTTCTCCTAATAAGTCAAAAGTAAATGCTACATAATAACCTTATGAAAAACTAGCAGAGATAATATGTTTCAGTAGAAGGTCACCCACAGTCTGGCAATCAACAATAACACTGAACAAAAATAAGGAGAGGCGCTCTGTAAAAGTGGTAACCGAGTTCTTCTTGGATAGCCACAAAGTATGACTAAAACTGTGACTTTTAAAGAGAGAAAAAAGAAAGAATACTAATGAGCAGAAGAGAATAATATGCACACCAATGGTGATATGCTGAAATATATTGTGTGAAAGTGGAAAAGGGAATAACTCTTAAAATATCTAATTAGAAACCTCTGATTTTTCTTTTAAGTAGACTAAAGTCAATCTATTATTACAAAAAGCAGTCCTAGCAGATAACAAGAGAACTGTGGTGGCTCTCTTCGACTTTGTAATTGTTTATTTTTAAAGACGGTAAATTTCCATAGAAGTTCGTTTCCAGGAAACATTGTGCAGCACCCTTGAAATCTGATCCTCTTTTCCACAAAAACTTTCAAATTACAGATGCCATCATAGTGCAACTGCTGAATACTTGGGAATACAAAATGTAAAGCAGGAAAGATTCATGGGCAAGAAAACCTTTGTAGTGGTTCAAGTCCATAAATAAGGCTGATCTATGTCTTAAAAGCTTTATATGTCATATTCACACTCAGCATGTAATCTGGAAACCCTGCTGTTTCTGTCACTTTTAGCCAATTGTGGGTTACAATCAACAACCATCAAGTCCTAATGACTGTCAAGGTCTGTGTTAGGGCCACACAACACTAAAAGAGAAATGATGTGTCTTTTTCTGGTATCCCAGTTTATTTTCCAGGGCTTCTGACAGTAAATGGGTAAGGAGAACTAAGGAAATAAAATGAGTATCCCCTTTTCCAGGCACTCTACTTTTCAAAAAATACATGATCCCATTTGCTCTTCACACCAATCCTCTTACGTAAAATTCTCTCTTTACAGATGAGTTACTACATCCAAGACTTAGAGAGACTGGGAAATTTACCCAAGGGCACATAGCTAACAAGTGGAAAAGGTGGGATGCAAGCTAGATCTGTCTATTTCTAAGATCTCTGATACTCTATGCTGCCTCCCAGATGGAAAAGTCTAGACAGTGGTTATCAAACAAGTTTCTATCAGTTTATTAAAACATCCCTATAGTGGGAGACCAAAAGAGTGACTACATATTACCAAAATATTTAGTTCATTTATCTGAACTAAAAACTTAAAAATATTTATTTTAATTCTTATATACTACTGAGTAGAATGTAACAGATATGTTATATCGGGAAAAATTTGGAAACATGTACCAAGTTTTTTTAAAAAAGATATACTTCCACTCCCAGGAATAAAGTCTCACTAAATAACCAGCAATGTGCACAAACATGTATGTATAACAACAATCATCCCAGGATTGCGTATAAAAGTGAAAACTGGGGGGAAAAATGATACCTTAATGTTTCACTGTAGGAAATTGGTTAAGTAAATTACACCACATGTATGAAACATCTACATAGTACTCACTAAAAATAATGATTTAGATTCATAGTTATAGTCATGGAAGGCTATTCACAATTCATTGGTAAGTGAAAAAAAATTGATGTATATATTATAAAAGCACAGGAAAAAGGTATGAAAAAATATATCCAAAAATGCAGTTATACTTTTCAGTGGTTTTCTAGATTTCATTATGCAAGTACTAGTTTTATATTCAGAAATGAAGAAGTTAGAAATCTCAACTACTAGTTATATTGCTAATTTATAGCCCCACTCTAAAAAGGATTTAAGTCAGGTTTTATATATATATATATAAACACACATACATATATATTTATAACATAAACATTTTAAAAATTTGACAGAACTGTCTTAATAAATTTTTGTCACCTAGCCAAAAAAAAGTACTTAATACAAGTCTTCTGATTTTAATGAATGTATGCATCTATCTATGCATTTACACTGAGTGATAGAAGATTATATGCATTATAATTAATTTATAATTTCTGGTCTAAATAAAGCAGTACCATGCATCAAAGTGTCTAAAACTTTCAAAAGTTCATTGGATGCATGGGAACATACTGCCATCTGCTGGAGATATAATTCCACATCATTAGATAACATTTTCTTCATTCATCACTATCTATATACCATGTTTCCCTGAAAACAAGACAGGGTCTTATATTTACTTTTCCTCAAGAAGACACCCTAGGGCTTATTTTCAGGGGATGTGTTATTTTTTTTAAGTGTGGTACAACAATCTGGTACAACAATCTACATTTATTCAAATATAGTTAAGTCGTTGCCATCTGGAACATCATCATAACTCTCCAAACCCCAAATTCCATCCTGAATTTCTTGTGACTCTATTTCCTTTAGAACCATTGGCCCCAATCTCTCATGTTGAGCAATAGAGCTCTTACAGGGCAGATGCAAAGGGCTGCTCATCTTCTTTACCGCTGGGCAACGAAATGCATGGGTTGCGCAGATACATGCGTAGCCATGCCCATCACTAGGTCTTATTTTCCGGGTAGGGCTTATATTGCGCAAATGCTTAGAAATCCTGCTAGGGCTTATTTTATGGGTAGGTCTTATTTTCGAGGAAACACGGTAAAATACTGAGTTGAGTATTATGGGATCCCTATGAGAAAAGCCAAAATTACTTCTGTGCTTAAAAATACAAACCTCGGAGACAGAAAATAAAAAGGATATTTAAGAATTCTCTCAGCAACGCATGGTGGCTCATGCCTATAATCCTAGCACTCTGGGAGGGTGAGACGGGGAGATAGCTTGAGGTCAGGAGTTCAAGATCAGCCTGAGCAACAGTGAGATCATATCTCTACAAAAAAATAGAAAAATTAGCCAGGCATGGTGGCATGTGCCTGTAGTCCTTGCTACTTGAGAGGCTGAAGCCAGAGAATTGCTTGAGCCCAGGAATTCGAGGTTGCAGTGAGCTATGATGATGCCACTGCACTTTAGCTGGGATGACAGAGTGAGACTCTGTTTCAAAAAAAAAAAATTCTGTCTAGACCCTGTGATATAGTGGTACTGCTATTATGATTATTATCATCACCACCACCCGAAGAGAAAATAAATGGCTTCATCTCATTCATAGAACTCAAAAGCACATTTAGCTATACTAAACATAAAAACAACTTCCTACAATCTCCTTCATGCAATTGTATTTAGAATATGGATGTTTCCTGAGTTGAACCTCACTTGCCAATATCCATTCAATACTTACAAATAACCAGGGCCATGCTCCCTACCCCCAACCAGAAGACTGACTGGAGGGCTACTTTCTTCCCTCACTCCTGCACTGTCACCTGGCTACAACTTTAACAGTAAAGGCTCAATTCTCTTCTTTCTTACTCCTCTGAGGCTTGTACCCAAATGTTTTTCCTTTTTAACCAACTTAGTAAATCCTCCTAAGAGGATTTCTTTCTCTGTTTTCTCTAATCATAACTGTGAAAATATTTCTATCATAACAACTGTTGAACAGAAACATTTAATTCTGAAGTGAAAATAATAAATGAGTATTATCAATCTCTAAAATTATCTAAAATATTCAGTATCTCCTCAATAAGTTCTCTTTATTTCAATTAAACTAGTTATCAAGATTAATTTTATAGCCATATACAGTCAATTATTGTTATTCGTGGTAGTTAAATTCTATAAAGTTGCTGAATTACACTGTATACTAAACAGTGAATACTGAACCTTTGCTCCTAGGAATAGAGTTCCTACAAGCCTGTGGTCACAGCATTTTCCATAAATGAACCTTATTTTCTGTAAGCTTCTGTTAAAAAGACATCTTATTTATTATATACCATTGATACATTAACATAGCCACCAGCACTATAACTCAAGCCTGAAAAAAGCTTTACTTGACATGTATTTTCTCCATAAGGCATATAACAGCCTTTTTGTCCCTCGGAACACTAGATAACACTTTAGCATTACATTATATATTTGGGGGCCGTCTTCTACTGTACATAAGGCTATAGCTGCCTACATAGTGATTCCTCTGATGGATCTGGGAAAAGTACATTGAAAGCCTTCTGGAAAGGATTTATCCTTCTAGATGCCGTTGAGAACACTAGTGATTCAAAGGAAGAGGTCAAAAATATCAACATCAACAAAAGTTTGGAAGAAGTTGATTCCAGACCTCATGGATGTCTTGAAGGGATTAAGACATCAGTGGAGAAAGTAACTGCAGATGTGTGGGAAAGAGCAAAAGAACTGGAAGTACAAATAGAGTCTGAAGATGTGACTGAATTGCTGCAATTTCATGATAAAACTTGAAGGAGAATGTAGAGTTGCTTCTTATGGATGAGAAAAGAAAGTGGTTTCTTGAGATGAAATATACTCCTAGTAAAGAAGCTATAAACACTGTTGAAATGACAACAAAGGATTTAGAATAGCACATAAACTTAGTTGATAAAACAGTGGTTGGGTTTGAGAGGACCGACTCTAATTTTGAAAGAAGTTCTATGGGTAAAATGCTATCAAACAGCATCACATGCTACAGAGAAATCTTTCATGAAATCAAGAGTCAGTCAATGAGGCAAACTTCATTTATGTCTTATTTTAAGAAATTGCCACAGCCATCCCAACCTCCAGCAACCACCACTCTGATCAGTCAGCAGCCATCAAGACCAATGCAAAACCCTCTACCAGCAAAGATTACAACTCACTGAAAGATGACTCAGATGATCATTGGCATTTTTTAGCAATAAAGTATATTTTAAACTAAGGTAGATACATTTTTCAAGACATAATGCAATTGCATGCTTAATAAACTATAGTATAGTGTAAACATAATTTTTATATGCACTGGGAAACTAAAAAATTCTTATGACTCGCTTTATGGCTACATTTGCTTTATCGTGGTGGTCTGGAACCAAACCTGCAATATCACTGAGCTATGGCTGTATCTGAGAAAGACTATAAGACTTAAACATGATTTCTATGGAAATATCTTTTGGGCTCTAAGCCAACGAACAAACAAGCAGAATTTTAAAAAAATCAGTTGTAGACTGAAGGCTTGTGTTTACATAGAAACTCAGCATAACCTAGGTGTCCATAAAAAAGAAAATAAACTTGGGTCATACTCTTTGACCTAGAAAATTTAGCCTAATGATATCCCTGCCCATGTATAACATTATACTATAACAGTTTTGCTACAGCAAGAGGTGTATACATTCACTGATTAGAGATTTGTTAAATTATGGCAAGCTCACAAATGAACTTTGTCAAAAAGAATGCAGTAACTCTGTATGTACTAACATAACTCTACCTCCAAGACGGAAGTTACAAAAAAAGAAAACAGCTGAGTGCAAAGCAGTATGCAATATGTATAAGTAAATAACAAAAACACAGAACAAAAACCTACTATTTACTCATGTGCTTGTATATGCATAGACTATTTCTAGAAAGATACATAAGAAACTAGTAACAGTGGTGTCATTGGGCAGGAGAACTACGAACCTCAGTCTTATTAGTTTTCAATTTAAAATACATCATATGACTGATGATTTATCTATGCCACAAATCTTTCTATTTCTAGAATTCCTTATCTTCCAAATTTCTAATTACATATGAAAATGAATCAGAGAAATAATTTCTTTTAATTTATAGAAAAGAGCTGCAGCCTTACCTTAAAAATGATGACAATGGGTATATCTTCTGACAAGGTATTATGCCTCAAATAAAATCGTCCTTGTTTCACGGCCATATTGGTTCTGCTTTTTTTCTCATGGGTAGAGCTACAAGTGAACACAAGTTGGTTAAACTACATCCTTAAGCCAGTAACAAGGAAGTAATGTGCAATAGCAATGATCCTCAATCAGTAAGGTTCAACTGATCAATAACAATCAGTTATGGTCCTCTCTAATAAGTACTTTTTAAAGATATACAATCTCTTTCCTGCCTTGTTGCCACTTCCATGAACATTTAAAAACACAATAAATGTTTCTTTAGCTCTGAGATTATGGTGCAAGTTTTATGGGTGAATGAGCAACAATCATCTTGTGATCTACTTTACTTTGATTCTACCTGAATTACTTAGACTCAGTGTAAAGCATATATTCGTGGCCAATTTTATGTACTTGAAGAGAAAACCTCAAAATAAGCCTAAATCATAATGAGAAAACTATGAAGGAATTAATTTATATACTCTGGGTTTTTAAACTAATAATCTAATAAAAAAAACATACCCATAGTCTTGGTATACCATAAAGCCAAAAGAACTAAGGAATCTCCTTCTATTGGTATCTCTAGTAGTTATAAAATTCCTAATGGATTTAAAAGCATTTTGGAAGTGTTAATCAACCACAACAGTAATAATAGTACCACATACTGACTATCTGCTATATACTATGCACTGTTACCCATTTTTTTTTTATATTAGCTCTCATCTTCTACATAATAACTCTTACTTTAAATGTTGTCTCCAAATCACATATGAGGAAACCAAGGCTTAGAGAAGCCAAGTAACTGCACACTCCAGTGCCTCACAGCTAGAAAACAACAGCTTTAGGATTCAAATCCAGATTGCCTTGGCTCCAAAGTTATGGACAATGGGAAGATATGGGGTGTAGAACTATGGTATCTGGGTTCAAATGATTCAAATGCTGGCTATCTCTTACAATTGAGGTGACCCTGAGCTTAAAGCCTGTTACTCAGCTGTAAACTAGAGATAATACCACTTATGTTGGAGGGCTGAGGTGACAAATAATTTACGTAAAGTACCTAGTACTCTGCCTGGCTCCTAGTAAGTACTCAAAAATGAGCCATTATTGCTAACTGCCTCTCTTATCAGTAAGAAAAATGCAGAAACCGTGAGCTAATTAGTTCACTATAGATTGTCAGAAGAGAAAATTTACTGCATACTAACACGTTATCTATGCCACAAATCTTTCTATTCCCAGAACTCTTTAACTTCCAAATTTCAAATTACATGTGATAATAAACCAAAGAAAAGAAGTTACAGAAGCGCTATAAGGAATGCTGTTGTAAAAATGAGTACACTGTGAAAGAGGCTAGTCTAGTAAACTAACAATAAAATGTTAAGTCTGTGATACAAGTCATTCGTATTAAGTACAGAACAGTCTGTGATTATATCAGTGTAAGACTACACATGGAAATGGTCAAAGACTGAAAAGGAGCATAAAAATTGAAAAGTGGTTTTATGTTTTTTTTAAGTTCCTTTAATGTTACAAGTTAATAGGAAATCAAACTTAAGTAAAATAATTAGTGACTTTTTAAACAATGTTTCACACTTTCATCTTTTAAATCAATACCCTATGCTTATAGACTTACACAATAAATTGAATGCAGATACTTTAAATATTACAATGCCTGTTATTAGAGAGAAGTAACTAGCTGCCTCCATATTGAAAGACTGCCATCTGGGATTAATGGAATTACCAATATTTCTTAAGACCTTCTCCACTTTCTATACCTGGTGACTGAAGCTCCAACTGCCCCTTTTCTATCAGCTTCCACGATGATCCTGTTCTTAGACAGCTGCTCTTGGATAAGAATAACTTTTTCTACTCCTTTAACAATGAAGTAGCCACCTGCCCAAAGGAAACAAGAAAAACTTTACCATCTACTCTTCACCCAGTGTGATTCAGTAACGGCAGGGAACTCCCGAGTCAGAGATCACCACCTTTTCCACGGCTTCATGGCAGTGGCCACCACTTAATTCAAAGAAGTTTGTTGACATTGTTTTATGGGTTGATGATTTTCAGCACATGATTTTGTACAAATGAGCCACAAGATGATAAATTTCTTGGGACAGGGAATATATCTTATTGGTCTATGTATCACCAGTCTCTGACATATATAGCAGGTGAATGAAAAAAATATGTTAAATAAGTCATCAGATCTCTTAAACACAGAAGTAACTGAAAATCTTCAACATAAACTGAAAAAGTAAGTTTTCTAACAAATCAATGACAATGGTAGACTAAGATTAGGTTTTCAAAATAATATTCCATACTCAAAAATATTAACACATTTTTTGCATACAATTCAGAGTAGGGAGACTTCATTTTACTTGTAGAACATAGCAAAAACAAAATATATTCGACTTATGCAATATTTTGTTATAGTCTAATAAAGTCATGTTCTTTATTAACTTCTTTCCAGAACTTGCAACTCTAAGTTAAAATAAATCAATATGAAGCATGAGTTAAAAAATTAAGAGACACTTTCTGTTAAGTGCCAAGTTTGAAACTTTACAAAAGGAATTTTTGTACTTATATTTCCCAAAAATAGGTGCAAAAACATGATTTTAAAAAATTTAAACAAAAAATGACTCATTTCCTGCTCCCTCCCTTTACTGCATTTAAAACAGCCTGAAGTGAGCTACTTGAATCTTCAGACCAGGAGAAACCAGTAACTTTGGGAGATTATTCTTGAATTTTTAAGCATACATAAAGAAACTACTGAGCAAAGATAAAAAGAAATAAACCACACAACATTCATAGTAACAAACCAGAACTCGGGATATTAAAGTTTTAAACCTGAAATAAAACAGGAAACAGTATACCTTTTATTAATGGTAATATAAACAAACAATAAAGTTGGGGCCAAACTTATGGACATTTTGTGAACATGATTTTATCCAACAAATTCATTATAAAGCAGAAAGGCTGGTATTGTTTTTGAGGAAACATGGTAAAGCTACAGCAACAGCAGAAAAAAGAAAAAAAGGAAGGTGAGACAAATCTAAGGCATCACACATACCTGGATCTAAAGGACATTCATTCAGTTTGGCAAATTCTGCTGGAGTTTTTCCTGTAAGAACACAGTTTGAACTCCGTAGCATTATGGGCATTCTATTTAAAATGAAACAAAAGAAAATATAATGTACAGATTGTCATTGGCAAAAGTTACAAAGAACACAAACCGTGCAATGCACACATCACTAAGGGTCTATATTTCTGTATACCATTTTAGAAAAGGAAGAGAAATAGCAATTACTTGAAGAGCCCAGGGAAATAAAATATTTATTTTCTCTGGCACACTGCTCTTCTAGTATAGATACTAAAAATGCAAATGTTTGGTCTACTTAAACTTTGCATACAGGCTTTAGTGAAAGTCGGAAATGACAGCAACATTTCATTCATGGGAAACAAACTAATTCTCTTTAGTTACTAGGAAATAGTACAACGAATCAAAGTGTAAGGAACAAGAGGTTATCAAAACTAACAAGGCAATTTAGAAAAAGAACTAAGCAAAACTTCTACAAACAGAAAATTTAAGCATTAACTTAATAATCTATGAATAAGCTGAATAATAATAGAGTTACCACTGCTGAAGACAGAATTACTAAATTGGAAGAGAGATCTGAAGAAATTATTGGGAATGTATTTCAGAAAGACAAAGAGAAGATATGAAAGAGAGTTTAAGTGTCATTGAAAGAGTGAGAAGGTCTAATACTCATCTAAGCAGACTTCAAGATGGTGAGAATACACAAAATGGTGATAAGTATTCAATGAGATAATAGCTATAAATTTAAAAAAATATACAAAAGCCATAAATCCTCACACCACCCTCTATACAAGATAAATAAAAAGAAAGTCACACCTAAATGTATCATAGCTAAGATACAAAACACCAAATATGAAAGGAATATTTAAAACCCAGTGTCAGAAAAAAAAAAGGCAGGTTACCAAAAATGGAAGGATGCTTGGCTGACAGTGAACTTCAAAACAATAATTAATAAATGACAGTACAGTAATAAGCTCAAAGTGCTGAGAGAAAATACACCCTAAATTTGTGTATTCTGTTAAGTCATCATTCAGAATGAGGTCAATATAAAGATATTTTGAGACAAAAATTGAGAGAAGTTACTACTAATCCTTCACTAAAGGAATTTCTAAAAAAAAATTCATCTTCAGGCAGATGGAAAATCAACACTGGATGAAAGTCTAACTTACAAAAATATATCATGAGCAAAGAAAATGGAAAATAATGTGAGTAAATATAAACAAATGTTAACTTTCTAATAATGAAAATTTCTAATTTATGAGTTAAAGAAAAGAATAAGACAGAACTAATATTTAGCACAACAAAGCATGTCAGTCAAAGGGATTGATTTAATGTAATAACCACAAGAGGAAATAACAGCAATAGTTACAAAGGAATGACACTAAAGGTGAGGAAGGACAGGGAGGGAGGCTACTGTTTTGTGTCAAATGTTCTCATGTACCGTTTGATTTCTTGCTAAGTACAAATATTATTTGGATTAAACTAAAATCATTTTAGCTCAAAAAATAATTAAATGAGATAATGCATGTGATTTAGACAGTGCTTGGTATATATAAACATTCCAGTTAACTGATGTCATTTTTATGAATGCAATGCTAACAAATGACATCTCCTATCACAGTATCTGGCGTATAGTAAATACTAGTTACAAGTCCCCTCTCTAACCAAGGATTTAAAGCCTAAATCTTACTATTTATATTTTGCTCCAGTCTCTCCTGCCTTTCCTTCACAATATTCAGTCTGGTCCATAATTTAGCAATGGTCCAAAATTTAACTGGAAGCAAGTATGGTCCATACATAAGAGAGAAGAAGCTCTCACCTTAATACTGATAAACAGTTCTGCTAAAACAAAGATATTTTAAAATCCTACTTATTTTTCTAACTGAAAAATGAAGAAATAACAATATCAAGAGCCCCTTCCTTTGCGGTAAGTGCAGGAGAAGGATTGGTTAAACCTAAGTGTTACCATAGTACTCTAGACTTTTCTATCATAGGACTTACCAAATGGTGCCATAATTACTTATTCCTCCCTCCCCTGGCAGCTGTGAATGGAGGTAGCTAACAGGAGCTGTATTGTGTGTATTTTCTATTCATCTGAATACCCAGCATAGTACATGACAAGTGACAAACAGTGTATATTTGTTGAATAAATGGATGTTTATTAAGCTCTTAGCACTTTTAAGGGGTCGGGCAGCGGGAGGGACAGTTGAACAGGAATTATGTGGGCTAAGTTTAAGATCCAATACATCATTATGTAACTCACAATATTGTGGGTTTTGTCCATGTCTACAGAAGTCAATATATTCCCCTAATTAGAAAAAGCTGATTGCAAAAATGCTAGCTGATGCTATATATCATTTTCAAACTTGTTCTGGGCAAATAAAGTAAATTCTCCCCTTAAATATTTCTACACGGGAAACAGTTACACTTCCAGGAAAACTCAAACTTAAAATATACATGGAATCGACCAAGAAGACCAACCCAGAAGAGTTCACTAAAATGCTATCTTACCTAATGTCTCCTTAACAGCTAGGAGTTATAGGAAGAAAGGGAAATATTTCCCTTAACTTCATAAAAAAAAGTTCCACAATTAATAAATAATAACAACCATAACTATGCACTGAATATTAAGTGCTTTACATGTGCTGACTTACTGGATCCATAAAATAATCCCATTTTACCATAATCCCAGAGGTATCACTACCCACATTTTTCAGATGAGGAAATGTGGTCACATCACAGGGCTAGAATCCAGGAAGTGTGGCTTCAATACAGACTTCATTTCTCACCTGCCAATGGGTAGGGCATTGCGGATGATCCTCTGGCTGCCTCGGGTATATTCAATATCTACTGTAATGGGCGCAGAGTATGTCATGTCCCTCAAACGGCACTGAAAGAGAATAAGGAGTCTGACAGTTATTGCTCCTCCTCTCAGGAAAAGAGGTCCTGACCACTTTAAAGAGCTCAGTTTCTGGCCCGGCACGGTGGGCTAGAATCCTAGCATTCTGGGAGGCCAAGGCGGGCGGATCATTTGAGCTCAGGTGTTCAAGACCAGACTGAGTAAGGGTGAAACCCCATTTCTATTTAAAAAAAATAGAAAGAAATTATCTGGACAACTTAAAATATATAGAAAAAATTAGCTGGGCATGCTGGCACATGCCTGTAGTCCCAGCTACTTGGCAGGCTGAGGCAAGAGGATTGATTGCTTGAACCCAGGAGTTTGAAGTTGCTGTGAGCTAAGCTGACAGCACGGCACTCTAGCCCAGGCAACAGAGTGAGACTCTGTCTCAAAAAAATATATATATAAAATAAATAGCGCAGGATTGTTTCCTAATATACTATAGTTTTATACAAGTGCTTATTTATTTTGGTTTATCTCAGAGGAAATTTTGTTTTTCCTGTTTTTAAATCATCTTTTAAAAGTATATATTAAGGGCAGACTCTTTAAGGTAAAGCAAACAAGTCTAATTAAAGTAAGCTTTATAATTACCTCATGAGGGGACACTGGTCTAGTTACATTGAAGCTTTCTTCAACATCAGGAAGCCCAACATAGATATTAAGATATCTGAAAATCAAATTATTCCAGTACCAATTATACTACTTCAAAAACACAAACAAGCTATTTTCCTCCCAAATACAAGACTTACGTTTTGGCAAATGCTTAACTTGCTAAGGATAGCAAGTTAAAAATTATCATTGGAGATCTTCATTGAATGGCAGTACATATAGCTTTACCAAAGAGAGAAAATACTATCAAATCATCTTTTAAAAAATATTATAAATCTCTTTATAAAAATACTGTAAATATAGCTCCCCCAAAAATGAAACTTAATGAAAAAAAGCAAAGTACAAAAGAGTATCAATGGTATGCTACCATTTGTATAAGAAGAGGTTACAAATGGGAAAAATATGTATACATACCCATTTGTGCAAAAGAAACATAGAAAGGATAAAACAGAAACTATGGGATTGGTTACCTACAGAGAGTGGCAGAGAACAGGGTGAAAAGAACTGGTAAGGGAGCAACAATTTTCTGAATATACTTTTTAGTATAGGTCTAACTCTTACAATCATAATGTTTCATATACCCAAAAAATAAAGATAAGAACTAATATAAAAACTGTGGAAAACAGTATTTTGATTGGATACTGTAGGACTAAAGACAAAAAGGACATTGCACAAATAGTGTACTCAAATTTTATTGTCACAAAAATATGAGATAACAATTTTGAAATGTTGTGTATAGTCTAGTATTGAAAAAATAAGAAAATATATTGGAGATCATGAGAGCTAGATTTCTCACTGTCAGGGATAGAAGTTACAAATAAAGAAAGGGAAAAGATTAGAACAAGTCCTGTAATGCTGGACTGGAATCAGAGGTATCAGTCTGCATGGTTCTTAATGTAAGCATAAATGAATAGGATATAGAAATATATATGTATATGTACGTGTTAGTATATATACATATATTTGCAAGGTCTGTCCACTGAAACCTTAGCATCCATATCTTGGTTTCTACATACTATTTTCCAATAAAAGGGACTAGGTCTCCTTGGAGAAATAGCTGATAATATCCCCATAATAAATGAATCACATCTTATGGTGGCTGAAAGTAAAGGAGTGCTCAAGAAAATAATGGTGGCATGTTGAAAGGATACAAGAGTCAATTTGAAGATTTCCCTATGGCCCAAACTGAGACAGTCTGAACAATAGAATAAGCATAGTACTGGATTATAACCCATAGACCAAAATAAAATCCATGAGTCCAAACTGATATAAATTAATATGTAGAGAGATAGAGAGAGATAAATGGTGGGAAAGGAAAGCTCTTCCTTACAGTAGAATTCCAATATTAATGCGGAAGTAATGATGGAAATAGAAATTCACCATTAAGTAAACCCCACAACAATAACTGTTATAAGTAAGAACCATTAATGTATGCAGATGATGAGAAATAAGATATTTGCATAGTCAAAGGATCTCCCCATAAGATACTTATTAATTACAAAAGGAAATATATTAATAGTAATTTTACAGTGGAGAAACCTTGAGGATATCACCTTAACCAAGTGAACAAAGTTAAAATCATCACTAATAAAATATATTAGCATCTGTACCCCCAGTATGAATCAGTGAGCAGAAAACACCACTTCTGTGGTATCCTCACAGAAATACATAATGTAATCTAATCATGAACAAATATAACATAAACTCAAAACAAAGGACCTTATACAAAAACTAACCAGATTATTCAAAAGTGTCAAAGTCATGAAAGACTAAAGAACTGTCACAGATTGAGGAGACTAAAGAGACGAAACAAGTAAACATAATGTGGGGTCCTGGATTGATTCCTGGACCAGAAAAAAGACACCAGTGGAAAAACATCAAATAAGGTCAATAGATTAATTGACAGCATTGTATGAATGCTAAGTTCTTGGTTTGGTAATTGTGCTGCTATAGTTATATAAAATGTTAACATTAGTGGAAACTGGGAGAAGAATATATGGGAACTCTTTGTACTATTTTTGCAATTTTTCTCTTAAGTTGAAAAGTATTTAAAATAAAAATTTGTTTAAAATATTTAAAATCTAATAGTTTCATTAACTTCTCAATCATAACTCTACTTGTTATAATTAGTTTACCTATTAAAAATTAAATTTGAGTACTTTATAATTATCTTAAACAGAAGAGAATGATTTTAAAAGAGTTTTGATAACAACTACATTCACTTTAAACATGTCAGATATAATCAAAATAGCTAATTAAGAGTAGTTGGTTCCTTACTTTAAGTACCACATGGGGTCAGCATCACTCGTAACCTTTTCATTGGCTTTCATTATCTTCTTTATCTGCAGTGGGAAGTGCAACATTAGGCTAGACTCTGGCTTCCAACTAATTCTTAGCTTATGTCTATTTCTACAACCTAATGCTTACCTCTACATTAATGAAATAGTTAAATGAGTCTATATGCTGTTTCACAAGGCCTTTCACCTGAAGAGATAAAATGTAAAAAGTAGGTTAGCAACAAAATAACAGATTATACAATGGAATCTAATCATAGACGATTAGATTTTTCTCAAAATCAAAGTGACAAAAAAATACATAAATTATATAGAATAAAACTTTTCATTAAATTTCATTAAGTGTCCTCATTCTATTTCTCCACCATCTTACTAGTACACCCTCAGGTTTTCCTCCTTGAGAAGCAATCTGACCTTTGGAATTCAAAATATGAGTATTTAAATATATAGTCATGTGCCACGCAATGTTTTAGTCAACAACAGAAGGCATATACAACAGTGGTCCCATATTATAATGGAGCTGAAAAATTCCTATCACCTAGTGACTTACACTTGACTTCGTAGTGCATATTTCTGAAAACAGTAACACCTCCTCAAGAAGAGCCTGAGGCAGGTATTCTCGAAGAAGGCAATGTTATCATAGGAGATGACAGCTCCATTTGTGTTATTGTCCCTGAAAACCCTCCAGAGAGACAAGATGTGGAGGTCCAGAAATATTGATGATCATGGCCTAGGCTAATGCGTGTGTATCTTAGTTTTTAACAACAAAGTTTAAAAAGTTAAAAAAAGTTTAAAAATAGAAAAAAAGCTTATAGAATAGGGATGTAAAGAAAATATTTTTGTACAGCTATATATAATGTGTGTTAAAACTAAGTGCTAAGCTAAGTGTTATTATGAGCCAAAAAATTAAAAAAATTTAAAAGTTTATCAAGTATGAAATAAGAAGTAAGCTAAGATTATTTAAGAGAAGAATGATTTTTTATAAATTTATTATAGCCTAAATATACTGTGTTTATAAAGTCTACAGTAGTATGCTGTAATGACTTAGGCCTTCACATTCACTCACGACTGACTGACTCACCCAAGAGCAACTTCCAGCCCTGCAAGCTCCATTCATGGTAGGTGCCCTATACAGGTGTACCATTTTTTATCTTTGATACTATATTTTTACTGCATCTTTTCTATGTTCAGATATGTTTAAATACAAAAATACCACTGTGATTCAATTATCTTCAGTATTCAGTATAGTAACATGCTCTACAGGTTTGTAGCCTGGGAGCAACAGGCTATACCATATAGCTTAGGTGTGTAGTAGGCTATGCTATTTAAGTTTGTGTAAGTATACTCCATGATGTCCACAAAATGACAAAATTGCCTAATGACACCTTTAACTCTACTTGTTTTTCAAGTCTCCATTCTTTCACTTAGCATAATGCTTTCAAGATTCATCTATGTTGTAGTATTAATCAGTACTTGATTATTTTATTGCCAAATAATATTCCATTATATTGCTATACCACATTTTACTTATCCATCCACCAGTTGATGTTCATTTGAGTTGTTTCCACTTTTTGGCTATTAAGAATAATGCTGCTATGAACATTTATGTACAAGTTTTTGTGTGGACTTATGTTTTAATTTCTATTGGGTAGTATCTAAAAGTAGAATTGCTGGATTATACGGTAACTTTATGTTTAAGCACTTGAGGAACTGCCAGGGTGTTTTCCAAAGCAGCTGCAACGTTTTACATTCCTACCAGAGGAGCATGAGGACTCTCACTGCTCCACATTCTCATCAACATTTGCTTTTGATTACCACCATCCTAGGAGGTGTCAAGTGGTCTCTCACTGTGGTACCTACTACTTCTTAGCACAAGTTCTTTCAAATTGAATTGAAGCCCTACTCCATATTATATTACATTCACCACTCCTCTGACTATCCATTTTATCCACCCATCCATTTTAGCCAAACAGAATGGTCACTGTTTCCCACAGACCTGTGGAGGCTCCTCTTGAGCCCCCTGATTAAGCCATGCTCCCTGCATCCCACCTTTCAGCTTAATTAAATCCTTCTCTCTTCACATGTGGCTTATGTCTCTCTCTCTCTCCTCATTTGGGCAGCCCTCTCTGACCATCTGTAGCATCATTCTTTTGCCAGTAGCATTTTGGTTTTTATTAATCATGTGACATGCCACTATGTATACTTCTTCTCCCTAAATTTAGACTACCACTCCCCCAACCAGCGCCTTATAGGCAGAGATTTTTGTCTTAAAATTCCTTGTATTTCCAAAATCTAGCAAAGTATATAGTTGTATTACACAAAGCCAAAAAATGTAATCTTTAAAAAACAATTTATTTCTTGACTGTTTCATCTGAAAAATAGTCAATTATTAGTAAATGTAAAATAATTACCTTTAAAAATGCTGGGAGCAGCCTCCATTTTTCCTGTGAATCAAAACAACAAAAACATCAGAACTCTGTGCCAACAACCACAAAACTTTCATAAGAAGTTATTTTAATGTACCAAAATGAACAAAAGGAAGTATATCAAAAAGAACAAATTTTAAATTGTAACCATTTTTATGGAAATCATGTGTGCATGCAAATAAATACAGGTATACGCATACATTCATATACATACAGTCCACAGATTTCTTAAATAGAATATATTTAATCTCCTCTTGGTGACTCAAGACTTCAAGAACTTTTCATACTTTATTTTATTCTCATGACACTTTCCAGTAAGCAGGGTTTACCAGTCTGAGAAAGGGAAAGTAAGTCTCAGAAAGTCTGGTGGGGGAGCTGGGACTCCACCCAAATCTTTTTCCCTCCCGTTGGTCAGAGCTCATCTCAGGGCTGCAGAAGAACAGCACACACAGTGTTTGCCTCCTACATTAAATAGCTGCAAACTGCCACACTTCTTGAGTTCTTGGGCATGCTTTTTATACCTTCCTGAGGTTGTAAGTGGCCTACCATGATAGCCTCTTTGCAAGTATGACATCTACTCTGCTGATGGGAAACCAGAAAAATGGTCAGAGCCAAGTTTAAAGTTACAAAACACAGTTTCTGACAAAGGGCCTAGGGATCACACAGGACCCTGAAGCAACTGTAAAAACTTTGGCTATCACTCCGACCTGAGAAGCAAAAGAAGGACATGACGATATGATTTATTTTAACAGGATCCCTCTGGCTGCTGAGCTGAGAATAGACAAGGTTAGCAGCAGGGAGATCATTTAGGAGTTTATTGCAATAATCCAGGCTCATAACAGTACAGGTAGAGAGAATTTATTAGCTAAGGAGACACAATTTGAAGTTAGAGCCAACAGGATTTGCTAAGAGATTAGACAGAGGCTCTGAGAAAGAAAGGAGCCAAAATTAACACCAAGATTTCTGGCCTAGAGGGATAGAGTTATGATTGATGGAGATGAAGAGAAGTGGAACAATGCAGGAGCAGCAGGCTTAGCTGTGGAGGGATATCAAGAGTTTGGTTTGCGGCACGTTTGAGATATTCACTACAGATTTAGCTGGAAATGTCAAGTAGGCAACAAATGAGTCTGGAACTTGGGAAGAGGGTAGACTGGAGATAGAAATTAGGGAGAGGTTAGCAAGTGGATGGCAATTAAAGCCATGTGATGGATAAGACTACCTAAAGAGTGTAGATGGAGAAGAGTTCCACAAAGTGAGACCAAGAACATTCTAACATTTAGAGACGAGAAGCAGAAGGCAGATCCTGCAAAGACCGAGGAGTGGCCAAGGAAGGAGACAGATAACCTGGAGACAGAAAAAAACATTTTCAAGAAGGGAAGCAGGCAAAATTAATCTATGATATTAGAAATCAAAAGGTAGTTGGGGGGGGAGATTGAAAAGGGTCATAAGGGAACTTTCTGGGATGGTGGAAATGGTCTATAGCGTGTACTGGGTGACAGTCATTCAGATATACATAACTATCAAAACCAGTGCAATTGAACACTTAAGATCTCTACATTTTATTATATATAAATTATGCCTAAATTTTAGAAAAAAGAAGAGTATCCAATAGAGCTTAAAGGTATATAAAGGCCAGCTCAGTGGTTCATGCCTGTAATCCTAGCACTTTGGGAGGCCAAAGCAGGAGGATCACTTCAGGCCATGAATTAGAGACTAGTGTGGGCAACGTAGCAAGATCCCATCTCTACAAAAAAATTTTTAAAAAAAAATTAGCTACATGGTGGTGACATATGCCAACAGTCCTAGCTACTTGGGAGGCTGAGCCAGGAGGATCACTTAAGCCCAGGAGTTTGAGTGAGGCTGCAGTAAACTATAACTGCACCACTGCACTCCAACCTGCGTGACACAGTAAGACTCTGCCTCAAAAAATAAAAAAAAATAAAAATTTAAAAGGGTGTATTTAAAAAAAAAAAAAAAAAAGGAAAATGAGAAGGAAATGACAACTGATATAAGCCAAATTGTGTCCCTCCCAAAATTCACATGATGAAGTACTAAGCCCCAGTACCTCAGAATGTGACCTTATTTAGAAACAGGTTGTCCCAGATGTAATTAAGAAGAGGTCATTAGGGTGAGCCTTAATCTACTACAATTGGTGTCCTTATAAAGAGGGGAAATTTGGACACAGAGATACACAACCCTGCCTATTCCTTCAGCCTCACCTTTTGCCAAGCTCCCACAGCACAGTGCAGGCTCGTCACAATGCTGCTTCTGTTTAGAAAGCCTCCCCTACCACAACACTTCATCCACATCTGTCAAGACTCAGCTCAGGGATGACATCCCAGCCACCACATGTAATACCAACATATCCCTCTGCCTACTTTTATCACAGCATGTACTGCATGTTATTCCACCTGCTTACATGTCTCTCTTATAAATCTGTATGTAAGCTCTTAGAAGTTTTCTAAACTTGTGTAAACCCTGTGGGTGATACACCACCAGGTAAGTGCTCAATAATGCTGATAAATATTTGTTCAGCAAACAAATGATTAACTGGCTCGAAAGCTTATGTTATTTCTCCTACCATGCTGCCATGCTACCATGCAGACAGAACACAGCCCAAATACACAAGGCGTGGTTGGTTCAAGTAAAACTGAGCCCCTATCTAGAAAAAGCTGCAGAGATTACCCTAAAATCAAAGTCTGGAAAAAAAAAAAAAAGAAAGAAAAAGAAAAAGCTGCAGAGAAAACAATGAAGCTGAAAAGCTGAATTAAATATTTTAATTGCTTAATAAAAAGGAAAAGCCATTTTTCATTCAGAGAAAACTCAGCATTATTAAAGAATTTCTCTAATAGAGTACTGTTCAGATTAATCTTCGTTAATTCAACACTAAAATTACAGTGTTCACCTTACAAAATCAAAAATGCAAAGAGAATACTCAACAATATAAATTAGTGAAATGTCACTTTCTGACCCCCTTAATGCCATTCTACTCTGCTTTGGAAAAGGCAACAAAGTTATTCTTCATATTCATTCACTCAATAAGAATGTTAAGAACGGATGACACAGGAAGAAGTTTAGTGGGAAGAGAAACAAGTTAACTACCAGTGCTAAGAAAGAACAGGGTACCACAGCAGCAAATAGCCAAGAGCTCTAACATCTGTCTGCTGGGAAAATCAGAGAAGGCATTCCTAAGGAAGTCATATCATAGATATGTAGGATTTAATCTACAAATGGGAAGGAGAGAAAGATCCAGAAGGACCTGTATGAGTAGAGTAGAAAGATCTCAAGGGAGGGAGAGGGGGGAATGGTGGAAAAAGGCTACAGAAGTAAGCAGTGACCAGACTGAGGAAATTTATTACAAACATGATAAAGACTAGATTTTGCCCTAAGAGCAATGGGCAGAGATTGAAGAATTTTAACCAAAAGATCACCATAACTATACATGTGTATTTAAACTAATGGCTCTGGCTATGGGACAGAGAATAGACTGGAGTGGGACAAGTCAGAAGCCAGGTAAGCCAGTGGATGTAAGCGATGACAGTGGTTCAGAGTTAGAAAACAGTGGGAATGAAGCTCTAGACTTGCATATATTTAGAATGCAGGGCCTTTAAGATGTGACAGTGGATTGGATGCAGTGGGCCAGGAAAAGGAACTATTATTCCTGAATCAGAAGACTGAAATTGAGGTACGGTTCCTTCAGAGCTGAGCAAATTTTTACAATATAAATCTTCTAGCCTTATTTCTTCAGCTCTCTGGAGAAGTGGTTCTGTCAGCAGCTAAGGGTAAACACTCTGAAGTCAGAATGACAAGAGTCCAAACTCCAGATCAGCCACTTACCAGAGTTCTAACACTGGTAACTCAAACTATACTTAACCTCTTTGGTCCTCTGTGGCAAATAGGGATAAATGTGATACATATTTCAGAGGATGAAATAATGTAATGCATGCTATGATTAAACAAAGCCTGGCAGACAGTAAGTGCTCCAGCAAATGCTGGCTATTGATATTAACTCTTCAAAGCTAAAACCCAGTGTTGCCTGATGATGATCAGCAGTATATCATATGTACTCTTAGACTGAATCTGATGGACTGATTATAACTCAACTTCTTTAAGCTGCCAAATAATCTAATAGAGTCATTCTCATTTTTAAAGCCTTCAAAAGCATCTCACAGCTCCCAGGAGAAAGTTCAAGTTCCTCCAGATGTTTAACAGAACTTTTCATAATCAGGACCCTTATCTATTCTTCATCTTTTATTGCTCCTCCTCTACTTTTCTACACTCTAGTACTACTGGATTTACTTTAGTTCCTCAAAAACATCAGATGGGCTGGGCTTGGTGGCTCACGCCTATAATTCCAGCACTCTGGGAGGCCAAGGCAGGAGGATTGTTTGAGCTCAGGAGTTCAAGACCAGCCTGAGCAAGAGCGAGAGTCTGTCTCTACTAAAAAAATAGAAAAAAATTAGCTGGACAACTAAATATATATATATATATATATATATTAGCTGGACAACTAAAAATATATATATATAAATTAGCCAGGCATGGTGGCGCAGGCCTGTAGTCCCAGCTACTCGAGAGGCTGAGGCAGGAGGATTGCTTGAGCCCAGGAGTTTGAGGTTGCTGTGAGCTACGCTGACACCACCGCACTCGGGCAATAGAGTGACACACTTGTCTCAAACAAAAAAAAACAAAACAAACAAACAAAAAATCAGATAGTCTTGCCTAGGGGGTTTCCAGTATCCTGTCCCCTCTACCTGAAATTCCTCCCTTGACTGTCTTCCCCAGCCCCATATTTCCACTTCCCCATTCCATGCCAATGAAGATTTTGAGGCTCAGAGAGATTATAATACATGCCTTTCCAGAAAGCAAAGCATGTCAACAGCTGCACTTCATTGGGCAACCTACTGAAGGGCAGTTTTTACCTTTTTTTTTTTTTTTTTTTTGAGACAGAGTCTCACTCTGTTGTCCAGGCTAGAGTGAGTGCCGTGGCGTCAGCCTCTCTCACAGCAACCTCAAACTCCTGGGCTCAAGCGATCCTCCTGCCTCAGCCTTCCGAGTAGCTGGGACTACAGGCATGCGCCACCATGCCTGGCTAATTTTTTCTATATATATTAGCTGGTCAATTGATTTCTTTCTATTTATAGTAGAGACGGGGTCTCACTCTTGCTCAGGCTGGTTTTTAACTCCTGACCTCGAGCAATCCGCCCTCCTCGGCCTCCCAGAGAGCTAGGATTACAGGCGTGAGCCACCGCGCCCGGCCCAGTTGTTATCTTTAACTTCCTAAAATCAGATGAAAGCTATGGAGCCTCCCTCCCCCTCAAGAAAACACAATTTCGAGTAAACATTCAGGGCGTTTAAAATACTCCTGTAGTCCAAACTTGAACTCCGGATTAAAAGACAACATCATCAGCCTAGGATTCAGACGCTTCGGTTTTACCACCACAGCCAGCTGTGGTACCTCACGAAAGTGGCCTAAACTCCCTAACCTCCCTGTCCTTTTTAAGCCTTTAAAGGTGCGATACGTCTCCCAAGGTCGGTGCTAGGGCCAATTCGCCCGCCGCACACCCACACTGGAAGAGTCCTAACCCGAGGGCCATGTGAGGGGTCCTCGGCCCCCACAGCAGCTGACAGCTCCCACCGGCTCAGCCCTGCCACGCTCTCGCGGAGGCCGGCCGGCTTGGGAAAGGACCTTCACTAGCGGAGCTCTGAGCATGCGCAGAAGCCCGAGCATGCGCAGAAATGGCCCCGCTTGGTGGCCCGAGCACTAGGGGTAACGCCTCCTCAGAACGCATCCCGCCCCCTTCCGCTCCCCGCGTGCCGGGGCACTCACCTCTACGGTGGGGATGGGCGCAGCCAGCTGCTCCGAGGTTAGGTTTCCAAACTCCTCCGCGAGCACGTCCATGCCGCTCACGATGGAAGGAGAAACAAACGCCCCACACCCTCGCTGCCCCAAGCAAGCTATAGCACTTGTGGAGAGCGGTGCGCAGAGGCCTAAACTGTCCCCGCTGCGCGCGTTAGGTGGAGGTGCGACAATAAGGTTCCGTCTGCTCCCGGATCCGACCGTGGAACCCGGATGTGGCTGAGCGGTGCCGGGAAACTCCGCCCCCTGGTGTAGCTTGGAGGTCTGGCCCGCGTAATACTAAACCGCGGCTGACAGGTTTGTCAATTCTCCCAGAATTGAGACCAACAGAATATAGCGGTTGTAATTTTAAAAGTAATTCGAAGAAAAATGTAAACGGATAATTTGCACAACTTGAACTACTGAGGCAGAATGTTCATTTGAGTCAGTCCGAAGCGATATGCGTTGTGCAATATGGAAAAGCAGGAAACTTCCCAAATGCCTAGTGATAGGGAATCCGGAATTGGTAAAAGAAATGATGGCACATGCATGTGATGGAATGGTATACAACCATCCAAATACCTATAAGGGTGGGGGTGGAGGGAATTAGCACTAGAAAGTAGGGCATAATAGGACAGTAGTTGTTAACTTCTCAAAGTATTATTAATAGATGGAAAATCTGGGAGTAAATACGAGCATATGGAGAAATTTAGTATGAAAAGATGACATTTAAATTAGTAAGGGAATGAGAGCCTATCCAGTAAATGATGTTAGAACAGCTGATTAGCCATTTAGGGGGAAAAATGCATCTAAGTAAATCCTATGTGGATTAAATATTTAAATGTTAACAAAACCTTAGAAGAAAATGTAAGTGAATATACTCATAACACAGATGGCGAAGGCCTTCAAGGACTGCAACACAATCAAATTATAAAGGATTTTATAATATAATTCCAAACACGGTTTAATGACTCCATGAAAAAATTTAAAATTTTCTGAACAGATTTTAAAAACCACCCTGACTAGAGTTTTTTTAAAAAACACAAGTTGACAGAAGACAAAGGGTGGTCTCCCTAACTTAAAATGAGCTCATACAGGGAGTCTGAAGTGGGAGGATTGCTTGATCTCAGAACGTTGAGACCAGCCTGAGCAAGAGTGAGATCCCATCTGTACTAAAAATAGAAAAATTATCCTGGCATTGTGGCGCACACCTGTAGTCCTACCTACTCAGGAGGCTGAGGCAGGAGGATCGCTTGAGCCCAGGAGTCTGAGGTTGCTTTGAGTGACGCTGACGCCAACATACTCTACTCAGGGCAACAGAGTGAGACTCTGTCTCAAAAAAAAAAAAAAAATTAATGGAAAAATATTCTAAAAAATGAGTTCATGCAAATCAATAGGGGGGAAAATCCATTGGGAAAAACAAGGCAAGAGTGACCAACAGTTATTTAATGGGTATAAAGTTTCAATTTGGAAAAATGCAAAAATTCTGGAGATGGATGATAGTTGATAGTAATGGTTGCACAACAATACGAATGTATTAATGCTACTGAACTGTACATCATTTTTAATGATTAAAATGAGGTTAAGTTTTATTTATATCTTACTACAATAAAAAAGTTATGAAAATTTGTAAATGCATATATGCTTTCCAATTTCTTCCCATAAAGGTATAAGCCTTTCACAAATTAGTCTTATTTCCAAATTAGCTACTTAAATTGCAGTGCTTGTGTTTTTTAAGTGTTGTGCTGACATCTAAAAGAAGGAGAAGAAAGGAAAAAATAAATAAAAGAATCCGTCCCTGTCTTTGAAGTTCTTATAGTTTACCTACAAAGATGAGAAATAACTTGTATATATTATCCTTTTGAATTACCAGATTGCAACCTATTTAGGAGCTAGCCTGGAAGGGACTGTGAAAGTGATTTATAGTTGGGAGAGGATCTCAAGATTGGCTCTGGTTGTTGGATTTCTGCTCCAAAGTCCTCTTTGCTTTCCGCTATCCAGATAGTTCTCCAACTTTAGCATGTGTCAGAATCATCTGGAGCCCTTGTTAAAACAATCTCAGCTTTCTGATTGGTAGGCTTGGGCCTACAAATTTGCATTTCTAAGTTTCCAGCTGCTGCTGCTGCTGCTGGTGGTCCAATGATCACACTTTGGAAATCACTAACCTAAGAATTATCACTCAATATCATAATCCTATGTTTATGTGTCTAATTTTCCTTCAGACTATAAGCTGCTAGAATAGGAACATGTCTTGTTTGTATCCCCAGGTTCTAACCCATCATTTATTCCTGAATAAATTTTTGTTGAGTAAATATTTTGAAAGAAAAAAATGCAATGGATAATAATAAGTTTGATGTTATAGTCACTTTTTTTTATTTCGAGACAGAGTCTTGCTCTGTTGCCTGGGCTAGAGTGCAGTGACATCATCATAGCTCACAGCAACCTCAAACTCCTGGGCTCAAGCAATCCTTCTGCCTCAGCCTCCCAAGTAGCTGGGACTACAGGCATGCGCCACCATGCCTGGCCAATTTTTTCTGTATAATTTTAGTTGTCCAGCTAATTTCTTTCTATTTTTAGTCGAGACGGGATCTCACTCTTACTCAGGCTGGTCTTGAACTCCTGACCTTGAGTGATCCACCTACCTAGGCCTTCCAGAGTGCTAGGATTACAGGCATGAGCCACCGCGCCTGGCTAAATCACATTTTTTAATCGGATTTTTTTTTCAGTTTTTTCAGTTTTTGTTGTAAAGTGGAAGCCTCTGGTAGCAGTGTTCCCGAAGTTCTACATGGCAACAATTGGCTGATGCTGAGTGGTTTCAGCCCTTAGACCACAGCTGCCACAGTCCCTCACAATCCTTCCTGTACTACACTTAAAACCATGGGTCAAATCTGTGACTTCTTTCTGGTCCCTAAGGGGCTGGATTTTTGAAACCAAAAAGCCAAGAACAGTCTCATGATTCCTCTCTTTTCTTCTGTCACACCTGCTTTTCCTGAGATATTGATAAAAAAAAGATTGGGGGTTTGAATAGAGGGCTAGGAAATTAGGGAAAGGAGATCCCAGAGGGAAAATGATTAACATCTTAGAATACTAATCTCATCACTAATCTATAAAGTGTTGTGGTTGCCAGATGGGAAATTGACCAATGATGTGGGGCAGGGGCAAGGGAACAGGGAGAATTGGTTAAGGGAGATCAAGGGAAAGGGAAAGGCAGAGGTGTCCAAGCTGGGCCCTGAAATGTTAGGGAGAGCTTCCATTTCCTGAGTGTTTACTCTTTGTCAGGCATTGGAATAACTACTTCATATGCATTCTTTAACTGGATGATCACCCCCTGGGGAATAAGTATGATTATTCCCACTTGACAGGTGAGGAGACTAAGGCTCACAGGCTTAAGAAATTTGCACAAGTAGAGTTGGAATTTAATAATTATTTAATAATAAATATTTAATATTAAATATTTAGTAATACGTTATTAAATATTTAAAAAATTAAATAATTTTAATAATAAATATTTAATAATTTAAAATAAATCCATAATTATTTGACCCCAGAATCCATGTTTTTAATCACTATATCATAATACTACACTGAAAGCATGGGTTAACAGAAGACATTTCAAGCAGAGAAAAACAGCCTGAGCAATGGCATGAAGGCTTTTGAGTTCGTTATACCACTTCTGACAATTGAGTGTGGTTCTCATGTAGGGCTGGGGGAAATGTCTGTAGGTGACACTAGAAAGATCCACTGGAGCTGGGCCATTTGGGGCCCTTATGCTATGTTAAAGAAATTAGATTTTATTCTGAAGCTTCAACATGAAAATTCTAGAAACAAAAGAAAAACATTATCCTCTCTTCTTAAAACCTTTGTGCATTCAGACTGGAAAAAAAAAAGTATGGTTCTGATTGCTATACCTGAGTAAATTCATAGCAGAACTAGGAAAGACCAGATACAACATCAAAGAAAGAGTATGACTCTAGTATGAAAAGCCAAGGGCAGACAGAGAGTCCTGGAAGTTATTTTGCAAACAGCAAGGTGAGGCTGAAAAGGGACAGAAGTCTCTACATACTGTAATCAGAACATTCTGCATTTTGAGCAAGCCCATACAGTCCAAAAACCTTTAGCTGCCTGCTGTACCCACAGAACTTTCTCTGAAAAGCCTTGCTTTGTGTGGTGTGACCTTATTATCCTGTTAAAACCAATAGGGCCAGGTACCTGCCCAAGATAGTCATGCAGGCTGGATGTAAGGGAGCAGAGGTAGCTTATCATGAGAACCCTTTCCAGTGTGTGGGGGAGAGAGGTGTCCATACTAATTAGTGGCAAGTAAATAATCATATCATTTCTCTTGGGGTATTTTTAATTGTGACATATCAAAAAGGAGAGCAAAACAGAACCTAAGAAGTAAATGCCAAGTCAGCATTTAGTAGCAACACAACAGTGAAAAATACTTTTGATTGGATGACCTAAGGAACCAATACAGTAAGTAGTTAAGAGCACACATTCCAGGGTTAGACTCCTCAGGTTCAAATATGCTTACCAACTCTGTGACCTTGGGCAACTTCCTGAGCCTGAGTCTCATTTTGCACATATGGAAATAATAATAGAGCCTGCCTCACAGCATGCTGTGCAGTTATGTGAGATGATTTATATAAAGTGCATAGGGTGGGCCCTGCCATAAGGTAAGTGCTCAGTGGCTATTTTATTATATTCAGGTTCTCCATGCCTGCAAGTGCAGCTGCTGAGACAAATTCTTAGGTTTCCTTTCTTTTTATAAAGCCTTACAATAAATCCCTATGTTACTTTCCCTTGAAATCTGAAAGAGGCTAACATAGTAAACTTAGAAATGAAAAGATAAAGCTTCACTCCAAAAATAGAGAACAAAAGGGCACAAGTTAATAATATAAATATATTTTTGAAAGATTAGATTAAATCATGGAGGATAAGGTCATAAATGATTACTAAATGAAATTAGAACATGTTGGGTTTTGTCACTATCCTTTGAAGTTGACATCAAGGACAATAACTGTAGCCTTCTCCCATACCCTTGAGTTTCTCTGCCAATGACAATATTGGGCTTAACGAACCGAGGTTCTGAGGAGACAGGACAATTTTTGTTCTTACATACTTAAGTACTTTGATCATCACATCTCAAAATACTAAAACCCCTTGAAGCTTGAAAGAGATTTAAGACTCATAAATTACAGTTATTATAATGTACTCTGGCTACATTATGCTTAAGAGTGTGCAGACAATTTCAAATGTATCTCATTTGATTCTCACAATATATCTGCAAGGTAGGCAGGTGGTAGGGTAAATAGGTAGGGTAGAAAACTGAGATTCATAGAATCTAAAAGACTGGCTTCAGTTCACATAGCTATTAAGTTGTAGGAGTGAATTCAAGCTCAGTTCTTATGAGTCTCAGTTCCATGCTACTTTTACTAAATAATAAGTAGAAAACTTTGTAACTCCACATCCCTAGAGGTAGAACAGGCTGAACTATAGTTTTAAGAAAGAGGCAAGAGAGAAGTAAAAATATGTTGCCAAAAAAGTGGCTCTCCCCATGTTTGTGGCATACATTGTGAAACAACAGAACTCTTTATTGATTATCCTGGATCCATCTTCCAAATCCTCTCAACAGCTCTGGGGAGCTACCACCAAAAGATCAGAGCAGGCACATGAGTTTAAACCTATTTTCATGAAGAGTAGTTTCACTGTTGCTTGTTCAAGAAAGGTGGAGGGATCTGAGGTGGAAACTGCTAATGTTTACTAATATCCATGCCAACCTCTTTCTCCTGGGCACATTTTCCAGCCTCCCTTGCAGTAAGATAAGGCCACGTGATTGAATTCTGGCCAATGGAATGTGAGTGGAAATGGGCAATCCTTTTTCCTTACCAGCTGAGTAAATGGATTGAATATCTAGAAGATGGATGGAAGTTGGGTTTCTGGATGGTTGAATGGAGTAGCCTCCCACACTCCACCCTTTCCCCCTTCTTTGAACTATGAGAAATGAGTTTATACTGAGGCCACTGAGACTTGTGATCTGTTTGTTCAGCAGTTCATCTACACATACTAATAAAGGTTGGCTTCATTTAACTATGCCCTTCCTTAAATCATCTTTTGTATCATTCTCAGAAGCATTGCTGGTTTGGGTGTTCTCCTCACACATGTCTCACGTTCAAGTCTTAAAGACCTCATGAATGTTTGTTATAAATTTGTTTTTCTTTTTCTGCTCCTCAGCATACCCTTCCTATTTGGGAGAAATCCCTAATTAGATGACTTTGGTGGGACCACCGGACTGTAAGGAGCTACTCTCTCATTCCATCCCTGCAAATTAGAGCCTGGACGCTTGTCCTAGACTCATAACTCAATGCTGATATCTGGGATTTTAAATGAGGCAAAGAAGCAAAGGCAGTTGAAAAATCAATCTCTGAAGCCACAATACTCAATGCAGCTTGGCTAGATTCTTGCAGCTTTCATCGCCCTGGTTCCTACCCAGTTTCCAAGCCTGGTTCCTCTGATTAGATTCTGTAAGGTACTTAATACTCATCCAATTAAACTCCTTTTCTGCGTCAGTTAACTGGAGTCCATTTCTATTGCTTGAATAATATGTTCATGTGTGAGTGCATGTATGCAATATATACACACATAGGAATATTATAGCACCAACATGTGCTCTTTGCCAGGGCAGTCTTTCCAAAACATATATTTGCAATTCTCCCCTATTTCAAAAGATTCAATAATTATCCCATTTAGGAATAAAAAATTAGGATAAAAAACCCCACAAATTTTAGCATGGCATCCAAGAACCTTTATACCTTTCTTGTTTAATTTCTCATCACTTTCACTTTTCTACCTTATGCTGGTCCCTGGGCTCACCATTTCTCCATCCCATTGTACTTACTATGAACTTACTGTTGTGCTTTTCCTTTTCTTCACAAGTTTGGAGGTATCCTTCATGTTTTAGCTCAAGAATTATCTTCTCCATGAAATAGAGTTTGACAGTTTTTTCTCTAGCACTATGCATACTTGTTTTGTACCCTTGTTACACTTTGTCGTAATTATTCACAAGTTTGTCCCTCTTACTAGATTATAAACTTCTTGAGGACATTATCTCTAAGCATCTATGTATCACAACAACTAGAATATTTCTTGGCACATAATAGATGCTTAATAGGCGTTTGTTAATTCAAGGAATGAACATGACCTGATGTCTGTAAGGCTCTGACGATCAGCACAAGAATCATTCTAGAACAACTACATAAAGACTGTCCAATATTTCAGCCCCAACTACCCAAAGGTGGTTAAAAAACAGAGACACTGGCTATCTTGAAATAATTTTTAATGTTTTAAAATTAATAAGTGCACACAATACATGTTTTAGCAGTAGAAGAATGAAAATGTATGTATGGTGTTTAATAAAATTTATGTTGCAAAACAAGACCATGTTAGGAAAACCTTAAAAGTAGAAGTAAACATTTAAGTAAAAACCAAACAAACAACATGCTAACAGATATGATTAAAAACTCTTAATAAATGTAGTTGCCTAAATTCAGGCTTGAGACATTGAAATTTACTTTGCCACTTAAGAAAAAAAAAAAGCAGAATGCCCTTCATTTTAAATGTGCTTTTAAAAATGTTTGTATATTGTTTTCCTATTGGCAACAGCAGTATAATCAAGTATATAAAAGAATATCAGCTGGATTCCAATCTGGTAATAAAAAAGTACACCACTTGTTAAGTACACAGTTCACCTAAGCAACAACAAAAAATCACACTACATATTAACTTTCTACTGTAAGAATCCCCCCAACCCATGCCCCACAGTGAGCACAGCTGAAAACTACTCCAGCTTAAGAGAAAATGAAAACAAGTCTTCAGCACCTTATGGTTTCTAAGCACAGGAAAACATGGGCAGAACGAGATTATAGGAAAAGAAAAAAATGGCTAAGACCATGTGCTCTTCAGTAAAATTCTACTTACACACAGCTGCTTAAATGAAGAGACTGGCTGATTTATGTATTGGGCATTGTGGAAAAAAACTTGACCTTCAAAATTTCTTCAAATTTTGGCAGATCCCCCAAAACGCAAAGATTGGAGATAATTTAATCAATCATTTCCTAGAACTTTATAAAGTAATGAAGTAACACTATAATGGTGAAGGCTGAGGTGAGGAAAAGGAGCTCTTGGAAGAAAGGAATACTCCTTTTTACTTCTCAGCTACTCTTTCTCAACAAATTACTAAGGTTCCATTGAGTCCTTAGAAATCATTTAAAAATGTATTTTATACAAAGCACTTTTTAGACAGAGTGACCTCAATTGTAGTGCTTCCCTCAGCACACCAAAAGGAGTATGTAATTCCAGGATAAACAGATTTCTCTAAAGTCCCAATGACAACTAGTGCCCAGGCTTCCAAGGTTTGCTTTAGTGCTCAAGAATGGCAAATGACAATGATACTTAGAAGACCATTTTGGTCACAACATGGTAAAGATTTAATCAGCACAAAAGACATTTGCTAGTTAAGTTATATGGGTAAGAAGACCGAAGTTCAGCTGTTTGTTTCTTAGATGTGAACTTCATGGAGAATGGGATTTTATTTTATTGTTAACTTCCCTTCTCCTTCTTACAAGTAAACTAATTCAAACCAGTCCTGCCTTACATAAAAATATTTAAATTTTATATAAACTTTATCAATAGCCTGAGAAATGCAAGGACATTCACTAAGAAATTTGTGCAAAAATTGGTTTTCTCCAGAGAGAGGTTAATTTGTAAAAAGAAGCCAACCTCTAGAATAAAATTTTAGAAGGGATTTGTTTCTATTTTCACTAAACAAACAAGGGTTTTATCTAAAATTTGCATATAGCATTAAAAAGTACTTAATAAATTTAAAATCTAAATAAATACTGACAATTGGCATTATAAAGTGTAATTTGGTACATTTACGAAATTTGAAGATTTACTATGTAAGTTTCTATTACACATTAATAAAATGTAACTTATGTTTACTTCACATTATTCAGAACATCAATTCCCTTGGTTATTCTCACAATTTTCAATTCTTTAAGAAGTTGTACCAAAATTAAAAATCCTTAGATTTGATAATGACAAGTAAGAAAAACAACTTCTTATGGCTTGAATGAATAAGCCAAATATAAATGCTTAAGAAAACATTTACAAGTATTATATAGGTAATATAATTAATTACAAATTGCTTTCTGTTCATTACAAACATCTATTTAAAACTTGAAAATGATGAGCAAATAGGATCTAGTTTTAGTCTATGCAATGTGTCTTCTGTAATGCTAATGTTACCAGACTACACAGAGTTGGGCTAACACTGCACCACAGACAGTACTGAAAATGTGCCACGTCTATAATGCCATCAATGGAAATGGACTGGATAACAAAGTGTTGGATTTCCAATCTCTTATCCAATGTCAGTTCCACTTTAGTTAGCAGGAGGTGAAGCATCTACTTTCCCCATGGTTTCCTCCCTGAAGAGCAGCTTTCGAAGTATATTTGCATAAAATGGTCCATACACTTGTTTGTTGAGATTCACAATGTTTGCATATTGAGAGCCTAGGGCTTCTAGCTCCTGCTGGATGACAGCAAGGCCTCCTGGCATGGGAGGCATGCATTTTTGAGGGATCGGAAGACAAAGTAGGCTTTTCATGTATAGCTGAATTCGTTTATCTGAAGGGAGAAAAAAAAGAGATATATTTATCTGTCCCATTATTAAAGTACCTAATATTTTTTTTTTTAAAAAAAGAACAATTATAGTAGGTTGACTGAAATAGTGTTCCTAATTCAAACCTCCCTGCATCCATGCCCTTTGTAAGGTAGCTTTGCAGTTCCTCCTATCAAAGGCTGGCGTGTGTTTCCCCATTCCTTGAATCCTGGCTGGCCTTAAGACTTGCTGGCCATTATAGAATACAGTGGAAATGCCAGTGTGCCAGTTCCATGCATAAGCCTCAAGAAGCCTGGTTTATGTCCACTCTCAACCTGCCACTGATCTGAGAACAATCCTGGGCTTGCTAGAGGATGAGAAACCAAGTGAAGGGAAACCCAACTGTTTCATCTGAGGCCATCTTAGACCAGCCCGTAGCCAACCATATCCCAAACACTTGAGAGAGTCCAGCCAGGATCACCAGAGCTACCAATCTGAGCCACAGATGGCCACAAATGGATTAGTAAATCCAGCAAGACCAAAAGAACTACCAAGTTGCTCCACAGACTTCTGAGTAATAATAAATGCTTATTTTTTTAATCTATGGAGTTTTGGGGTACTTGTTATACAGCAATACCTGACTGATAAAAAAAAAAATGTAGAGCTCTGGGAGGGGAGCATCTTTTACAGAAGTCAATCTTTAATGTCCATGATTATAAGTTACATACACGAAAGCTGAGTTTGTAAACTAGCATTGCCAGTCTGGCCCATGTGGTGTTTTTGTAAAAACAGAAGCCATTTAAAATCAGGGGATTTCACACAGAAATCCAAATTTCTGGTTCCTCCCCCAACTATCACTGCAGTTTGCCACCTTCTCCCCTTTCTGCTTTACTGCTTCATGTATCTGAGTTTGAGACTACTGCACAAAAGCATGCAAATGCATATGTTAATTAGGACAACTGGTACTGGACAAACCAACCCTGCCATAACTCAGGCTGCTCCAAGGGCTTTCTCTGGCTTTGGAAGCAGAAATCTCACAAGTAAGGTTTACTAAGGATCATACACTCCACTGAATATGAACTATGACATTATTGAAACTCTTATCTCCAAACATTTCTCCTCAAAATCATACATTCCAGCCAGATACAACCTAGATCTCAAAGTTTCCAATGTCCAGTGTTTATGTCTTACTAGAATGTCCTTCCATCTCAAGTCATCTCTGCCCAGAATCAGAGGCATCCTTCAATGCCAAGCCTAATGTTACCTCCTTTCTGTGGCTTTCTCTAGCCATGTTATTCCCAGTTGAGACTGTGCCCCCCCCTTTTCTTAGACAGTACACTCTCTGAGGGTAAGGACTAAGTCTTTTTTATCTTTATATTCCTGGCCTGGCATGTGATAGGCACATGCTGATGGAATTTAAATAAGAATGGAATGAAAAAGCTCTATAAAGATAAATGCCAAACTGAAAACAGTAACAGCCAGGGCGAAATGAGGATTGGAGAAAGCAGGCAAAGATGACTTAAGCTTTATCTATAATTTTCAACAAGGAGAAATTATTCCTGTATCACTTGTACAACTGAAAGTACTTGTTAAAAATGTAGATCGCTATAGGCATGCAAATAATCTACACAGCAGGTAATCCATAAATACTTTTTACCTGGTTTTTGTATATATTTGAAAAAAAATTGATTTGAAAGAAAACTTCCTTACTAATATCTTTTTAGAAAGAACTGTGGTGGGAATTGAGAATTGTAATCCTGTTGGTAAATACATAGCACATCAACTAAAAACCAAAGAAAGCAGACTATGGGTACTCTCAACAGGGAGGAAAACCATGGCTAACACTGGCTGAACTCTTCTTGTGTCTTAGTGCTTAATTTATTCTAACTCCTCTGCAGGCAGAAAATTAAGAATTAAGTAATTTCCCTTTAGACTGATAGCCTGACTCTCACAGGCTCAGGTCTGTATTCACCATAGATATGGTCCAAGCACTCTCCTGCAAGAAAATTTAAAGAATGAAACCATTTCAAAATTGTTATTATGCCAACATGTAGTTCTCTTGCCTCTGTGGATGAGTTAGTTTTGAGTCCAAGACTTAAGTGATAGGAGCATTTGTCCAGTTAGGAGCAGCCAGATGGAGTCCCTGCCAAAGGTGTGTCCTTGGCTTCCAGAGTTGAAGGAGAGACACTCAGTGAGACACTCAGTGTTGCTATGGCAACAGTACTTTGAATAAGATTTAAAAATGCCTTCAATCTGCAAAAGGACAGGAAAGTTGGACCGGGGAAAGCTGCGTGGATGAAAGTTGCTTGACTGGATTTTAAGAGGCATCTCTTGGTCCTCAGCTTCCCTCTCCTTTCTTACATTGCAACTACTTCCCTCATCTAAAGCAAGGGTACAGAGTACGCTCTGCCAACAAAAAGCCGGGCTCCAGCTCTGACCAAAATGGCATCAGAGCAGTTAGGAAGATTAGCTCTGGAGTCAGACAGGTGGAAAAAGAATCCCAACTCTGCTCCCAGCTAGTTATGTGATCTTGAGAGAGTTAACTTCTCCAAGTCTTCCATGCATTCACCTATTTCACAAATATTTATTAAATGTCAGCTCAGCATTGTCCAGGGAGATATCAGTGAACAAACATGTACCCTGTCCTTTTGAGGCCTGCACACTAGTGGGGATATAACAGTGTGTGGCAGAGACTGCTAGACAGTGTCTCAGTCCCCATTCTACCCCTCTTCCTCCTAGGAACACAATCTCAGCTGGAGACTACATGTTGTGAAGACAGATGCAAGTCAGCACGTGATATTATAAAAATAAGGGCTCAGTCACAGGTGGCTGTCGTTATGCTTTGTTACTGTTATCAACTGTCCCCTGTCAGCAGCAGCCCACCATAGTGTTTACGCCAGCACTGTTCTTTTCTGGGGGCCAAGTTGAAGCCTTGAGCCACTTAGGTAGCCTATGCAACCTGGATTGCCAGCATTCCATGTCCCCAGGGATAAGAAGGAAAAAAAATTTTTTTGAGAACCTCAAATAAATAATAAAATGTATTTGTATTCTTAGGGCAGTCAATGTTGTACTTTGAAAACTTGCAGATCAGTCCTAGAATGTTAGCATATTTTAATTCTACATTCTTTTCCCCCTAATTTTTATCCCTCAACCTCTGTAGTAGACAATTGCTTTTTGCCACACCAGCTACTCCCCCTTTGTATGGCCATGATACTCTGATTTTGTATGGGGGTAACTATCTCCACCCTACTCTCATTAGATGTTACAGGTAAAGCTGACTCCACCTTGGCTCGGGGAAGTGAACACATGTCTCAGGCCTAAGTTCCTTTCCCTCTGGTTGCCATGACTGATTTAAGAATGAGACATGACCTAAAGTCAGGCCAACTGGGACAAATGAGACTCAATGCTGGGATCATTAACTGAGCTAACAGGGAGGTAGATTCCTTGTTTTTTGCTTGACTTAAATATGGAAAGATGTAGGCTACCTGACACCATCTTGCTACCATGAGAAGAGTCTATCTGTGAAGGCAGTTAACCTGGAGGAAGGCAGGAAAACTAGTGCTGATGACATAGTCTGAGCTCACAGTCTGATTAAGCTATACCGCTGCCAGCCCTACTCCTCATCTTTTCAGATATATGAGAAAATAAGTGCCCTTTTTACTTAAGATACTTTAGAAGTTTAGGTTCTTTGTCACAGATAATAGAAAAAGTCCTCACTGATACATTCTCCATTTTTCCAACTCACCAACACAGCTTGACACTGAGATAGTCACTTTCATGGCCAATAAGCACAAAGAGAGCCACTCATCATGTATCCCAGTTCCACAGCCTTTTTACTCTTTGTCTCTTTAAGCTTGACCAAGTTCCCTTAGGCTTGCTCACAGTAGAACTGATACCTACTTTCTGTGAACATATTGCCAGCTGGTTTGAATTGTTGCATTGATCTAGGATTTTAACATTACTGGCAACAAGGTGTTATTTTCTTCACAAGAATCTATTGGCTGCGTAGGTAAGATAGTAGGCCCTGAAACATCCTCCTACCCCACTACATATACACATAGAAGAAGTAGAGTCCCAAACTTATAAAAATATTAATATTTCTTTATATTTTCAGGATTTATCCTCCAAAAGCAAGTAAAGTATTTAAGACTAAAATTTGACTGACATTTAACATTAGTCAAAACCAGAAAGTTAAAGTAAATTGGAATTGAAGCAGAAACCAATAAAACCTGGGGACTCACCAATCAAGGACCAGATAGGATTGTCCTCCTCTTCAATGCTTGAAAATTGACCTACAAGATTAGCTTGAATTTCAGCATTTAAAGTGGGCACGCCTCTTTCCATCAGGGCCTTATTAACCTCAACACAAGTCTGAACACCAATAGAATTCAGGACTTCCTTCAAGTTAAAGGTCCTACAAAACATAAAATGAAATCCCATCAGGGAAAGTTTTTGTTCATCAGGTTTTTGGGTTTTAATATACTAACTTGTTTCAGATGTCTACCAATTTTCTCTTATACAGACAATAATAAACTCTATTAGAATGAATTTATAAAACAGTAACTCCTCCCAACCACTAACCTGCATATATAGCATATTTTTAAATGCCTAAAACCACTCAATTGTGTAGGTAGTGTTTAAATAGAAAAGCAGAGGCAAAAAATGCAGTCCCTGAAAATAAGTTAGCAACCCCACTTACATACAGGGCTATCAGAAAGGGATAGAAAATACCAATTTACTTCTGAAATCCTTTGATCTGAGTGGATTCATCCATGCATTTTTTTTCTTTTTTTTAAATAGAGACGGGGCCTCACTCTTGCTCAGGCTAGTCTCAAACTCCTGAGCTCAAACGATCTGCCCGCCTCAGCCTCACAGAGTGCTAAGATTACAGGCATGAGCCACCACACCCGGCCCATACATTTTTTTAATGTACTTGGAAAATGAGGTAGAATCAATTTATTTATCTATGCTTGATCAGTAAATCTCTAACACCAATCAAAAATAACAAAGATATTTATTTAGAAATCATATTATATAAAACTCTTGACTGATCATGACCAAAGATAATACGCTCCTTACCATTATTACTTTCAAGTAACAGATGAATAATCCCAAATATATAGATCCAGAATATTGTAAAAAGAAATTATAGAGTGGGTTATTTAATAGATAAGGAAAAGGAGGTAATTAGAAAGGGCATTTGTTGGGTCTACACTATTAGGAAATGAAGACTAAAAATTATATCTCACTATCCAGAAAGGGTCTTTAAGATAACCCTACAAAATCGGAATCAAAGGATAAGAGAAGGGCCCAATGATATGAGGTGATGCAATGGAGTGAGTTGGAACATAAAGCTGTGGTGTCATGTGGATCTGGGTTCAAATCCAATGAACTTGCTATATGCCTAGCTTTTATCAGACTGTCTCAGGCATATAGTAAATGTTTAATCAGATGAAGAAAAATAAAAATGGTTTATCATTATTATTATTATCATCACTAACAGCAATAAGAAATAAATCCTCGTTGTTATGCCTTGAATGAAATTTATTATAAACTCACACTGGACCTGCCTTTGGGGTTCTACAAGCCAAAGGTAGATTGTTTGTGGCAAAATTTTTACCTCCTGACTTTTTATTCACTATAAGGTACTATCCTAGCTTCTTTCTGCTTTTAATCAGTGAGTTCTTAGGCTAAAGGAAAAATTAAATTTTAGCATAAGACATGGCTTACTATTCACAATAAAGAAGGCAAAACTTTGTTAGTTTTCAAGATGCATCATCAAACCAAATATAAATGACATCTGGGTCTACTCATTATTTCATATCATCTTCTTTTTTATATTATGATTGCTATTACACCCTCCATAATGAGGATAATTGAGAACTGACTGTATTCATTTCTTAACATAGGGGATAAGTTAAAACAATAAAACAGCCAGATAAACAACCAGATAAAACTATAAAGACGATGATTTAACAAGTAAATAGTTATTCATAGCTAACATTCATCAAGCACATACTATGTGCCAGACACCTATACTAAGTGCTTCACATGAATCTCCTTAAGTTCTCACAACTCCATGGTAGGTACAATTATTATTCCCTTTTTACAAGTGAGGAATTGAGGCTCAGAGCAATTCAGGAACTTGTTCAAGTGTATATAACAAGTCAATAGCAGAGCTGAGATTTAAACCCTGGTCTAACTGTCCTAAAAGCCTACTGACCTCAAGCAGCACTGGGTGTTCACTAAAGACGTAATCAAAAAAAGCTTCTGGAAAGTAAAGTAATAGTTACCTAGTGTGGGAAAATCCTAAGATAAGACCAACTGCAAAATCAGAGAAGTTTTTTTTCACTGTAAGTCTTGGGTCCTACAATATGAAATGAACCTAGTAGGTGAGTAACAAAATCAGGAAAAAGAGCAATGCCTTGAGACAGTCAGATCAGAGCTAGGGTCTTAGTTTTCCCTTTTCTAGCTCTGCAGCTCAAGGCAAATTCTATTCTCTCTTTAAGCTTCAGTTCAAAATGAGAAGTTTGGGTTCAGTAACCACTTGAGTTCCTTTTGGCTCTTAATATTTTAGGATTTTTATCAAGTCATTTATGTGCTGAGTAATGGGTTGGAGGATGGGAGGATAGGTGCATCTCCCTTCAATAACAGGAATAAAGAGGACATGCCCCTGAAAACACCTGAAAGGGGAACCAGCAGGAGCTGACTCACACAGGACCAATGAAAATGGCCATTGACCAAGATGAGGAATTTTCTGAGTTGGAGGGGATTTCTAATGGGATGCTTAACTGAAAAATCAAAATGGGATTTTAGCATTCAATGAAGGTATAACAATGGAGATACATTTAGCAAAAACAAAACCCTTCAGTGGATTTGTGTCACATCTCTGAAGGACAGAATTATCACCACTTCTAAAGACTGCATAGGGTGAGTTAGTGAAACCAGTAAACATTTCATTGCAGAAAAATGATGAATTCAGAACAACTGAACCTAGAAAGCCCTTTTTGATAGGACAACTCAAAATATTGAGCTTGGTGGATTTCTGGTTTTGTTTTTTTGTTTGTTTGTTTTGTTTTTTCACAACACTGTCAAAGAAAATTTCTTGCATGCACCCATCATAAGTGGAAATACTACACTCATCCTGGCACTTGTCATGGAAAACACCTCTCCCTTCCTATGAAAGGACATCTAAGCCTTCTGAGATATTAAAAGAAATTCTAGAAAAAGTAGCTGTAAGATAAACTTCTCTAAACACAGTCTTGAATGTCACATCCAGATGTCCAAGGTTATTCTTATTCTCTGAAATACATGCAGAGCCTTAATACAAGGAGGAGCAGATAGATACATTTGGAACTTACTCTTTGTTCATGCCTTCAAGTAGAACAGCTGAAATCCTTTTTAACCTGCTAGCAAGCTCAGGCAGACCTTCTGTAATAGCACCCACCATGTTGTTGGTAATTAGGGATAGGCAGGCAATAATTTTCAATTGATTCAGCTTTTCTGTCAGTTCCTGAAGACGTGCTCCATCTGTCATGAGTGTCTAGCATATTTATTTAAAATGTAAAAATAGAAAGGGAAGCTCAGTACCATGAAAATGTAAAATAAGCAATGTCATATCTAAATTCCCATTTTTTTCTGATTTTAGTAAAGTCATCAAACCACATGCAACACAGACAAACCAGCTGACTCAAAGTCAGAACTTAGGAAATAAAATATTGGAAAACTTGGGGGAAGAAAAAAAAAATCACTCACCTCTGGTAATTCTTTTTTCTGATAATCCCACTGTAACAGTTTCAAGTAACTGTTATTTAGCACCAATGTAGGGCTCAGGCTTAGCTTGGAGCTATTTTCGGCCCCAGGAGTTAAAGCAGTCTCAGAAAGAGAAAGTAATTCTTCATTTACAGATTCTTTTATCCATTCTGTAGTTTGATCAAGAGCACCTAAGAGTAAAAAGGCCACATATTTGTCCTACAGCTGACTGATCCCTTCATTTGTGCACTCCACATGACAGATGCTATGTTAGATGCTAGACATGAATGAACACACACAGCCACACCCCTCAAGGAGTTGATAGTCCAGATGGGGAGATAGACCTGTAAACTGACAATTGTAACAGAATATAATGAATACTAGAAGGCACAAAGGAAGTGGAGGGAACAGAGGTTGTCCAGGAAAGAGTCTAAGAAGAGCTCTTTAAATGACATTTGAAGTTAAAAGGTATACAGAGGAAAGGGATGGCATTCCAGGCAAGGAGAATAGCCTATACAAAAGCCTGGAAAAGAAAACACATGGCACATTCCGGATGCTACAAAGAAATCTGTATAGCTGGTCATAAAGAACCAGGGGGAAGAGGGTGGTATCAGATGGCATTGGATGGGCAGATAGAAGTCAGCTCACAAATGACCTTGAGTTTTGTGCAGAGAGAGTAGACTAAATGCCTTACTTACCAAACATTCTTGGGTCCTAGTCCCCTCTGAGTGTCTGATTAGAGCTATGCCTTTCCCAAGAAGCATGTGCATGCTCATGTGCACATGCCCACAAACAACTTTCATTCTATCTCATCATATTCATAGACCCCAGGTTACAAACACCACATATGGAGAATACAGGGTCTTTAAATATTTTTTTCAACATGGAACTGATATGATTAGATATGTATGTTAGAAAAATCATTTGGAAAAGAAGACTGAATTAGTTGGGAGAAGAATAGATTGTTGCAGTGGTTCAGACAAGAGAGTGAATGGACAACGGCAGTGGAAGTGAAGGGTAAAGAGGGGGGGAAGTGAGAAATATTTATAGAGAATACCCAGAGGTCTTGGCAATCACTTAAATGTACAAAGTAGGAAAGTATGACTTTCAGATTTCTACCTTGGACAGCTGAATGAGTAGTTGTGCCTCCTACCAAGATATGGAATACAGGCTAAGGGGGTTCAAAAATAAATCCTTCCCAAGACTAAGGCCACCACCAATCTCCTGTTTGTTAAAGACAACAAACATGTCCTTCCTTTTTTTTTTTTATTTCTGTAATACCTATTGCAATTGCTAGAGTGTATGGTAAGTGTTAACAAGAAACTGCCAAATGGTTTCCCAGAGTTTTACCTTTGTTTTTAATATAATTTATTTAACTGTAAATTTATATAATTTAAACTTTAGTAATGGCTGTGTATACTAGCTCACAAAATTCCTGAAAGTGTACAAATGGCTCCCAAGTCAGTACCAACCACATCTAGCACCCCACTGGCAGTGCCCATTTCTAAAATTAACTATCTGTCAAACAGAGCCCAATATAAGCAAGCAGAGAGGTACTTTACATTTATTCCTTGAAATAGATTTGACAAGAACATAAACATAACTTACAGTGCAAAGAGACTAATAAGCAACAGTTTGTTCTGCAACAGAGCTCAGAAAAGCAAGACAAAATGAGGAAGCAACTTTACTGTCAAGTCAGATTTGCATTGCAGATGAGTGAATTTCAATTAAGTGTGACCTAATATCAAAGCAATCAACACAGGACTAAGAACCTGTGCTAGGTTCTCCCTTGGAGGGTAACCTGGTAACCTGAGCCACACAGTCTCAACATAAGTCTGGCCTTTAACACTCATTGATTAGACAAGTTCTTTAACAGTCTCCTCAGTTTCCTCATCTATAAATTAGGAATAAAAATAGCACCTTCCTGTAGTTGTAGTAATAAATACAAAACACTTAGAACTGTTTCTGGCACAAAGGAAATGTCCAATAGGTGTTAGCAATTGTTATACATGCTCATTTAACTCTCCAAACAATCTTTAAAGGGGGAATTCTTGTCTCAGGAGGTCCCAACTGACACACAACAGCTGCCTTACTACTAAAGTTGCCTCAAACAGAAGTGATCACCCATGGAATAAAAAGAGTGAGTAATCTAAGAAGTGGGTTGGTTCAGATGGGCTTTTTTAGGAACCTGGCTTTAAAAAAAAAAAAGAATGATTAGCAAGCACGTTAGCTTGACAAAGTGGAATCTCAGCAGATGCCCTTAAAGAAAAGCCAATGCTTAAGAGGAGATGATGTTATCCAGAAAACATGATTTTATCCAGAAAACATGCAGAAACTGAAAATCTAGTTTACTCAGCACGATCCCTAGTATTTGGCAAAGGCTATTCTAGAAGGCAAGTAGGAGAAGGATGCAGCCAGGAAGGAGGAAATCACTGAACTTGAGCCTCATACTTAATTTGACCTTAAAGAATGTGTGGTAATGTCCAGTTAGGTTGTCATTTCATTTTAAACAAGTTTATTTATCAAGTTCAATTCTTCTGCATTAAAAATATGTATTACTGAAAATGAAGTTTTATACTTGAATTCATTCTACTATGAAGCATATGTCACTTAAATATTACTATAGCATGTGTTATTATTACTAGGTGCATAATAGTTATTATTAGCAGATTCCCTTAATATTAGCAGTTTCTGTTGAAAAACAACTACAACCTACACAGAACTGTTACAAAAGGTGCCTCTGTAAATGCCTGTCTCTGCAAGTGGAGACAGTCCCCTCCAGACAATGGAAAGAAGGCAACAAGAGGAAGGCACCCACCATCAACCATGACTAGCTGAAATAGACTGGTTCCAAACACAAAACAATCCCCAAAGTGCTCAGCTGCCACCAGACTTCTTTGTTAATTGAGCCCCAATAGTACTGGAGCATGAAGATAATTCTTAGGCCATAATGAAATGGATTCATTCCAGTTCTTTTTTTTTTTTTTTTTTGAGACAGGGTCTGGCTCTGTTGCCTGAGCTAGAGTGCAATGGCAAGATCATAGCTCACAGCAACCTCAAACTCCTGGGCTCAAGCAATCCTGCTGCCTCAGCCTCCCGAGTAGCTGGGACTACAGGCATGTGCCACCATGCCTGGCTAATTTTTTCTATATATATTAGTTGGCTAATTAATTTCTTTCTATTTATAGTAGGGGTCTTGCTCTTGCTCAGGCTGGCTTTGAACTCCAGACCTCGAGCAATCTGCCCGCCTTGGCCTCCCAGAGTGCTAGGATTACAGGCATGAGCCACCGCGCCCGGCCCCAATTCTTTACTTAAGGTGTCTCAACCTCAGTACTATTGACATTTGGGGCTTTATTGTGGGGTGCTTTCCTGTTCACTAGAAGACACTTAGTAGTATCCCTGGACTCTATCCACTAGATGCCAGTAACACTCCAAATCCTCCCAACCCCCCCCCCCAACCTCTGCCCTGCCAGGCTGGGATGACCAAAAGCATCTCTAGACATGGCTAAATGTCTAGGGGTGGGAGATGGCAAAATCACTCGCAACTGAGAACCACTGACTTAGATATCTAACAATTAGTATTTATTTACTTTTGTTCACAAGTATTTTCTCCAACCTTGACTAAAATGTCTCTTACATCATGAACCAAATGAAATGTGACATACCGAAGGCTATTCCAGAAGGCTTAAAGTTTGGAGGCAACATTTCTCTACTAGGGCTGTCTGCCTTAAGGCAAAATTTACTTTATTTTGCTTTAGATCCAGTTCTAAGGTTTCCTGTTAGAAACAAATTGCTTTTTATACCACAGTTCTTATAAAATTATGTATTTAGTACAATTTATAAGGTGGCAATTGTTAAGAAAATGCAGCCTGAACACAAGTGCAGATTGATTAAAAAAAAAAAAAGCCAGAGGAAAAATAAAGAATAGGCTGACATTCTTCCTCAGACTCAGCACTTGAACAGGAATAATTTAGGAGTGGTTGTTTGCCACACTAAAGCAACACCACCCCCAGAATTTCACAACTCTGTTTCTCCTCAGTTGGCAAATGTCATTCTTGGTTTGCTAGTTCTGTTTAAAAAGATGTAAACGACTTGCAGTCTTTTATTTAAAAGACATCCAACTGAGAGAGAGAGAGTGGAAATCATCGTGGATATAATTACAATGTGGCGGTAATAAGCATTTATACTGCAAGTTTAATCATTTACAGCTGACACATTTAAAAGCCCATTTAGTTATCTTGAACAAAAGCAACAGTGTTGGCATAGTGGTTCTCAATCCTGGCTGACTTTATAATCACCTGGGGGAGCCTTTAAAAGGAAAAAATGATCATGGGCACAGTTCCTGGAGATTTTGATTTATTCAATCTGAGCCCGGCTCAGGCCTCTGTTAAACGCCCCAGGTGATTCTAATTTGTAGTCAGAATTAAGTATGCCAGGCAAAGCAGAAGGAGCATGCGCTTACAGTGAAACATCAGCTTTTTTTCTCAGGGATCCACTCAGATTTCACTCCCACAAGCCAGCATATCAACTGTTCTATGTGGCTCCAAAAGGTCAACCCCATGAGGCACTTATAACCACAGTTTTTCAAGGGGACAGTAGTAGAGCTTCTCCATTCACTCATTTATTAGACAATAACTACTGAGCATCTACTAGGTGCCAGGTATTATACCAAATACGGAGAATTCACAGATGAATAAGCACAGTCCCTGCACTCAAGAAGTTCCTAGTCTAATAGGAGAAACACAAGAACAAGCAGTGGCATTATAGGTGTATTTACTTAAGTGTCCCAATTTTTAGTTAGAAAAATGTAGTTCCCTTATCTATGGTATCTGATCTTTCTGCCAGCAACACTTCACTTTCCCTCCCCCCCACCCATTTTCCTTTCTTTTGTTCTGATTTCCTTTGAAAAACCATTGTCTCTCATTCTGTTTTCAATTATGAGTATCAATTATGAGGTCCCACCTCCCTGACCAGGAGTTGGCCTACCTGAGTCATATATCCATCAGACTGTTTCATGGGACTCTGAGTGGTCACCAGAATGTTCGAGGATGGACCATGTTTGAACTACCCATTAACTATTGTGACAATGGAGCCTACCTTGCCCTTGGTCTTTCCTGCTCAGATTCCTGACACTCTCCTGCTTTGACATTTTAGCTTTTCCTTCAATTTTGTGAGCTGCCTTCATCCTTCCATGATTCATTTCCTTTTTGGCTAAGTCAGCTAGAGTTTTTGTTACTGAAAAATCTAAAGAAGGTAGAAAAAGTAGCAGTTTAGTTTAATCTGGACCTGGATTTGGAAGACCCGGCTTCTTCCTAGCTCTGCTACTTACTAGCTGTATGACTCTGACTTTGAGTAGGACACTGGTGAGCATCAGTTTGCTCTTCTTTAAAATGTTCCATAAATACTTCCTGAAAACCTTATGTGCCAGGAAAGGCAATCATAATGCAGTTTTATATATTTCTGAAAAGAGATATTTGTGTCTCATAGAATTTTTGAAAGAATCACATGAAATAAAGTTCATGAAAACATTTTATCAGATATAAGATATTATCTAAATAAATACTTTTCTGTGTACCTTAAAAATTACTTATGGTCTCCACACAAGGATAATCTATTACTCCTTCCACAGATAATTTAGTGGTTGAATCTTAGTACACACACTCAATCTTTGCCTAAGGTTGGTATATTTTAAATAGGCAATTATATAAAATCTCTCCTTAGGCAAAATAAAATATTTTCCTGGAGTCAATTCAGAAATCCAGAGTACATCTTTGTATTAATTTTCCAATAATTTTTACATAAAAATCATGCACACAGAAATCCATTTTTGTCCTTATGTGTGATACTATGAGGCTCTTATTTTGATAAGACACTGGGGCTGACTTTTGGCAGAGTGACTTAGGGATATAATTAACGAGTGACATACACACTACTTCCAGGGCTCTTGATTTCTTTCACTGGGCAATAATGACCTATATGCAAAGTTGGATTTACTCTACTGTGAAATCTATAAAAATATCCAAGTCAATAGGAAAGGTGTAAATGATTACAGGTCACTAAACCTGGGTTTTAAATAGATAAGCAAATAATTTGAGGTGAATGAAATTGTAATTCAACCCTGCATTAAGGAATTTATTCAAGATTCCAAGCTATTTTGGTTCAAGACATGGGCACATGTGTACATACACAGGCACACAAACAAAACCAACCATACTAAGTCTCAGGAAAATTCTTCTGAGGATAGTTGCTACAGTTCAGGTTTCAGATTTACGTTCTAAGTAGGATTCTACTTCCCTTTCTCCTTCTCCCTTTGGATCTAAAACAACATAACTCTTAAAGTTATAGAATTTTTGTTGTAGAACAATCCTTATAAGTCATTTGGTTATACCCACCAGCTGATACCAGAGATTCCTCTATAGTATCCCCTACAGATAGTCAATATCTTGTTTGAAGAGAGGTGGTATTGCATGGTGTCTAAATGCACATTCTTTGAGGCAGAGACCTATCTGGGTTACACAGGCTCTACCACTTACTAGCAGTCACCTAGGGTAAGTATATTAACCTCAATTTCCTCATTTATAAATAGGGGGTGATAACAGTACCAACCTCACAGGGCAATTATGAGGCTTAAGTGAACTAATAAATGAAACGCATTTGACACACAGTAAGGATTTGGCATGTAATCAGTGCTCAAACAAAATGTTAATTAGCACTGACTACTACCAGTAATAGAGAGGCCCATTCCAAAGTTAAAACAGCTCTAATTTGTTATGAAGGTCAAATTGGCTGTCTGCTACTTCTCTTGTATGGATCCTAGTCTGCCCTACGGAATTTAACCAAAGTCTCTGTGTCACTATCACCAGGGAGGGTGGTGCCAGCCACACCAGATTCTCCTTTATACCAAGCAGAACATGCCCAGCTTCATAGAAGGTTCCTCACGTGGCCTTCCATGTGCTCTCCCCTGGATGCACTCCAGCCTGCCAGAGTCCCTTTAAAAGTGGCACCTGTTTTGCTTTTTTAAAAATATATAAGGCTATTGTGTTGATTATTTTAAAAGATACCATCTAACTCAGCCTTAGATTGTGATTAATTAAATCCCAGAGGGTAGTGTCAAGGGTAGGCCAGCCTCTTGCCAGCTGTGCAACAACTGGAACCCCAGAATCCTCACCTATAAAATGAAGAACATAACAGTACCTACCTCAGAGAGTTACTAGCCATTGTGAGGATTCAATGAATTAATACTTCCTCTACTCTTATTCTCCCTTGGCTCCCCTCCAGTCTAATTCTAATGCCCACGAGTCCACTGAAACTGCTCTCATTAAGGTTACCAAAAATCATCATGTAGCCTTCCTTGACCACTTAGCAGCACTTGTCACATCCAATTACACCTTCCTTCTCCAAAAGCTTTCTTCACTTATCTTACAGGACACCCTCCTCTCCTGACTTTCATTCTACCCTGGCTACTCCTTCATAGAGATCTTTCTCCTCATCTTAACCCTCTAGATGCTAAAGTGTCCCAGGTCAGGCCCTTTCATTATCTATACTTACTGTCTAGGTCAGGCGTCCTCAAATTACGGCCCATGGGGCACATGTGGGTGTTTTTGCCGGTTTGTTTTTTTACTTCAAAATAAAATTATGTGCAGTGTGCACAGGAATTTGTTCATAGTTTTTTAAAACTATAGTCTGGCCCTCCAACTGTCTGAGGGACAGTGAACTGGCCCCCTGTTTAAAAAGTTTGAGGACCCCTGGTCTAGGTAGTCTCAGCCACTGTGATACAGTGGATAAGAACATGGACCATGGAGCCAGACAGCCTGCATGAGTCCCCAGCTCTATAACTTAAACAAGTTGTGTTATGGAGGCAAGAGATTTAACCTTTCCATATCTCAGTTTCCTCACCCATAAAATGGAGGGTAACTTCCTACAGTTGTGAAGATTAAATTAGCCTAATATAGGTAAAGTGCTTAGAATGTGCTAAGGACTGTGTAAGTGTTAACTATTATCCAGTTTCATGGCTTTATATGCCATAAATATACTGATGATTTCCAAATGTATATCCATAGCTCCCATTATTCCCCTGAATTCAAGTCACTCATTTCTAAATGAGATATTTATGTCTGATAACTCCACATTAAAGGTGAACAATATCTCAAACTTCATATATCTAAAACTGAACTTCTGATTCCACACCCTCTCCCAACCTTCTTTCTCCTAGTCTCCCTCATCTCACTAAAATGCATCACCATTTCCGAGTTGCTTAGGCCAAAAACCTTAGTGTCATCCTCAATTCCTCTTTTCTTCCTCATCCAACCTTCTGCAAATCTTGTTACTCTACCTTCAGAATATATCTGGAATCTGATCTCTCCTCACTACTTCCACCACTACCATCTGGAACAAGTCACTATCATGTATTGCCTGAGCAAGTATAATACCACCTAATTGGTATCTCTGCTTCCCTTTTTGCTCTCGTAAAATCTATTTTCTACCCAGGAATCAGAATATTCTTCAAAAATGAAAATCAGATGTTGCTCCCCTGGTCAAAACTTGCCAATGACTTCCCATCACACATGGAATGAAATCCAAACTGTGATCTGCCTTTGTCTACTTTTCAGGCTCACCTCCTGCCCCATCCCTTTACCTACTCTACTCCAGCCACAATGTCTGCCCTGTGTTTGTCAAACTTCACAAGCAAGTTTCTGCTTCAAGGCCTTGTACTTGCAGCTACCTCTGGCTAGAATGTTCTTCCCTACCTCTCAACCATCTTCACATGCCCCTTCCTCATTTATTTGCAAATTCTGTTCAAATATTACTTATTAGAGAGACATTCCCAGTCCTTCACATTGAAAAAACACTACTCCACCCTCACTCCTGCCCCATCACTGTTTGTCCCTTTACCCTATTTTTCTTCATAGCACTTGATAATACATCTGACAACATATATTTATCTGTCACACCTACTAAAATGTCAGCTCCTTGAGGACTCCAACTTTGTTTTGTTCACTGTAGTATCCACAGCACCTAAGCAGTGTCTAGAATATAGCAGGCATTCAATAAATATTTGTCTTTTTTTTTTTTAGTTAGGGTCTTGCTCTGTTGCTCAGGCTAGAATGCAGTGGTGTGAATATAGCTCCCTAGCCCCCTGCAACCTCAAACTCCTAGGCTCAAGCAACCCTCCTGGCTCAGCCTCCTGAGTAGCTGGGACTACAGGTACATGCCACCACACATGGCTAATTTTTTACTTTTGTAGAAATGGGGTCTTGCTATGTTTCCCAGGCTAGCCTCAAACTCCTGACCTCAAGCTATCCTCCTGCCTCAGCCTCCCAAACTGCTAAGATTACAGGTGTGAGCTATTGCACCCAGCCCTAATATATTTTGAATGAATGAAGAAATGAATAGTGATTTAGCACAGTTCCTGGGACAGAGCAAACAACTATAAGTTTGTGATATCAATTTTAGAAGGTAAAAAAAATGTTTACTAGAAAGGCCAAAATTCTTTAGTGACATTCTATGTAAGATGTCAAAAATTAAGTATCATATTTTTATCCAACTTCACAATAAATATATATTATATTATACTTACTTGGAGTTTCTTCTAAAATTTCCTGGAACTTGGTTCTCTCGTATTCCACCAACTGGCGTTGAAGGTGTGGTCTAAGACTCCTAATTGTAAAATTGGCCATGTCCATTTTCATGAGGTCCAGGACATGGAATATTTGTCTAAAAGTTTTAGAATTAAATTAGTTATAGAGCCGATTAAGAAGTTAAGCTGAAATTCACTAACTATTATCTATGTTCCAAGCTGGAAAAAATAAACATCCCAAAACGGTTTTGAAATTCCAATTGCCATTTGGCAAGGTCACTTTTCATAGAAGGTCACACGTGTATTCCAAATGTGTTGTTTCACAGATGTCAAAAGTATTTACTTTAGCAGATAAAATATCTCCAGCTGATATATTACATCCAGTCATAAACTGATAAAGACACTAAGAAGCATAAACAATTAGTCTTAATGATACAAGAAAAATTTAAGAAGGAATTTTGATTTGAAAGCCCCTGAGTCTAAACATAGTGCATATGGTTTTTATTCCTAAGGGAATAAGAAAGAATAAATAAAATAAAGAAAGAAAGGCTGAGGCAGTGAGGCACTGAGGAAAAACACTTCCTTTTTGAGTTGGGCAGTCCTGTACTCAAACTCAGTTTTGCAACTGACCAGATTTGTGGGCAAGCACAAATTACTTAATCTCTCTGAGCCTCAGTTTCCTTATCTGTGAAAGAAGAGAATAACATCAACCTTGGAGGGATATTGTGAACAGTCAATGAGATAATGAATGTAAAATGCAGAGAACTGTGGCACTGGGTGGGCACTCAATAAATGTCCAAGATGAACACCCTAAATTTGATATCATATATGGGTAATAAGATAACTGAAAGCAAGGATCCTGCAACTGAAGAATCAATCTGCCCGAGCTGAGCACAGATCTAAGGATATACAAAACCCATTTTAAGGCAGAGAAAGTGTCACTTTGAGAGACTACTAACTTGCACAAGGTAACAAAGTAAATCACCCAGCACATGCAGACCAGTTTCCTTTTCCTACCTTTCCAAAACATTTACATAAAACTAAATTCCCAAGGTAGCCGTATTTACACACAAAAGAAGAAAAGTTTCCCTCAATGACAAAAGTGTTGCAGATTCTTCTCTCAAATCACAACAAAGTTATTGTCTACATGGCCAGATGAGATTCTCACTATTTAAGGTACACTCCACTTCCTCAGGGAGCTGCAGCAGAGATGTTTAGCTGACCACCAAAAGTCCATGTTCCCTGCACACAGTGCAGATCTGTGGCTGCAAAATGTGTTTCCAGACAGCAACCACTTTCCCCACCCCCCTCTTCAATCTCAGTGGGACCACGTGACTAGTCATGGTCAAGGGAATTTGTCACTTCTGGGCTAAGGTGGGTACATATTAAGTATACCTTTCCCATGGTCACCAGGTGAATGGAGAGGACACCAAGGACCTAGACAGGGGTGGAGCTGAGAACAAGGAGCTTCCACATGAATGACATGTGGAAGGCTGCCTAAGAACCCCCGAATCGGATTACAACATGAGTGAGAAACAAACTTTTATTGATTAAATCACTGAGCATTCAGAGTTTGCTTGTTATAGTAGCTAGTGACCCTAAGCCTTGACTAGACTAGGTCCCACTGCTGGAGGCTCTGTTTAGATGCTCTATAATCATTCCTCTTCCACAGCACTTATCACAATTGTAATTAATTGTTCAAAGTCTCTCTCTTTCCATTAGACTATAAACTTCCTGGGGTCAGGGATTATATCTGTCTTTTTCATCACTTCCTCCCCAGGGCCCACTGCATGCTAACAACCTTGTTGATTGTTCTATATGAAAACTCTATGTGCACAGTAAATGACTGACTTACTCCTGCTTATTTGGTTTTCTTCTAGTATCAAGAATTCCTTTGGGAGACCAGTTATTATTCTGTGTTTCCCAATACCCATACTTCCCTTTTGAATGAGCTCAAAAGTACTCTAAGAAAATGCAAGCAGCAAAGATGCTAACCTCAGCACCTCCACAATGTTCCCAGTAGCCTTCAACTCTCTGATATCATTATCTCTCACCGGAGCACACAGCTTTCCCATCGTACTGATGACATAGTTGGCCAGGCCTTGGATGTCAACAGCACTGTGCTCAGCCTGCTGCCTGATGAGGTCTGTGTCCAAAACTTCACAGATCTGGTTGCGAAGCCGGTTGCCACAGGGAGTCAAAAAAGAGAGAAGAATCTACACAGGGAAAGAAAAAAAAAAGTAATAGCATCATTACATGAATAAGAGTTGTCACTTTTGACTTCAGTGTCTAGATGACGAAACTTCTTGTCAATATTTTAGATCCCTGGATGCCACAGAAATTGACAATTACTAGGTGGTGGCTCAGAGGAGAACGCCAGTGTCTCAACCCTAGGAAGAAAGCTATATCTTCTGAATTAAAGTCCCCTCACTATGAAAAATTACTGATATTGTCAGAAAGAAAACAACTAACAAGGAATCAATATTACTGAAATCACAGTAAGTCCTGACTTAAGATTTGTCAAAGGTTCTTAGAAACTGTGACTTTAAGTGAAACAATACAATGAAACCAATTTTACCATAAGCTACTTGAGATAAACAACAGTTAAGTTCCTACAGTATATTTCTGGTTACAAAAACATCATCAATCTTCTAAATAACTTCCAAGACACTTCTAATATTAAACACTGAAATAAATGTGAGTTATACTTACATTTAAGAAAGACTAATAAAACACAAGTAGATTATTATTTACCCAATTTTTGGTGAATCAGTGAGTGACAGAGGTCAAAGTGGTGGTGGGTTAAATAAAAGAATAAATGTTTACAAAGTGAAAATCATAAGGAGCATGTCCTTCCACCACACAGTCCAAATGTAAACTACAAAGACGCTGGCTCACTGAGCACTTTCATACCACATCATTTATTGTTGTGCATTTGTATGACTATTGTATACTTTACAGATTCTTATTTTACAAAAATTTGTATTCATTCATTCCTTTTCCAATCTGCTTATTGCAGTTCAGGGTTGTGGGTAGCGAGAGCCTATCTTGACAGCTCAGGGCACAAAGCATGAAGCAGCCCTGGACGGGATGCCATTCATTGCAGGGCACACTCACACCTATGCCCACACTCACTCAGACTGGGACCACTTAGGCCAATGAACCTAACGTGCACATCTTTGGGATGTGGGAGGAAACTGCAGTACCTGGAGAAAACCCACACAGACATGGAGAGAACATGCAAACTCTACACAGACAGTGGCTCCAGCTAGGAATAGACACTTTTTTCCTCATCAACATTATAAAGAAAAAACACTGAACAAAACAACATTATTCGATGATCTGAAACACTTCAAAAAGTCTACAGATAAACAATGCAGTGAAAAAAAAATAAGTTGGAGATCATGGCTCCAAAAGAACCCTTTAAATAAAAAAAAGATGAGAATACTCCATTAAATATATTTTATATATAAAATATTTAGTATATATTATATGAGCAAACTATTTGTTGAGTATTCAGTACACAGCTGACACTGTGCTTATATACATAGCACATGGTGAGGAGCATGGGCTCTAAGCCAGAGTGAATCTGTTCAAATCCTTCTCAGCCTCTCAAAGCTGCACGATCCTCCATGAGTCAGGGAACTTGGTTTCTTTATATAAAGTAAGTATAATAGGAGTAACTACCTCACAGAATTAAGGTAAGAATAAATGAATAATCTAGTGCTTGGCACAGAGCAAATGTCCTGTAAATGTTAGCTAACATCACTACTGTCATCTCATTTAATTCTTATGACTACCATGTAAGTACTCAGGAGACAGAGACTTAAAGAGAGCAATTCCATCACTAAATCTGGACTATCTGACCCCAGACTCTGTATTCTTAGCGAATACTCTGTGTTGTAAGCATCACCCTGAGCTCTGTCCACTGCCCTATTTTTCCAGCCTTCACTCTACTCCAGAAGGTACAGGGGAAAACCCTCTCAGTGATTGAACGCACGCAGTTTTTCAAAAAGAGTGGCCAATACAAAAGAAATGAAACAGTCTTTGGAGAAACAAAATAAAACAAAACTAACTGCTATAGTCTCAATGTTTATATCACATTCAAATTCATATGTTCAAACCCAATCCCTGATGGGATGGTATGAGGAAGTGGGGCCTCTGGGAGGTGATTAGGTCATGAGAGTGGAGTCCACATGAATCAGATTAGTACCCTTATAAAGAGACCCTAGAGAGCTCCCTTTCTTCTTCTTCCATGTGAGGAGACAGTAAGAGGGTGCTGTCTATGAACCAGTAAGTGTGCCCCAAGCAGACACTGAAACTTCTGGTATCTTGATCTTGGACTTTCAAGCCTCCAGAACTGTGAGAAGTAAGTTTCTACAGTTTATAAACCACCCAGTTTATGCCAGTCTATTACTGCAGCCCAAACTGACTAAAACACTAATTGACACAAACATCAACTTGCCTCTCTTATTTCTTCAAACAGTTTGATGGCATGTTCATACTCAGGAGGGTCAGCATTTAGTTCGGATTCCAAGACGTCCCAGAAGGCCTGGTGAACAATGTGCTTCACTCGACCAGCCAAACTACAATAATGAGATGGATTGTTTTTTAAAATAAGCATAATTTTTCCTGATTATAAGAGAAATATGTTCATTGTAGAAATCTTAGAAAATGAAGAAAAAACAGAGAATAGTAATTGCCCTTAATCCCATTATTAATCTTTTGAATATTTCTCTTATTCAATGCATTGTTTTAACATAGTTAAGAGTGCCTAGCATATACAATATTATATAATTTTTTCATTTAACATTCTGTCCCAACTGTTTCCCCTAGACTTTTAAAATGCTTCCTTACTATGGTTTTCAATAATTTCATAAAATTCTCTCCTAAAGTGATACCATAATTTATGTAGTCTTCTACACATATCATTAGATTTGTTCTAGATTTTTGGGATGAGATGGCAAACTTGCTCTTTCCTCAACAGCTGCAGTTTCATGGTACAGAATGGAACAGTTTGGCCCCCCAGGAGATATGTATTTGAATGCCTGCCAAATTCAGCTTAGATGTCCTATTTAAAGTTAGCCAGACCAAACTGCTAAAATAGCATCCTTCTTAGGAAGAGCTCACAATAGAATAGGTGGCCACCTTACTTCACCCATTATGTCAATGCCCTAAAATAGGTGCACATTAAAATACACATTCCTACTGAACTCCTACTCCGTTTGCAAGAGCTGTTAGAAAACCACGTATTTCCCTGCATTGTGATTACTGATGAGTTTCTTTCTCCACAGAGCTATACACTTCTCCCTAGTAGAGGACATAACTTCTTCTTCTGAGTACCTGCCATTGTGCCTAGCACAGTGCTTGGCATATAATGAGTACTAAATGAATGCATGATAAATGAATTAATAATTTGATAGTTAAGCATATCTCCTAATTTTTCTTATTAAAGTACAAATAGTTAAGTATACAATAATGCAATGAGGGATGAAACTTAGCTTTTGAGGAGTGTAAGTTAAAATTGTATCTATAACTGCAAATACTATATTCTACTCAACAACTTTAAATATTAAAATTTATTCTAGTTGCCTGAGGGGATTTATTCAATATAAATGCCATTTCCAAAGTTTGAGACTCTCCTGGGCAGCTCCAGAGCAATGAGAAAGGCAGACATTGCTGGGATAGACTTGCACACTTGACTTTACAAGCCACACATACCTGCTTTGAATGGACCAACAAGGAATGAACTAAAATAATTTTATAGCTCCCTAAGCAACCTCGGAGTTTCAGTTTTCCTAAAGGCTGCAGTGTACTTTTTAGCTCTTTAATTTTCTGGAGAGGTGTGGGGTTTTGGAGGAGACACAAGCAATCATTTATAAGCATTCCTGTTATCAGAAACCAGACTAATTTTACCAAGGTTTTTTTCCCAAAGAAAATAATAGATAAAATATGATAGTCAGCCATATTTAAAAAAGGAAAAACTTGGCCATTGTGGAGGTGCATCTGAAAATCAACAGTATATTATAATATGCTACTTAATTTTAAAACAAAGGTACTATGTCCTAACTCTGCACTTTGTTTCTCTTGCTCACATTTACTAGCATGGCAGAAAATGAAGGGAAGGAGGATTAATATTTTTCCATAGTATCAAGTACTTATGTGCAAAGGACTTTTATGTCAATGAGCATGCATTTGAAGTGAATAGTGTAGTTCCCATATTATTCTTAGGGAATGTGAAGATCAGATATAATCTCACCAAAGCCAGGATTCGAACCCCAGGGGCTGATCCTAAACCACCTTCACTATGGCCTGTACTTGCAACTACTGAATTTAAAGTACAGATATGCCCAAATTGTCTTTTGCTATACTGCATAAAAAATACTAACTTTAACTTTAAAAATTCATTTGTATCAGTCAGTCAATAAATGTTTATTGAACATTCAATATGTATGAGGCCTTATTTTGGGAACTGTGGATATTCAGTGAAAAGAAAGTCTCTGACGTCAAAAGCTAGTATGTTACAGGGACAGAAAGATGAAAAATAAATTAAAAATTAGTAAGACAATTTCAGATCTACGAGGAGGACAACATAAGACAATGTGGTAGACAGGAATGGAGAGGGTACTGATTTCACTGGGTGGCTGAAGAAAGCATCTCTAAAGCAGTGACCTTTGAGTTCAGACTCAAATGGGGAGAAGAAAGAACCATGTGAAGATCTAGGAAAAGAACATTCAAAAAGAAGTAGTAACAAAGTCTCTGATTAAGCTTGGTGTACTCTAAGATCAAGATGGAAGCCGGCCTGGCTGAAACATAGGATGAGGGAGGGAAAGTGCTAAGATGGGGTGGAGGAAGTAGGGCCTCCAGGCCATAATAGAGTTTGGATTTTTATTTTATGTGTACTAGAAACCACTGGAGAGCTTTTGGCAAGGAAATAATATAATCTGGTTTATCCTTTAGAAAAATCATTATAGTTACTGTGTGGGTATGGAAGATGGACTATGGTGAGCTAAGAATGAAGAGGGGGCAACCAGTTAGGACTGAAAGAGTCTAGGCCAGAGATGATGGTGGCCTAGCCGAGGAGGTATAGCAGTAGAGCTGGTATAACAGATCACAGCAAAATACAGTTACCAAAAAAAACCCAAATAGATACACCTACTTTAGACAGTAATCTTAAAAATTATTATTATATAAACAATATCACCAGAAAGATTATGATCCACATTGTAAAGAAGGAAAATTATATTTACTTATTTTCCTACTTTAGAAACAAAAGTTCTATATGGGATCAAATATCCTAAGTTATCTTAATTGATAGGGAGAATGCCTCAGTATTTATAATTGGCACTGTGAGGTTGAAATTCAATCCATGAGCCAACTTTGCTTCTAAAGATGCTTTATCCATAATGATAGTCTCAAGCCTTTTCTCCTCTATGTCCGAGGAAATTTGTAAGCCACAGACAGCAAAGAGGCTGAGGTAAGGATATAAGGATGTGGCTCCAACTAGAGGCCCTGGGGGTGAGGTTACCCAGGAAGTGCCTCTTGCAGCTATGATTCCTACCCCCACATATTTCTGGAGTGCCTATTCTTAGTACTTTGTCAGTTCAGGTGCATTTCTTTATCTTTCACAACCTGAATACTGATTTTTAATAAATCAATCTGCAAATACTTCTTCAGCCCATGCTGTATGTCAGGCACTATGCTAGGCAATATGGAGAGAGCAGCAAACAATGTAGACATAGTTCCTCCATTAATGGTGCTTTTGGTAAAGTGGGGAAGATGGACATCAAACATAAAATTATAAGATCTCTTAACAGAGGAGAGGTAGCAGGACCTACAGGTATCTTTAGCAAATGGATTAACTATATGGAATATCAGGAAAAGCTTCCCTCAGGAAGTGACATATAAACTGAGTTCTGAAGATTTGGGGTAACATGTACTCTAGAGGAATGTTTTTTAAAACAAGTATAAGACATTGTTAGGGAACTAAATAATGTTTTCCCCCTGTGGATATTATACAAGAACTTCCAGGAATCAGTGCGAACATATTTATGTGTATTATCTCTCTCACACACACAGAATCTTCAGCACAGTTTTACATATAATGAATGCCTTCAGGTTACCTGTTGTCTGGAAGGGCATCTTGTTTCAATTGGAAGTTTTCATTTACAGCAATTTCATGAGCAAGAGTCATGTTTGATAAGTTCCTTGCTGCAGCCATCACTTCGTCAAATGTTACAACCCTGGGAGGGCTTGTTGCTGAAAGAAAAACAAAAGCCAGTTAATGTTGCAGAAGAGAAGTTGCCATCAAACAAAGCCTACTGATACAGACAAGGCTTAATTTATTATTATGGATATTACAGGGTTTTAAAAGTATGGAGAATATATACTAAAATAGGTAGATTCTCTTGCTTAATAAAGACTTCAAAAATTTAAAAACTCCTTCAACACCTTCAGTTACCAATTTGAAAATAAACTCTCAAATACTTCTGGGACAATCTTATTATTATAGGCCTATTAAGATAGCCCTCATTTTTAGTGCATATTGATAGCTGCATCACATATATTATATAAGAAATAGATAAGATTATTTTTTATTCTGTAATTCAGAAGTCTCACTAACTTAAGTAGACTCAGTATGAAATAACTGATTTTTAAAGCTATAACTTTTAAATGTATAGGCAGTATAATATAATGTTTAAGTTCAGTTCCAAATTTTTGCCAACTGGTAGTTCTCATTTGATTTCATTGAGGCATCACTTACCTCCTTACAGGGTTAGCCTGAGGTGATTAAATGAGATAATTTAAGTAAAGAAGACCATAGTAAGAACTCAAGAAATTTACATAATTAAAGTAAAATATAATAAATCTGAGAAACTGGATAATCTGATTCTCAGTAGGAAGTAGTTTAAGAATTTGAGTAATTTCTAAAGATTATACTAAGAAACTATTATAATAAATCATGTTGTCTTAAAGTCACTGTTGGAAATCTTAGCTTCTGTTAATTAAAAACCATGACCTCTGGCCGGGCGCTGTGGCTCACGCCTGTAATCCTAGCTCTTGGGAGGCCGAGGCGGGCGGATTGCTCAAGGTCAGGAGTTCAAAACCAGCCTGAGCAAGAGCGAGACCCCGTCTCTACTATAAATAGAAAGAAATTAATTGGCCAACTGATATATATATAAAAAAAAAATTAGCCGGGCATGGTGGCGCATGCCTGTAGTCCCAGCTACCTGGGAGGCTGAGGCAGAAGGATCACTCGAGCCCAGGAGTTTGAGGTTGCTGTGAGCTAGGCTGACGCCACGGCACTCACTCTAGCCTGGGCAACAAAGTGAGACTCTGTCTCAAAAAAAAAAAAAAAAAAAAAAAAAAAAAACCATGACCTCAAATGACAGCACTGACATTTGAGGCAATACTTTGCCACCTAATTTTTTTTTTTTTTTTAGAAGAAAGAGGTGTGGGGAGGAGGACAAGAGGAGGAAGAGGAAAAAGAAAGATGATACCCAGAATTAGTAAAACCCTTCTTAAGGGTGCCTAGGGTACATCAACCCCTATATAGTATGAGTGAGAAAAGGCACAGAAACCTGAGGCTGCTATTCTTTTGCCAACTCTGCCTCAAAATTCTCCTTAAAAAATGTATATATTCTCTGGTCCAATAATCCAATGATAGCCAAAGGAATTTCTAAAAAGGCTTTATGCACTAAGATGTTCTTAAAGCACTATTTGTAACAGAAAGAAAGAAAGAAAGAAAGAAAGAAAGAAAGAAAGAAAGAAAGAAAGAAAGAAAGAAAGCAAGCAAGCAAGCAAGCAAGCAAGCAAGCAGGAAAGAAAGAAAGAGCAGAGCAAAGCAAAATGTCCAATGATAAGTCAATGGCTAAATAAATTTATGGTTAAGTAAATTTAAATATATTCATTTCATGAAGCAGTAGAGAGTCATAAAAACAATGTTTCAAAAATACAGAATCATGAGTAAATGTTTTAGTTATAATACTAAGTGAAAAGAGTCCACATATATATACACACATATGTCTATGTGAAGGATAAAGATATGGCAATGCACCGCCAGCTGTCATCTTTGGGTGATATTATAGGCAATGTTTTCTTTTCTCTATATTTATGTATTTTCCAAGGTTTTAAAAATGAGAATGTATAAATCTGAAATAAATGCAAATGAACAAATATTTTAGAAGTGGACATTTAATCATAATTAAACATTAGTTGCTTTATCTTGCATTTGTTTGTCAGTTAAAGGTGTTATACTTCCTAAACAAAATGCCAATTAAACAACTAGGAAAAAAAAAAAGACAAACACACCTGCTTTCCACATCTCTACTTTCCACATACAAAAAAGGAAAAAGATATCTTCCTTTGCTGTGGCCTCTCTTTTAACTCTTTCTCACACCCTTAGTGTAGTAATTCTCTTGGGTACCTTTCTGGGGTGAATTGCACAATAATTTTGAAATCAGCAAGAAACCCTATAGATTATTTCACTTCCTTCCTAACCCTTGAGTGAAAGCAATTTTCCTTCAATGTAAATCAGAAACAATCAAAAAAGACCAATTTTAATTTATCCTTGAGGATGGTCCAAGAAGTAATTGCAAGGAGTGGCTTTTTGCCATTTGGAAGAAATAACAGACAGGGTTGAAGTCCTGATTTATGGTCAAACAAAAGCAGATCAGAGACAATGATTAAAATAAAAATTGGCAGGTTGTAAACTTTAGTGGCTATTTATTTCTGAGAATTTGTCCAAGAAAGCTGTAATGCCTCTGCAGTGCTATTCCGGTACATCTAGGAAGGAGGGGAAGTCTGTTGCTCTTAGTCATTTCTGAGTTTTCAAATCCAACACACAACTCTAGAAGTACTCCCACCACCCCAGCCCCAGCTCCCCTGTCGGCTCACAAGCAGGAGAGCTGGATTTGCTGGAGGAGTTGCTTGTGAAGCTCTGCCTGGAACACTCATAGTCACTGAGTGAAGCCATGCTTTCGGAAAACCGTGAAGAGTCTGAATCGCTTGTCTGGTCCTCTCCCACACACTGCTTCTCACCATTGAAGGGCATTTTCTGTCACTTAAGTATGGATAAAGAGACAGCACCTGCACAGACAAATAGACCTTGTGTCAACATTCTGTGGTACTTCCACTGGCAGCGCCAATGCTTCTTCCAGTGTAGACAGCCATACCCACAAATGTCACAATGTTGGAAAGGCCCTCAGAAGATGACCTTGTCTTTACCCCACCATGAGGCCATTAAGATGGCCTTCCAGAAAAGGGATTCCACAGCCATAGGTATGAGTTTACTCAGGACGTAACCACTGTAAATGTGGAGCAGCTCTAAGTAATGACAGATCCATAAAAAATAAAACAAACCAAACAAACAAACACACCACAAAACACACACTCTTCCCCCACCCCAGGATTTCTAAAACATATGAAGGTATGAGTGCGGGGCTCTGGAGTCAGACTGCTCATTCTGTCTTTTTTTTTTTTTTTTTTTTTGAGACAGAGTCTCGCTTGTTGACCAGGCTAGAGTAAGTGCTGTGGCGTCAGCCTAGCTCACAGCAACCTGAAACTCCTGGGCTCAAGCAATCCTTCTGCCTCGGCCTCCCGAGTAGCTGGGACTACAGGCATGCGCCACCATGCCCGGCTAATTTTATATATATATTAGTTGGCCAATTAATTTCTTTCTATTTATAGTAGAGACGGGGTCTCGCTCTTGCTCAGGCTGGTTTCGAACTCCTGACCTCTAGCAATCCGCCTGCTTCAGCCTCCCAGAGTGCTAGGATTACAGGCGTGAGCCACCGCGCCCGGCTTCATTCTGTCTTTTGTCATTGGGCCTTGTGGAGGTCACTTAACCACCTATCTCACGAGTGAAACTGTCCTAAAAGACTAATCTAATAGGGTTGCCAGAAGATTGAATAGGATTAATCTTTCTTTCTTTTTTGTTTTTGTTTTGAGACAGAGTCTTGCTCTGTTGCCTGGGCTAATGTGCAGTGGTGTCATCATAGCTCACTGCAACCTCAAACTCCTCAAGCAATCCTCCGGGTTCAGCCTCTAGAGTAGGTGGGACTGCAAGCACATCCGGCCAGAGTTAATGGCTCTTCTCTTTGTACATCTGGAGCTTATCTCCTGCGGCTCCACAAGAGCACTTAGTCTCTTGTACATTTTCTTCCCATGGCCACTTCTGAATGTCCTTAATAAGGCAGAGATTGTGTCTTGTCCACTACCAGTGCCAAGTATATGACATGTATTCATTCAGTGTCAGCTAAATCAGAATAACTGAATCCCATTCGGTACAGCTCCAACCAGAACATTTGCAAGCTGATATCACTACACGTTTACAGGACTGGGACTGCCAAAGTTCAAGCCCTAGAGCAAAGAATCTACTGCCTAAGCCTGTCTTATTTGATATAAAACTCAAAATTCCCAGGTCCTTCTCATACTTTTATTTGAACACCTTAAAGTCTATTTCCCTTCATTATTTGTTTTTAGTCATTCTCTTGTAATGTAACAACTGTGCTTAGTATGCCCTTGTCTTAATTTTTCTCTACTATAGCTGCTTCAAACCAGCTTTGGCTGATTTTCCAAGTAAAAGTGAATAAATGCTTTCAGCCATGGAAATTTACGAACTAGCTTAATAGTTATAACTATCCATTTCACTTTTCTACTGCTGCTGGACAGCATGCTTGGTAGATTTCTTAATTGTGTTTAACAACGCAGAAAAGTATAAGATTTAAAAAAAAAAAAAAGCTCTGGGCTAGGAGTTGAAATCCAGGTTTTGGGACCTGGCTTTACCATTATATCGTTGTGTGACTTTATGCACATGATTATCTGCTCTCTTTGCCCCACGTTTCTGAGAGGGTTGGACCAGTTATAAGGTTTCTTTCAGTTAGAAACTGCTAAGATGCTCAAACCCAGAGTTCCAGGAGGCATCACTATAAGTTCTGAGAAACCAAATGGCAGGCATGCTCAATAACAAACAACTACACTTTCTGGCAACAATTCACTGGAGGTAGAAGTCCTAGCTCAGCAGCTGCGACAGAAAATTTAAAAGCTTCAAAATGTTTAGGAACTCCTATTTAGTTGGTAGAAGCCTCCGCATTACAACCATAGTGTATACAAGCAGAAGCCTATCTTTGGAGCAAAAATGCTCATTATTACTTTATTAAGAAATTGCCTGTTTCCTCATATAGACATACTAATAATACCTAACTCATAGGGTTGGTGTGAGATTTCATTTTCATACATGGAAAGTGCTTAGAACAGTCACTGACAGAGTAAAAATATACAGATGTTTGCTATTATTAACTTTTTTGTTTGTTAATGTCATCACCTCAAGAATTAAAAAACTCCGGAGGGAAGAACAGTTTTATGTCAGGATGATGAAAGCATGTTCCTCGACATGGCTAGTAGTTAACCTAGGACAGAACTCTAGCACTTGTTTGAAATATAGAAGCCAAAAGCAAATGGCACTGTGAATGGTCTTCTGCAAGTTCCTTCACACCTGCTCTTACCTTTCTTGGTCTCAAGTTTCCAAATAAGTCATCTGAGGAGAAAGCTACTTGATTCAGAAGGCATTGAGAGTAATTAGACTGCTTTTAAAACTATTTTGGATTTTCTCCTGGACTGATAATAATGAAACCAGGCTGTTTCTTTAAGAAAGGTAATTATTCTTATAAAGACAAACTTAGGTCTATCTAACTAACCTTCACCATTGCAACTCACAAGTAAATCAAAGTTTTCAGGGATACCACATCTTATCCCACCTAGAGGATTTAATCACCGGTCAAAGGTGAAGTAAAAGATAAAGACAGAAGATAACTCCAAGTAAAGCCTCTAATACTATAGAGCAGGGGTCCTCAAACTTTTTTAAACGGGGGGCCAGTTCACTGTCCTTCAGACCATTGGAGGGCCGGACTATAGTTTAAAAAAACTATGAACAAATTCCTATGCACACTGCACATATCTTATTTTGAAGTAAAAAAACAAACAGGCAGAAACACCCGCATGTGGCCCGTGGGCCGTAGTTTGAGGACGCCTGCTATAGAGGGTCATTATTCAAAGAAAATAAAGTACTGTCATATTCACATTTTTTATTGTATTGTTCCTGTCATTTTATGATAATAAATACAATGTCATTCCTTCTGAGGCCAATGCCTGGAATGCAGCCGGTACTTAAATATTTATTGTTGAATAAATGAATGGATGAATGTCACTATGACAACTGACATTTAAGAGGGGAGGGAATGGTACAGGGACCTAAAGGGGCTAGTCCTATGACTCACGACAGGTAGAGAGGAGTTTGGTTTTTAATTTTCTTGTGATTCCTCAGCTTGTGTCCAATTTTATTTCCTTTCTGTAGCAAACTCTACCTGCAAATGGTCCTGGACCGATTCAGGATTGCAAAGGTACGCCAATGATAATACATGTGTCGCTGAAGCAGTGAGAACATGCAGGCAGACTGGGTTCTTGATCCTGGCTCTTAATATTTACTGACTGGAGAGAGAGAACTTACTTACCATTTGTAAAATGGGGATAATAACAGTATTTACCTTGTTGAACTGTTGTGAAGCTTAGCTGAAACAGTCTTCTATTTCAGTACTGAAATATCAGAACTTAAGCTCCTAGTAAGTATCTAACAGATGTCAACTATTATTCTCATTAAAAGAAGTAATGAATTTCAAAAATGTCAATGTCAGAAAAAACAAAGAAAGACTGAGGATACGCTCCAGATGAAAACGCACTTGATAACTGAGTGCAATAGTTATTCTAGACTGGATCCTGTACTGGAAGAAAAAAATGCTATAAAGGACATTATTGGTCAATTGATAGCATTGTTACAATACTTGCATCTGCTGTCTATATGCCAATGTTAAATATACTGAAGTTGAAACACACCATGGTTATGTATTTAGGAATAAAAGGCCATGATGTACGCAACTTTCTCTCAAATGATTCAAATGAAAGACAAAGAGAGAAAACAATAGAGCACATGGAAAAAAATGTTAATAGGTAAATCTGAGTAAAAGGTAGACCACAGGGTATTCTTTGTACTATTCTAGCAAATTTTTTTTTAAGTTTGAAAGTACTTCCAAATAAAAGTTTAAAAGAGAAGATGGAGTGCTGAACTGAAACTTCAAGATTCTAATTCAGGATAGTACAGTGTCTTGCAGTTTTAAAATTTTGATTTTTCCCACCTCTGTGACAGTTTGAATATCATTCTATAATAAAATCTCTTCTAAACAATCTAACTTGTCCCAGCATCCTTCAACAGTGCCTAAAGAATAAAACAGGAAATAGGCCAGAGCCCTCCCTCCAGAAAAGGCAAAATAATCCCTTTTAAGAGTTCACCCCGACATGGTTTCCCTTTCCCTAAACAGTCTCATGGCCATGGTTTACAGCCCTCTGTGATCTGACCTCTGCCTACCTCATTCTGTACCACTCTCCTCCAACCCTTCATAATCCAGACACAACAGCCTTCTTTGGGTTCCTTCAACATGCCAAACTTCCTACTTTGGAGCACTCTGCACCTGCTATTCTTTCCCCCGGAATGTTCTTTTTCCTGACCTCCATGTGGTCGGCTCCTTGCTGTCATTCAGATTTGAAATTGAATGTCACAATTTCAAGGTGATCTTCCCTGAGACCCCCACTCACAGCATCTAAATGAGCTATATAGAGCTTAGAACACTGCCTGGGTAGAGTGGGAGCTCAATGAATATCACTGCATGAACAAATTATGTCACTCTCCTATTATTCATAAGATAACCTGAGTTTTCCTTCTCTTCTGCTTCCCTCACATTGCTCATATTCTCATTGTGCAGTCACTTAAAGTACTATAGTTATTGTTTGCATAGCTGTCTCCCCACTAGATTTTAAGCTGTTTGTGGGAAGAAGCTATGTCTCCCCTCTCCAATTCTCAGTGCCTACCTCAATACATTTCTGAGGTACCAATAATTTAGACTAGCAAAGATTTCACAGTTCCAGGAGCCTAAAGAAACTATTACATTGTGTCTTTCCACCCTCTTAACACTCACTAATAGAAAATAATAACAATTAGAGCTAACAGTCACTGAGTGCTTATCATGACCTCAATAATATAAGTACTCGATAACTGTTTTTATGATAAGTACTTTAAATATTTTATCTCCTTGAATCCTCATTACAACCTGTTAGGTAAGGTATTCTTATTATTCCCATTTTATAATGAGACCTTGAGACTCAGAAAGGTTGCATTACTTGCCCAAGGGTTCACAGCAACTCAAGCCCATGCTCTCTACTGCTCTAGGATGGCTGGAGGAAATTTGGTGTGCTGCTCATTCTTTCCACTCCTATTCTTCCAGATCGATCTATCCATCACCATGTGGACACTTTCACATATGGTAGCAAGCTGACTTTATCCTGGAATAGCTGCTTAAGTGCTATTTCATGAAGGACATTACTGAAAGAGTCACCCAAAATGATTTTTAATCACTCCACTAGAGTGACTGAAAATCCTCTAGCAGGAAGCTATTCTTTAATCACTGCAAAATCCCTAGGTAAAACCCAAATATTATCAAAAGGGTTAACTGCTTATAGCTAGTATGAGTCATAAACATTTTGGAATAAATTATTCAGATTATCTAGCAGGGCCCTAAGGAACAGAACCCATCCAATTAAGGTTACCTCATGGAAAAGAGAAATTTCAAGAAATACCTACAGGGTACTACCCTTCAAGACCATATCAAGGTCAGGTGCAAGGACAAGCATTCACGTATGTATAGTAAAGGGCAGGAAGTCAGAGGAGCTCTGAAGAAAAATATGCAGACAATGTAGAAAATTTCTATCTTCTGCAAAATGCTGCTTTAGAACCAGTCCCAAATAGCAGTGCTAAAAAGTCATTCATCCACAGCAAAACAAAAAGAGAGACAGATACATACAACAGAGAGATAGATGCCTGCACCATTCAGCTAGACAATACTGGTCTTCATCAAGTTAGAACCAACAAAGAGCTGGATAAAAGTCAACAAACCAGTCACTGTCTACAAAGCAGATGTTCACTCTACACATGGTATGACAGCACCAGGGAGAAGGATTTCTAGGCATTTTTCACACTTGAAAGCACTCTCCTCCCACCCCTGCTGGTCTGTTTTAGTACCTGTTTTTCCCCCTCTGGGGCCCTTAGCCCCTCACATAATGGCAATGAAGCTGCTTCCACACATGATTGGGTATCTTCAATTCCTAAAGACAGAGAAAAACGCTGTGGGCAGACAGGGAGCCTCCTAAAGTGGGAACCACTGAGATAAACTCATTATCAACTGGCAGATAGGAAGAGCAAGGTCTCTGGCCTGGAAACCATGGGTGCTGAGAGGCCCACTGGGGAAAAGGACAACTTGTCCAGTTTTTGTACGGTTAAAGTAGCAGGACCAATATCTAAAGATTTCCCAGACTTAAGTCATTTGAGTACCACTCTTCACGACTGTTTCCATCCCTACCTATAATTTAGGAAGCACGTTTCTTTGACAAGATTTTGGCATTTTAAATACGTTTATTCTGAAGGGAAAATTTATGTCTTTGTGAAATCGCTCATTTAATGGAACAGATTTTCCTAATACTAACAAAAACACATAACTATGTTCATCCACGTGCCACGTCAGATCGTCACTGTTACCCCCAGTGGCGTCACCCACAGTAGCAGCTTTGGAAAGCACAAGCCATCCCTGAGAGGACAGGGTTCGAGCCCAGCCCCGACGAGCGTTTCTCCACCTCTGCCACCTAACGGAGGGTCCCCCCAGGGGACTCACCAGGAGTCTGCACCCTCCCGCCCACGTCCTCCGGCAGCCCCTCCCCTCCCGGAGACCGCGTTTCCTGTCAAAACAAACCCTTGAGGGAGGGGACGGCGGCGGCAGAGACCAGCGCCAAGGAAACCCTGGCAACAAACCCAAAACACACACTGCGAGCCCCGCCCGGCCCCCACGCTGGGTCCGTCCGCACTCCAGCCGGGCCGGGGGACGCGGAGGAGGCGGCGACCCCTCCTGGAGCCCTAACCGAGGGAAGCCGCTGGCACCAGCCCAGCAGGGGGTAAACAGCAGCGAAGCACCCCGACCCCGCCACCTCCCGGGCCCGAAGCCCGAGTCCGCCGACACCCGCGGCCACTAGGCGCCCGCGCCCCGCTTCCACGCGGGACGGCGGTTCGAGGTCAAACAAGGGGACGGGGACTGGGGGGTGGCCGGGAGCAAAGAACCGGGCTTGACGGCCCCTGGCCCCGCCGTCCCAGCACAGAGTTCCGAGACCCGGGGGAGGCCCTTGAGCTGCTGGGGGAGAGCTGTCCCCTCCGCCGGCCCTGGCCCGTCACCTCAGAGCCGGCGACCCCTCCCCCGGGATAGATACGCACCGGGTCCTACAAGCAAACAGGAGGAAGAAGGCGACTGAGTGACCCTGGGTCAAGGGTCTCTGGGTGTCCCCTCACCGAGCACAGAACAACCCACTGGAAAACTCACCAGCACGGAGTCCCCCCCTCCCCATGCGGTATTTAAAGGGCCCTGAGGGAGCCTAGGGAGGCAGCCACCGCGCGGCCGTCACAAGACCGGCAGGCAAGGGGACGGCGGCGCGGCGGAGCCAAAGAATCCTGGACATTTGAGCCTCCGATAGCCAGGTTCTCACAGATTCGACGTCCTTGACACAACGCTTTTCTCATGTTCGGATCAGAGAGGCTGAGGAAAGCTTGGATTGGAGAGTGTTTGGGATGCGAAAGGGAACGGCCCCCCCGCGCGCCGCGAGTGGTGCGGTCCGGGGCTGCTAGGGGCGGGGAGAGAAGTGTTTACGGAACTGGGGCAGCCGCGCCGCCCCGAGCGCCGGGCGTTGGGGGCGGGGCCTGTCGGGGCGCTGGGGGCGGGACCGAGCGGGGCGCTGGGGGCGGGGCGAAGCCGCCTGCCGAGCTAGTGGAGGGCTGGACGAATAGCCTGGGGACCCGGGGCCCACCACCGTGCACAATGTCGCAAGCTCCCGGCTGCCCGTGGAACATTTAGTGCCGGCACACCCCTTATCTAGACGGCGCAATCCAGGCTCGGTGCCCACTCACACCGTCCACACTTACAGAGACGACGCACCAACAAAGTTGCTAGTGGGCTTTCCCACGCACATCAGCGACTAGCCGCGTCATCTTCGTTTGTGTCTACGCCTCCACTTAAACACAGGTCCAGATTTGCACCTGGACGGGGCGATTAGCTCCTGAGAGTTCCACCCACCCAGGCTTTCTGAAGACTTCGTGTGCATGCAAAAGATAAAGCGTCTTACTTCCTCTAGTGTACTTGGCAGCGCCTATCTCTGGGCGAGGTTTCAACATTGGTTAATGTAAATAACCAGTCCCAGGAAGCTCTGTGCGGTCAGGCCTTCTGTTCAGCTCTTGTGGGCGTGCACACCACATCAAAACCATGTCTTCTGCCAGGTGTAAATTGGTACAGTATTCCTTGGAAGATAGTTCCAAGTGGGAATGTTAAGTGAATTTTGTATAGACTGAAGTTTTTTTGTTTAGTACTGAAATCATATCTGGATTGTGGAGGCAAATTGGCCACCACCATTCTAGAAAAACACAAAAAGCAGTATTTTAAAGAAGCATAGAAAGCCAGTTGTCCAGTGGTTACAACATAGACTTCTCTGGGATTCAAACTCTGGCTCTGACATTTACTAAGCACGAGATTTTGGTCAATGGAGAGAACAATGATAGCTATCTCATTGGGTTTTTGTGAGGATAAAATGAGGCGTTCTTAGCAGTGTACACTGTAAGCACTTAATAAGTGTTAGTTATTGAAACTATTCAGCAAACCACTCTAATCAAACTTAACTGGTGATCTGTATAAATTGTATGTGTCACCTTTTGCCACTCTTTTCTCTCTTTTCCTAAGATGCACAACCTGATACTGATCAAGAGATTGAAGGGAAAATGCTGTCCCTGCCCAGGGTTCTTTCCTACAAACATGCTCTTGTTTACATCGTTTGTTGGAATAAGCAATCAGGATGACAGAAGCCTCCAATTTCAATTCTTGCCAAATCACCACCACCACACAACTGCCATCACCACCCTAAGAACTCCACAATGGAAAAATTAGCCAAAAATATCCCCCAAACTCTGTGACAATGACTCATTGCAGCACTGCTTCCTTTGTTGGCTTTGTAGGAACATACTAAGTATTGTTTTGTGCTAGGATATAACTTGGAACAGGTGAACATGAGTCAGGGTAGTTGTCCATTCTACCTGGGTGACCAGCTGCTTGACCCGAGGCATGATACTTCTTTTAAAGCTCAAATACGTGACTCTCAAAGCCACAAGGAAGCAATTTTTGTCAAAGCAAGTTTCAGCATGTGCTGGGGTGAGAACCTTAAGGTGGAGGAGGTGGGGTAACATCAGAGACCCAAGCTGGGAGGAGAACAGATCCTGGAAACAATCTTCTATTATTTTGACGTTAAATAACTTGCTGTCTGAAAACAGTTTGGTGAATTACCTGAACAACTGCCCTCAGCCTGGCTTGAGTATAAAAGCACTTTGAAAAAATAGTCCTGTAAAATATCAGGCAGTTCCCTTAAAAATCAGGCTCGTATCACATCCTTTTCAGAGAGCTCAAACAGTCATAAAATTAAATCCCACCTGCTCAGGTTATGTTCATGACCTTCTGGAAAAAATAAATTTGCCTGAGAAGTCAACATCTTAAGGAAGTAAAATAATTAGAATTTTGTTTGAAGAAGACTCATTACAACTAATTTTTCTAACTTACCTTTTGTGAACTCATGGTAATACAGATTGTTTTTCCCGTATAAATTACATGATAGACCAAATTTGGTCTATCACCCTTGGCAAAAGCCTAAGGGCAGATCAAAATTTTTGCTTGGCAGAGAATTATAAATACTCATTTTCTTTTCATACATCTGAAATTTTAGTTTTAAATTACAACAAATCCTTGGGAAAAAATCATAAAGTCCAAAAGTATAATCATAATATGGATTACAATTGCAATATGTAACCTCTTAACCATTTAGCAACTAAACAAACAAGCTAAAAACAACAACAATAACAACAACAAAAACTGGATGTATCCCAGGTCTTATGAACTATTTATGAAATTTGGAAGACTAATTTTGGCTGGATATGATTTTGACCTTGTATTATCCCTTTAGAGCCTAATTCCTCACATAAGATATGACTCCATTGTGAGTAAAAAAAAAAAAAAATGAAATGTGTCTCTTCCCTACCCCTCTTAAGGTGCTAGAGAAAGGGCCAAAAATCAGTATGGGGGGTTGGGAGAGGTAACGCAATAGAAAACAGAAGGAAGAAAAAGAATTTGGCTATTATACATACTGGAGAATTGGGCCCTGAATGTTAAAAAATTAACTGTATACCTTCTGCTCAACTTTACTGTGAACCTAAAACCGCTCTAAAAAGTAAAGCCTATTTTTAAAAAAATTAAAAATTTGCCACACCTTCTTGGCAAATTTAGTTGTTTTTCCTTTGATCTTGAAGATAAGGTAGATTTAGGTCATTGACCACTTCTGACTATTAAATGATGCTTGATCAATTTTCCAAAGCACCAAAAACAATTTCTCCCTGACTCTACTGAACTGAATTAGTATAAAATTAGAGGTCATTTCTCATTCTAAATGCTTGTACTCTCACATGTAGACACTGCCCAGACTCTGACCCTGTCAGAGACTAAAAAGACAAATATTCTTAGTGCCTCTCCTGACCCCTCCGTGGGTCCCTTCCACTGGCCACTGTTGTCCACTGAGAAGCAGAGAGGAGAGTGAGAAGCAGCAGTGAGGACAACCCTAGGCAGGAATTGGGAGGGGCCAAGGAGAGCTGAAGCTCAAAGGAACACCTATGGGAGGCCAAAGATGCAAAGGTTAAGTCCCCTGACCAAGATGGTCACTCTCCTTAGCCCATGTCTGGGCCAGCAGGCCATCAATCATTTCTTAAATGCTTTCATGGATGAACATTTAAAATCAAATGGAATGCCCAATGGAGTGGAGAAGAGCTTCTAAAATAAGACACAAAATCCAGAAGACATGAAGGAAAGATTAAGAAATGTGACTCTTTTGATACAATGTTCAACATAAACATATGAGTTACAGAAAAATGATTATGGGATGATAAGATTAATGCTAGAGTTTACACTAAAGACAGTATATATGTATTTTGTATATATGAAATACATAGAAATGGACTAAAAAGATACTCTCCTATTTAGGAGAAAAGCTAGGAAATGTTCCTGGTTTATTCTTTATATATTCAAACAGTTTATTTCTTTTACAATGAGAATGTATTCATTTATGTTAGTAGTATAATTTCACACTGCCATATAATGATACTACTATTATTATTGTATGTCCTCCTAAATATACCTTAGTAGAGGTAGGCTGTTAATACTGCACATTCAATAACTTTCTCCTCTCATTTTTATTCATTTTTGAGAAAGCCATGACAACAAATGGAGTTTTTCATATAACATATATAAAGGAATAGATTTACAAAGGCCTCTCACTATGGTATGTCAAAATTATCTATGCTGGGTGGGGGAATCCTCACTTTTTACGTTGTTCTCTTTAAGACCTTTTCTTAGCTGAAGTATGTGGATTTTACTTTCATTTTAAACATGTTTTTACTCTAATTTCTGATCTCTAAGGCCTTTGTTTTTTTCTAACAAAAAATTGGTCAAGTGCCATTTCCCCAAGTGGTATGGGACTTAAATAATTATACTATGTTTCCAGGATGAAAAATTGAGAGACTTGAACATTCAGATGCTTGTACAGTAGTTTTTACATGAGTTCCTGGACATTCTAGTGGAAGGTATTATATTAATAGTAGGGCACTGAGGGTTTGTGACTGACCAAAGGGATACTCAACAGTGACTCATTCACTTGGCAGGTCAAAAATAGAAACCAGACGAATTCATTTCAGTGCTTCTCTACACACACACACACACACACACACACACACACACACACAAACACATAGTGTCACATGCAAAGTATTACCTATTGATATAATTATCTAATTTCTATAACAATATGTCAGCAAGCATATCAACACTGTACCAACTACATGCCCAAAGTATTTGTAATCACATTCCATTACTCTAGAAGGGTGCCTGGACCAGGTACCAGGGTGGCAGCACCTTCTAGAAAGCAAGAAGAATGGAATGTTGCTAACTATACTAAAATATGAGGCTGTTTATGCTTCATGTGATTAACATTTCTGGCCAATTCCCTGAGAGGGATCCCAGGCCATGACATTGTTTACATTACAGGAACATCTACTAGTACATAATCAACAAATCCCTGAAAAACTGGGTACAACAGTATAACATAATTATACAAATAAATTT